CTCGTTGAGGTCGAAAGAGCGAATGGCCATCTCGTTGAGGTTGAAAGAGTGAATACCATCTCATTGAGGTGGAAAGAGCGAATGACTATCTCGTTGAGGTCGAAAGAGCGAATGGCCATCTCGTTGAGGTTGAAAGAGTGAATACCATCTCATTGAGGTGGAAAGAGCGAATGACTATCTCGTTGAGGTCGAAAGAGCGAATGGCCATCTCGTTGAGGTTGAAAGAGTGAATACCATCTCATTGAGGTGGAAAGAGCGAATGACCATCTCGTTGAGGTCGAAAGAGCGAATGACCATCTCGTTGAAGTTGAAAGAGTGAATACCATCTCATTGAGGTGGAAAGAGCGAATGACCATCTCGTTGAGGTCGAAAGAGCGAATGACCATCTCATTGAGGTGGAAAGAGCGAATGACCATCTCGTTGAGGTCGAAAGAGCGAATGACCATCTCGTTAAGTAGAAAAAGCGAATGACCATCTCGTTGAGGTCGAAAGAGCAAATCACCATCTCGTTGAGGTCGAAAGAGCGAATGACCATCTCGTTGAGGTCGAAAGAGCGAATGACCATCTCGTTGAAGTTGAAAGAGTGAATACCATCTCATTGAGGTGGAAAGAGCGAATGACCATCTCGTTGAGGTCGAAAGAGCGAATGACCATCTCGTTGAGGTCGAAAGAGCGAATGACCATCTCGTTAAGTAGAAAGAGCGAATGACCATCTCGTTGAGGTCGAAAGAGCGAATGACCATCTCGTTGAGGTCGAAAGAGCGAATGACCATCTCGTTGAGGTCGAAAGAGCGAATGACCATCTCGTTAAGTAGAAAGAGCGAATGACCATCTCGTTGAGGTCGAAAGAGCAAATCACCATCTCGTTGAGGTCGAAAGAGCGAATGACCATCTCGTTGAGGTCGAAAGAGCGAATGACCATCTCGTTGAAGTTGAAAGAGTGAATACCATCTCATTGAGGTGGAAAGAGCGAATGAACATCTCGTTGAGGTCGAAAGAGCGAATGACCATCTCGTTGAGGTCGAAAGAGCGAATGACCATCTCGTTGAGGTCGAAAGAGCGAATGACCATCTCGTTAAGTAGAAAGAGCGAATGACCATCTCGTTGAGGTCGAAAGAGCGAATGACCATCTCGTTAAGTAGAAAGAGCGAATGACCATCTCGTTGAGGTCGAAAGAGCGAATGACCATCTCGTTGAGGTCGAAAGGGCGAAAGACCGTCTTGTTGAGGTCGAAAGAGCGAATGACCATTCCGAGATGTCATGGACTTTGCACACAGAATTTAAAAAAAATCTCTGGCCATCAATAATGATATAAAAAAAGTTTTTTGCATAAAATTTATTTTTTGATACGCGTGTTCCAACTAGATTTTTTAAAAAAAAACTTTTTTTCGTGGCTTTTTAAAGGACAAGTGATGTTTTGACGATGCAATTTGATTCTTTAGCGCTAAGTGCAGGTATCCTCGCCTTTGCGACAAAGGGCGTTAGATTTATTGAGGTGGACATGGCAAGGAACAAATTAGATCAATCTTGAGTTATTGCTCCTGAGCTATACTGGGCAATAAGGGTTACATAATCACTAAAAAGAAAAAAATGTTTTTTTTTAACAGGCTAGTTGGGACACACATGTCAAAAAATAAATTTTATGTGAAGTATTTTTTTTATCAATATTGATGGCGCGAAATTTATTTAAAATTCTGCGTGCAAAGTCTACGACATCACGGAATGGTCATACATTCTTGCCACCTCAACGAGATGGTCAAACACCCTCCCCACCTCAATGTGATGGCCAAGCCGATCCACCTCTCCTCCACACGCCCGAAATGCCGAGAGAAAACAAGCGGGAAAGAGGTGACTACCGACTAAATCAAATCTTGCACCGTCTATATTGCTCTAAAAAAAATTTTTTTTTTCACCTAAAATTTATTTTTTGACACGACTGTCCCAAACACTTTTTTGGGACAGTCGTGTTGGGACAGTCGACAGTCGGGACAGTCGACAGTTTTTGGGACAGTCGACAGTCGGGACAGTTTGGGACACGACTGTCCCAAACACATTTTTTGACACGACTGTTAAAAAAAAATTTTATTTTTAGTGCCCTTTTAAGGAACACATGCAAAGTGCAGTTGGCGCCCGCGGGCGCCGCGGAAAAGTGGTTGCTATATATCATGTGACTGGCTGCTATTTATCCCGTGGTGCTTGTACTCTTTCGGAAGCCTCCTTTGGTCCCTAAAAGTTACTCCTTCATCTTCGTTTGAAGTGCAACAAAAAACAAAGATCAATAAGTAACTTTTAAAGTCCAAGGGAAGCTCCTCAAAGAGCGCCAGCACTCGGTGATAGACCTGTGTGCCAGTCAGAAATTGATGGCAGCGGCACACAGGAGTCTTTCCTTTCGGCAGCCGCGGCGTGGAAAAACGCACTCAACTGTCGGTGCACCACGCTCAGTGAGCAACGGCGTCGTGACTTTGTGGCAGCGGCGGCGCACGGGTCGACCACGTGACCAGCGGAAATTCGTTTCGTGCCGTAAATATAGCTCTAAAAGTTTTTACTTCATTGTGAATTCCTTTTATGACATTCTTTTCCCACTTAGGCTGTTTAGCAAACTTTTTTTTTCCATTGCATTTTTCCTTTAAGAGCATACTCGAGGCAAAATACATCTCAATTTTCAGAACATCCATCTCCCTTTACAAGTGTCACATTCTGAAAAAAAAAAAAAAAAAAGCTTTCAGCCTTTCCACTTTGGTGAAGGAAGACCAGCGAAGCTGTAATTCAGTAGAGTCGGAACCTCTCCACATTTGAAACTCCCGCTCTTTCGACCCCCACGGAAGAGGAGTACGCCCCGCCCCTCACTCTCCTTGCGTTGCGGAGTTGAACGACGCAGCGTACTTCCAGGACGACCTCTCGGACAACCTCAAGGACAACATCTAGGATGACCCCAAGGACGACCTCGAGGACGACATCTAGGATGACGCCTAGAGAAATTCAGCCTTTCCACTTTGGTGAAAACCAGTGTAAAGGCTGGAAAGGTTGCCATCACCTATGAGCATACCTCGGCAAACCTCACTCATGGGGGCCCTCACTCACCCTCATCTTCACAGGTGAGGTGAGGGTGAGTGAAAGCCGTGAGGGCTGTGAGGGCTGTGAGGGCGGTAAAGGGTATGAGGGCCATGAGTGCGTGAGGGGCGTGAGGGCGGTGAGTGGCGTGAGGCCATGAGTGGTGTGAGGACGGTGAATGCGTGAGGGGTGTGAGGGCAATGAGTGCGTGAGGGCAGTGAGTGGCATGAGAGGCGCGAGGGCGGTAGTGCATGAGGTGTGTGAGGGCGGTGAGTGCATGAGGGGTGTGAGGGCCATGAGTGCGTGAGGGCAGTGAGTGGCATGAGAGGCGTGAGGGCGGTGAGTGCATGAGGTGTGTGAGGGCGGTGAGTGCATGAGGTGTGTGAGGGCGGTGAGTGCGTGAGGGGTGTGAGGGCCATGAGTGTGTGAGGGCAGTGAGTGGCACGAGAGGCGTGAGGGCCGCGAGTGCGTGAGGGTGGTGAGTGCGTGAGGGGTGTGAGGGCCATGAGTGCATGAGGGCAGTGAGTGGCATGAGAGGCGTGAGGGTGGTGAGTGAATGAGGTGTGTGAGGGCCATGAGTGCGTGAGGCACCCTTCAGATCGAGCATCTTTCTCAGTAATTTTGGTGTTAATGGCGGGTTGTTCTCTAGCTTTTCCTAGATCGACACGAATTGCTGAGATCGGGTCCGGCTCGAAATAAGCAAGCAACTCGGAGCAATTCGAATGCGTTTGAAGCGGCTGCATCCAATCAGGGACGCAAAATTTTCATATGATACCTCGTGCCGGTGATGATGACACCGAAAGACTTCGTTCTGGTTTGAAATCAATCGTTTTTTTGGAAATAAACTGTTTCAGAAAGGTGCATTAGTATTCTTAACGAGATTTAAATGCATAAAAACATGTTTATAACGTTTAATGGTGTCTAAATAGTGCAAGAAAAATAAAATTTTATGATGACGATGGCAAATTGCAGCAATTGGTTGCTGCGTGTGATCGCGGGCGGCCCGTGTTGCTGATGTTGCGACGTAAAGTTTCTGGGCGAAATTTCCCCATCTGAAGCTGGTCTGAGTGGCGAGAGGGCCATCAGTGCGTGAAGGGCGTGAGGGCCGCAAGGGCGGTGAGGCGCGTGAGGGCAGTGAGTGGCGCGAGGGCGGTGAGGGCGGTGAGGGCCGCGAGGGCGGTGAGTGGCGTGAGGGCGGTGAGTGGCATGAGGGCCATGATTGAGTGAGGGGCGTGAGGGCAGTGAGTGCGTGACGGCCGTGAGGTTCAGTGAGGGAGAGTGGAGGGCTGAAGGTGAGTGTGACTGTGAGGGTGAGTGAGGGGCTGAAGGTGAGTGTGGCTGTGAGGGTGAGGGTGAGTGAGGGGCTTAGGTGAGTGTGGCTGTGAGGGTGAGTGAGGGCGACCTAAAATGCCGACCTCTGCCTATGAGCAAGGCCGACAAGCCGGTTGTCTGGTTGTCGCCGTCGCTTATGAATGACGGTAGCTGTCCAGAGTTTTGTGTCGACATTTGCTTGGTACCGGACACGATCCTGGGGAACCTAGCCCTTAACAGCTCCGCTGTCAAAAAGGGAGCTAAAGAGCTACGATCCAGTGGATAATACTTTTTCAAACTTCTAGCAACTTCCAGTTTCAAAAATAATTTGCACTATCATATGTAACAAAAAAAAACAACAAAAAAAAACACACACTTAGCATTGCTTGCTTCGTCTTTTGTGTTTACCTTTCTAATTCATAAACTTCCAGATTACCAAGTATGATGTTAATCAGTGATCACCGTGCAGCGTTGGAGGACGCCCAACAGCTAAACTCGAAAAAGATCCTTGAACGTGTGTGCCCTTCCGAGGCCCTAAATAGAACAATGCAGGGCCTCCACCTAGCCAGCGAAAGCTCGCTTCTCATCTCGGTGGGTCACCAGTTGGCACGCGTCCCGACGGAGCGGAGCAGACTCACTGTGCAGCAACACGTGGGGCTGGTGCAGCAGCGCAGTCATCAGCCCGTTCAGCATCTGGTGTAGCTGGTCGTCGTGGGCGTTCATGGCCTGCGGCACCTGCGTCGTCGTGGCACAGTGAGACATTGAATGCTCGCGTGTGTCGAAGTATAATCGCGTCATACGTACGTATACGCCACTTCACACATTTCCGTTTGACTGTGACCGACTCGGCTGTGACCGCTCGTGGGTGCCTATAACGGGAAACCGCGCCGGCGCCATCTGTCGGGTGTCCCTAGAACGCCCCCGATCTGCGTACATTTCCCGACTTTTTGAGGCCTCGAAATACTCTGTACAGCATTTTAGGCGATCGTTTCTCGCAGAGACTGTGCGCATAGATTTGAACTCACAAACGCTGAAAAACCTTCGGAATTGTTAGTATATGCAGTTCTGCGGCACCCGGGTGGATGGTGCCAGTGTGCTAATCTGTTTTTTAGTAAGCAGTCACGACCATTCATGCCGCGCCCAGTCGTATTCATACGCAAATGCGTAGATCGGTCTTTAGACGGTGGGAAGTCGGTCCACCTCGATGGGCGTTCGATGCCTCAGCCATAGACGAGAAATTCAAATGGCGCAGTACGACAGCCGGCCTGTGGCCTTTAGCGTGCACCAAACGTGCGTCGGGTACGACGAGAATAAGCTGTAGGCTGCGAGCCATGGGAAACTGAACGGGGGTGTCGTCTTTTTAACTAGGGCTATGTCGGAAGCTTAGACCGAAGAAGAGACCTTTCCCGATATTAACGGCAGAGAGTGTGGGTGAAGCGTGTCGACAAAGAGAGGAAATGGCGGCATTGAAAGGAAAAAGGCACTCCCGCACACCGGTCAGCAATCTGATGGCGCCTGGCCCCAACAGACCAATGCGGCTTGTATGGAATGGGAAAAAATAGAGCGAGGCGGAAACAACAAGAAGTGAGACTGGGATGTAAATCGTAAGGGCATTGCTATGTCTCCAAAGCGCATGACATAAAGCATTGGTTTGTGATGCTGTTGACGTGCATGTTCCCTATAGTCGGCGACAGGTTCAGAGTGAAGTGGAAGCTCCTCCCACCTCTCTCCACTTCAGCAGAGCAAATGCTGGAGAAGAGGTCGCCTCCTATCCCGTATTTGCTCTGTCAAAAGAAAGAGGTGGGAAGAGCTTCCACTTTACTCTTAACCTATCACAACTATGGGCTATGCCAGGCAGACCGACGGACACTGAGGACAAATTTGTGAGATTTAGTTCCATAACAATGCAATTCATGCATTTTATTTATTTATCGATCAATACCGTAGGTACATTAAAGATCAATAGAGCTGTGGAAAAATTAATGTTGTATGCATAAATTTTCATACACTGCATGTCGAAATAGCATGCACAGAAGTATACAAAAAATGAAGGACGTTTACAAATATCTGTAATGCAAAACTAGAGCGCATCTCCTGAGGAGGAGGGGAGGGTACGAAGGGAAGGGTATGCCGCTACTCCTCCTTTCCTTCTCCCATTCAATTTCCCCGCTAAATTTTCCTCTAAATTTAGCTAAAATATTCCTGCTAAATTTAATATTTTGCGGGGAAATTGACGTCACGTGACCTCAACACCAATTCAATTTCCCGCTAAATTTAGCGGAGCGGTTACGCTGACGGTGAAGCCGCTCACCGCGGAAATGGGGGGCCTAACAGCTGCACTCCAAAACGCGAGGATAAAGTCTGTCTGCACGGATTGTTTCTGCAGCATACTTCGAAGTTTGTGGCAGACTCTAGTTTTTGTTTCGTTTAGTTATAGGACGTTATTTTATTCCAAACTCTGTTCTTTCTAGCAATAATGGGCACGTCTTGGATTTCTTGTTTCGTTTCCAAAAACTGTGCAAACGTAGATGCCAAGCGGCGGCGACAGGCGTTATGACAGTTAGTAAATACCACTGTGGTGGAAGACAAAGTCAAGTAACTTTACGTCTACCCACTAATTAGTGCCAATAAAAAAAAAAAAAGACCCCTCAAATTGGCGCAGTGGTGGAATGTTTAGCTCACAATCGTGAGGTCGTGGGGAACAATCTTGTTGGGGCACGTGCAGTATTTTTCTTCTTTCTTCTCAGTTAATTACTACTTATCACGTATGCGTTCTCATGTGCCGATTGTCCCCCAAAGCAGAGTCACGCTTTTCGTAGCGTTTTACGTGGCGTTCCGCCACACCTTTTCAAAGATCTCAGCGTCTAAAATAACATTCAACGCTTAAAAAAAAAAAAAAAAAAAATTTGCCCAAATGATTTTGGCGCACGTACCTGGGTGGCAACGTTAGGACCCCGCTGCGTACCGGAGGCCCCTGAGCGGGCGCCGCGGCCGGCGGCCCCGTGCGAGTGCGCCCAGTAGGAGTTGCAGGGCAGGCAGGGGTCGAAGGAGTTTCCCACGGGGCCCATGAAGGGGCCCCCCAGGGCGCCCGGAGGAAACCCCAGGGGGCCCCGAAATGGGCCGGAGCTGGGCGACGCCCGTGTGCCCGTGGTGCCGGACGATGTGGTCACCGTCGCCGCTCCCGCCGTGGAGCCCCTCGACGTCTGGCCCTGGGACGTCGGGGTCCCTGCACCGAAATTGGGGAAGGCCGTTTGAGACAGACGTAGGAAACCTCCTACATTGCCTACAATAATTGCTGCTGGAAGAAGAAAAAAAAAAGTCTCGCTTTTTGTTACAATGTGCAAAGTGAAAACGATAGCTGTTATTGCGTGTAGTAACACACACAAGGTGACGACGACCGGCACTGCACAACACCTTTCTGTTCCAGTGGAGGCAGGTGCAAGCAAACCCAATGAGTTCGGCAATGGGGAACGTACCGGCCTCGCCCGACTGGCCGGAGCTGGCTGCCTCCTCGGCGGGAGGAGCCGAGGCCGCCGGGGCGTCCTCCTCTGGCTCTATGGGCTCCAGGGGCGGTGGTGAGCGGGGCATGTCGTCGATGACGCCCGTCGAGATGCTGTCGATGGTGATGGAGCCCGGGCCAAGCTCCATGAACACCACGGGGCTCTGGGCCGTCAGCAGAGCCGGGCCCGCATTGCCACCGAATGGACCGCCGCCCCCCATGGCTCCGCCGCGGGGGTCGGAGGGAGAGTCCGGCTGGGTTGGGGAAACGTGGGCGTTACGGGACAAGAGGGAGCTAGCAAGTAGCAATACGACGCAGCTGGTGTTGGGGTCTCTCGGTAAACCACTTCTTACACCTAACGGCGCAATAAAGAATGAATGATACAATGTTCACATATTTTTGCCCAGAACCTCGAAAGCCGATGCTGCGAGCAATGCCACGCCCGGATCAACTTTTGGCATTCTTTTCTTGCTGGGGTTGAAGTGGACCTAGACATATTTTTTAGGTGCAGTCTTTTTTTTACCGCAGTGCGGCGCCAACACTCTTACATGCAGAAGCACGTACTCAACAAAAGCCTGAAGGTCAGTATATTTGCAATAGGAAAAGAGCATTTTCGGACATCTCCCACAAACAACCATGGCAAGCTCATTGGAAACCCTATACACCAACTCATCTCTGTTAGGTCACGCTGCAGCGGTGGCGCCTCGGGCGCAATTCCTGTTTGGGGGTGTGGGCGGATGTCACCATGACTGACAGGCATCCCTGAATTGTTTTGAAAGAAACCAGAGTAAAACCTCCCTTCTTATCAAAACGCCGCAACTGGACCTGTACCAAAATAGCCAAGAAGGGTGTAAAGATCAGTTGTCATTTTTACGTGTTTTATGCCTGCTCAGTTTGTCCGTGAATGTGGATAGGTGTCGTGAAAAGGGAAACCAGACACCGTTGCACAGTGATTGCTTGTACGGGAAGCACTTTGGGTTGAATTCACGGATACTTGTGGTCATCAGATTTATTTCTGTTTTTCCAACAGAAGCGCAGGAAAACCGTCAAGTTGTCCAGTCCACCAGCAGACCAACTTCAGTGAGCCTTCACATTCATATGGCTGTCTAATTGTTACCACTACAGTCTGCTCTTTCAAACTGCCGTGTGCTCGTTCAAACGACAGCGGCCAGTAGACCAAACATTGCGTAATGCCACAGTGTCCTGGAACCTCAAAGCATTTTAAACAAATAAAAAAATAAAAGTACAAGCTTCAAAAGACTCAACCCTGAAGGTTGTTCAGGGTAAGTTAACTCTGTGTAAGCAGTAGATACAAGGAGATGTTGATCATTGTTACCAGTGGCCATGACCAACTTGTTATGCCCGATTCATCCGTTCCGATTCCGCTTGCGACCAGTATAGACGTCGAGCTTCACAGCTGCGGTTCACGCTTCTGAAGCCCGAGCGACGTCGCGATTAAAAATGGCAAGCAGAATCTCATCATGTTAATCAGGCTTCAGTGTCCATTCTGTGGCATTCACGCGGAATGAATCGCCGCACGTCACACTATTTACACAAAGTTTTGCAGTGTAACAGGGCTCATTAATTTCCCTCGACCAAAAAAGTACTGAAATATCCAGAGTCATCGCCGACCCTCCTGCCACCTGAAATTCATAAAAAAAGCGGGGTGGGCCACGTCTCAATGGGTAAGCACAAAAAAAAAAAAAAAAAAAAAAAAAAAAAACGGAGAAAACGTTTATTTTTTGTGCGTATCTAGTGCAGCTGCAGGAGAGATACATTAACTCAAAACTCGAGCTAGTTTCATAGTTTTATACAAAGAATGCTCATGAAAGAAGGTTTTACTATCGCGAAGTCCGTTGCTTGCATACGCGCCATGAACACCGCCCACCGGCATACAGCGTGAACATTTGTTCCCTAAAAGCATGCTCCATCGCTATGTTCTCCTTTAAAATAAAAAAAAAAAGATATATGTTCACAAGAAAATTAAAAAACCAACCAGCGCAACGAGCGAGTGGACCAGGGAAGCGACGAAGAGCGATGCTGGGAAAGCAGAAAAGCCGGCGATCGCATTGGCAACCACCTTGGCATGGGGCCAAGTTGGGTGCCTAGTCAATGGCAACCTCTTGTGCAACTTTCTTGTTTGGTGCATACATGCTTGCATTCATGCACGGCATGCTATCAACGTGGGTTAAGATGGGGTTGCGACGTGCCAGCAGAAGAAGCCGGTTCGTGGTGATCTTACTTCGGCGGAGACAGACTTTGGCCTGTCTCTGTCGAAGTAAGGTCACCAGGGGAATGGGGCGTTCGCTTACCTCGCGATCCCTGAATGGTAAGCGATCCCATCAGACTTTTTTTTTCTTTTTTTGTTGGGACGATATATTTGTAAGCAAAACAAACTTTTATTCTGCTATCTCACTCGTTTTCTTTTCTCACGAATACACTAAGGTCCGCGGCTGCATCGTTTAAGTAGGATGAATGTTCGCAGATCACGGAGTCAACGTTGGGGTATTAGAAGGGGTGGGCGATGACCCGGTGTTTTTTTGGATATCAATATTGGAAGTGGGGTGGGCGATGACTTGAGGATGGGCGATGACTCGGGATATTGCGGTAGTAATACACTGATAGGATGACGTTAAATCAACAATTCCAATGCGAAAAAGAGCGCGGGGACTCACAAAAACGGCGACATCATATTTCAATGGTTTGTAGATGCAGGACGCAGCGCTTCTTGCCCACACCCCATGATGGATGTGCGGCGCTGGTGGCAAGCCACTAGGTGCGCTCCAGTTTGTACGTAAACGTGAGCTGGTGTATAATGTGTGCCTGACTCTTCTTTGATGACTCTTAAAAAGATACATGCCGCCACATGGAATTTTTCGGGGCAACAACTCCTTGCGGCGGCATTTCTTCTGTGCTTAATAACCGGGAAACCTTTCATTACTTCTAATTTCCCAAGTTGTAAGGTCATACTATCCAAAAATTTTAAGCACACGTAGACAGAACCACTCCTTGTCACTGATGCAATAATTCCAAGCTCAACTGCAGCAAACACAAAGAAGTACCGAGCAACAAAAAAAAGATCCATGATCCGTGATCCAAAAAGAAAAGATTTCAGCCTTTCCACTCTGGTGAAGAAGGAAGACAAGCGAAGCTGTCTACAACGACCTCAAGGACAACTTCCAGGACGACCTCGAGGACGACTTCTAGGACGACCTCGAGGACGACTTCTAGGACGACCTCGAGGACGACTTCTAAGACGACCTCGAGGACGACGCCTAGGTAGATCTCAAGGATGACGTGACGACCTGAAGGACGACGTCCAGGACGACATCAGGGACGACATCAGGAACGACGTCCAGAACGACCTCAAGGACGACTTCTAGGGTGACCTCGAGAACAATGTCTAGGACGACCCCAAGGACGACATCTAGGATGAGCTCAAGATGACTCCTAGGACGACCTTGAGGACAACCTCTCGGACAACCTCAAGGGCGACGTCTACCACGACCTCAAGGACGACGCCTAGAGAAATTCAGCCTTTCCATTCTGGTGAAAACCAGAGTGAAAAGCCTGGAAAGGTTTGCGCTATCTATGAGCGACGGCGGCAACCAGACTGGTTGTCCAGTTGCTGCCGTTGCTCGTAGATCGCAGTAGCCATCTATGAGCAACGACATTTGTTTGGTACCGGACACGAAACTGGGAAAACTAGCCCTTAACAGCTCCGCTGTAAAAAAAAAAGGGTGCCTCTTTCGCCCACATTGTGAGAAGTGAAAGTAATAGCTGTAGCACATGCGCGCAATGCGAGCTAAATGGCATCGTCACATACCTAAGGACGGTACATCACGACAACGTTCTGCCAGCACTGTGCAAACGTGCTTCAACTATCGCTTTTACTTCTTCGCACGCTGATAGGAAAGCCTGCGCCAACACAAGCGAAGGCGCAGGTTTTCTAGGTGATGTTGAGCAGCGAGGAGAGGGGGTAATGTTGTTGTCCAGCGACGAGCGGTGAAGGGGACGTATGCAGAGAAACAAGCCAGGTGCAAGGCGACGAGTTTTGGCAGAACATAGTTGACATATCGAGTTGGGTTCGAGAAGGAGAGATGTTATAGTGAAATCAAATGCAGTGGAAGTTTCGAAGACCCTCCAACATTACGCATGGCAACTGGATGCTGCCAAAGTGGGATATTATATAACGCGAGTAATGTTCGAAAACACCCATTTTGAAATAATTGTAAGCAGGCAGTGCTTCCCCCTCATCACGCCATTATCGGCGGGGCCCTGCTCTCTACCCGCTGGCGTGGCGCGATCATTGAAAACACCAAAACTTCTCTCCTCGTGCCATAAGGGGAGAGAAGGGCTTTCCCATCTCCGCTGCGACGACAGACAACAAACGCTGACACTGAAATCCCTGCAAAGAGTCATCGTTAAAGCAATCACTTCAAAACAGCAAAAATATACCTGGGCAGCGGCATTGGTGGCTGTTCCAGTGGTCGCCTGAGCGCCAGGTGCCGATCCAGTGCGACTGCCGATGGTGAACTCTCCCGATGGAGATCGCACGGCGTTCACACTGATCTGGCCCTGCCGACCAACCAACAGGACAGTGTGAACAGCCGTGCGCAACCCAATCTGCCCTAGCGCCACTGTATATGCCCCCATAGAGAGCAGAGTAACGCCAACTGTAGCACCCCCACTCAGCGACTAGCGGCGAATGCCAAAAAGGCTCCAACTCTTGCAAGGTGGACGTATCGAGTATAAAAGAAAGCTGGGACTTCGTTACATCTAGGCTATTTATCGTGCGAAAACTGTTTTTGATATTATAGTAGGCACTCTCAAAGCATTTGCATTACTTGTTATGGTCTGAACGAGTAAAGAAGTCTTGTTTTGAGCCCAAATCACCTTACGGCGGAACAGACAACACAGTGGGCCCTGTGGTGAGTAAGCGGTGGTTCTGTGGTGCTGCCAGCAACTTGTAGTGGCCTTTTTTCAGTTAGCCAGTGCAGCATGACTGCTACCCTGGCATCTGTAACATGCATCCTGCAGCAGTGATACACGAAAGCGCGGCGGTACAATGCTCGCCCAGATCGAAATAGGCATACGGGTGGGGATTTTGCCTAGGATCCCTGGCTTCTGCAGTGTACGCTTTCGTTCCATGTGCTCCAAGCTAAGACAAACTAATCAAATCACATGTGTAGAATAAAACCAGTGTATAGTCAATGCATGAGAAGCAATGCGATATTGCATGCGGACGCAGGAAACGTGATACAGCAATGACACTAGAGAAACTCACGGCGAGCTAGCGGCAAGTCTTTACAGTAGGAATCGATTAATGCATTGTTTTTAAATGCTACGCATACAATAATTTGTACTTGGTTCCTCGGAAAAGAGGAGCCCTCCACAACTTTTGGGCAAAGATCGAAGGCACTGCATTTTGCGCTAGCCTGCGTTTGCAGCCATTCCGGCGAACATCACAGTTTGTGTTCATTCAGTTCTCCAAGCTGTTACACCAATTATCACAATAATATAACTTAAAGGGATGGTGAACCGATATTTGGATTTCAGAAAACAATGCAGGAGCTGTAAGCGGGACGCTACAATCCCTTCAACACTGCTCGTAAGGCGACATGTCAAATCGACAGCTGTATTTCTTAGAAAAAAATGGTCGAGATTGAACGAGGCCGACGAGGCGCGTAACGTCCAAGATATTTTGTTTCCGCCTCTCTGTTCCGCCCCCTCAAGACGGCGAGGAGGAGAAGACGCAAGGCAGTTCCCTCTCCTTCTCAACCCTTCTTGGAGAAGCAAGACGTAAACATATGTGTCAAATGCGCCTCCTTTGTTTTGAAAACTATGGTCATCCGTTCGATATATCGTTGTATGAGAGATGTTTTAATTTTTGTAGCATCCCCCGTTGCACTCTTTTGCCGCCGTGCTTGCGGAATCCAGATTTCGGTTCAGCATCCCTTTAACTTGCACAGCCGAGTGCAAGAGGTGTGAGTGAAGCCTGTTCTACTGATCCACGACAGCCACAAAAGTCGTCGTGTGTGGTGTTTCTCACCCTCCGCGATACGAAAAAGCTGCTTTCCAGTCACATGCCGGTATTACACCCGGAAGTGCATCACCCTGGCATCAAACAATCGAAATGTTGCAAAAAACAACGACTGCCAATAACACGCCAATGCTCCCACCGCGAAAACCGGAACCTTTCGCAAAAGTGCGGGAAAATTTTGCCCATGTGATCGTCGTGAGTCAATAAGGGGCATGGATTGTCGGCGAACTCGTACATCTATCAATAACTCTACTCTGCTCCTAGCGGAAGCATATACAATGGCGCAAATCCACTTCAAAAGACTAAGTGAAAAACGCTAAACGCATTAAAAAAGCGAACTGGATAGTGGTCATTTCTGACTTAAAAAGAAAACTGCCAGTCTTTGGTATACATCTGAGGCACTATGTCCGTGGCATTTATAGATCATTTTGTGACTTCACGATGCCACCCGATGCCGGTGTCGTGCGACGCTATGTCAGGCAACCACGAAACAAAGTGGAGTCACGGCGTCGCGCAACGTTGCTTCAGGCCCCGTCACGTGACACCATGACGTCATGCAACTACCACCATGTTGATGACACAGCATAAACACTGTGATGGCATCAGCGTGACGTGACCGGCGAGACTAAAGCGCACGGACGCGAAAATGCTAAGAGCTGACCCTATAAATGCTATGCATTTAAGTTTGCGTCAGGTATTCAGGAAATAAAATTGTGCTTTGGCACCTTCTGACACAGATTCACTAGAATAGCTTGCATCCATCCTTCAGAGATAGCAGACAAATAAATTTGATGGGTTTCACGTGCCAAACCAACGCAGGGCATATGGCAACGCAGGGCATATAGATTAATTTCGACCATTTGGGGATCTTCTGGCACGCAACAAAAAGCTCGGCAACATGGCGCCTTCTCCACAATAGGCCTCGGTCACATTGCGGGTGCCTAGGCAGGGATTTGGACCTGCCATCCAGAGATCCGTGGGCCGGCGCTCTGCCTTGGAGCCACTGAGGCGGCTGCCGGGACGTACCTGGAAGGGCATGCCGGCGTGGAACAGCCCGCCGGACTGCATAGGGACGAGCAGTCGTGCCCTCAGGCTGCGTGGGCACGCTGTCGCATTCAGGTGGAGGTCGCTCACGGCATGCAAAGCGTGACTCAGCAAGTGCATGGCCTGGCAGACGCCGTTGGACAGCGCAGAGGCCTCGGCATCCTGGCGTGGAGGCAACCAGACACAATTGACTTGCAGATTTTAAAATTAAGACACGTTGGGAATCGCCTGCCAAGCATAAAATGTTTGCTTGCCTACTATGAGACAGAGCTAATGGGTAAGGGATTATAAAAAAAAGTATTTAAGTCACCATCTAGACGGCGCCGCTTCCTATCCTCGCACACTCAAGAACAACACGGTAGTTTTGATCTGGCATCTACATGGGCAGAGAAAATCTTTGCTTCCCTTTTGCCTCTTCTTCCCCTGGACACCTCCCCTCCCCTCCCTCCCTCCCCCCCCTCCCTCCCCCCCCCCCCCCCTTTCGCGACCTCCCATCCGACCCCCTCCGTGTCAGCCCTGCGACGACTCGGCCCGTCGCTGCAAAAGGTTGCCAACCCTTTGATGAGAAGACAGTGCCTCGAGCGTACCGTCATGGAGGGCTGGGTCCCACCTTCCGCCCGCTCCTCCTCTCCTACCAGCTGCTGGTACTGCTGCAGGAACGGGGCCAGCCGAGTCTGCAGCTGCTGAATCTCCCCAAGGACGGGAGCCAAGGCAGTAGCCGGGGGCCTGCAATGTTCCAAGGGCCCTCAGAAAGATCTTTTGCTTCGCTACAACCCTCCCTGCATCGTGTAAACCGGGGGTTCTTTAACTTTTGAATCTCAAGGAATCCCCATCTGCCCTCGACGGCAGCCGAGACACAGACCCCTTCGAAGATAAATGCATGTACCAAGGGATGTGTGGCTCATAGCTATGCATCAATGGGTGACTCAGATATGCTACAGTAGTACTTAACCCGGAAAGATGCATACTTGGGGGCGGGCATGGCGGAGGAGACATGGGAGGTCAAGGAACCCCTGTGGGTACTCTGGAGAAGCCCTGGGCTCTTAGGAACCCAATTTGAGAATCTATTATTGCAACCATAAATGAAGGTCCATCCACAACCAAAGGCAGGGAACCACGTTTTACCTAAACATCTCTAGAGACAAAGTGTGTGAGGCTTTCTCTCCTACAGGGCACACGGAAGTCGGCTGCTACCATTTATAAAGACAGTCCACCAGGTGAGAAGGTCCGGAGTGCAAGTTTGTCTGCTTCTTGCATGATGATGTCAAAATGCTGAGCTCTTATTGGCTGACTGCAAAAAAATTTAGTGGGTAAAGCTCAAGGCACCTAGCATCGAAGTCTACCCACTATCCTTCTAATTAAAGTCAATCAGAACTCAACGTCGTTCTGACGTCACGGCAACACCTGTGCAAGAAGCAGACGACTCGCTCTTTGCATAGACTACAGTCAAATGGTTTTATGACGAACGCCTCTAGCACAAAAATGGAGGTTTTAATTGAAGTAAAATAGTCTCGGCCAATCTCTTACAAGCTAAATGTGTTTCCTTGACTACTACTAGCCAGTTCCTGTTTAACAAACGTTTCTGTTGCGCGGCCCTAGAAAGCAAAATTGAACTGTTTTACAAATTTTCTAAGTGAAACGTAATCAATTTTACGTAAACTGTTGTTCTAACAAGACGCGCGTAAAGAACAGATATACTGCGGCAGCGGCAACAATTGACACCGCCGCCGCGCCGCCTCCACCAAACCCCTTTTCTGTTGCCGCACCAGATGTGCTAGGGTCCAGATTATTTGTTAATGTGCAAACTTGTATCTAGATGGCACTACGTGACTATTCTTTATTCAGCTTTGCTACGCAGGAAGCCTGTACTAACGTTATTAGATTAGCTTAGTTATGGAAGACGCTGCTTGCACGAGCAGTACCCCACCTCACTCACCACGACTAGCCTCCCGTCGTTCGATGCACCGGACGGTCGCTTTGGTAAATACAGCGTATTTTAAGTAATACATATGTTTTGAAGCACAGAGTCAAGATGGCACTCCACCGTACTCTATGGAAAACACAGTTATGAAACGAAAATCTAGATGGCTGTGAGTGAGAGGGGTACCCCATTCTGCAGGAGTTTCAAAGCTGAGGTAATTTAGTCATGTTGGCCTGTACACAGAAACGTTGTCACCTAGTGCCATCTAGACAAAAGGTTGCACACTAACGAATTATTTGGACTCAAAATGGTGAACCTGCAGCACGGTCGTGCATTGCGTGGCGCCGCATTTACCGCACGCTCGTGCACACTTTCGTTTTGCTCACACCATTGTGCTCCAACATGACAAGTTTTTTTTCTTCAACGCACCGTTCAGGCAATACCTGTACTTGCTTTTTAAATTTTGCATGTATGTCAGCGCACTTGAAAGGACCCTCGCAAACAAGAGTATATATATATATATATATATATATATATAAAAAAGTATTTTCGGGGGCAGCTGTAACCATTCTTTATGCTGTCTTTGCATTTGTTTGACTGACGCGCAGAACTTCGTCAGGATCCGAGATTCCCAATCTTGCTCCATTCAAGTCCCAATTCTTTTTTTTTTTTTTTTTATGTTTTTAATAGTAGTAGGTTGAAAGAAACACCAGGGCCAGGCCAGCTGGGCTTAAGGCGTCGGTGCTGTCCTGGGGTGGGGGATGGGGATTAAATAAAGTGAGTCAGGTGAGCCTCCTTCATGAACCAAAGGAGGAGGGAGTCAAATAATTCTTTTCGATGCTTTTTTTTTCCGCCAATATGCAATTGTTTCGCCAATATGCGGTTGAGGAAACGTGATCTGCGACCCCAGCCACGATGCCAAAATCGAAGCAAAATCAGGAGGGCTACGCAGGAAAACGCGTCCCCCTCTTTGTGCCGGACAGATGTGAAGAAGAGCTTAGTCGACCCAGTTGTGAACCTCTCTGCCGTGCTGCTGCGGTAGTGCTGCCGCGGATGCCGTGTCCACTCCTTTGAGAGCAACACAGCCACTTTGAGGTCCCCCTCCTAATGACACACGATGAGGCCCAATTTAGAAAAGGACAAATTTACGTTCGGCAAACGCCTTCTATTTGCTGCGTGATTAGGGGTCGACGTCTGTGGTTTGGTGATTGCTGGGATTCGTATTTTGATAAGTCAGTTAAGATTGTTCTGTAAAAGTTTGAACAGAGGGAAATTGGATGGATGGATGGATGAATACGGCTGAGCCCTTTGGATCGGGCGGTAGCTTATGCCACCTAGCCATTTTGTTTTACCATTTAAGCTTAGAATATTTAAATGTGAAATCTATATTCACTCCGCAGTGCAAAGAAAGTGAGGCTATGAAACCCCCTTGCCATCAGTGGATAAGAAAATACCTAGTTTTCTCTCGATTTCTGCCACCATTCACTTAATCTTTGCTTGGTAATCTCTACAGTCTTGAAATCCACTCTCCCTTCGCTGTCTCTAAAACCCAATGACTTTATTAAATTTATGTTGTCTTCGGTAGGCATAGGGTGAAGCCCTTTACAGTAGAGTATCAAGTGCTCAGCCGTCTCGTCCTCCTCTCCACAAGCAGTGCACACTGTATCAATTTCCTGGTACTTCACTCTATGTTCTGGTTCGCAGAACACCCGTTCTTGCCTCAAACAGATTGAGCTTCCCCTAGAATTGTCATAAATGCTTTCTTTGGCAATAACTCTTTTGTTTAATCTATAGCTTTTTAGAGCCGTCTTTGTCTGCATTCCCTCTAGCCACCGATCTCTTTCTGTGGCCTTAACTTTCTTCTTAACTGAGACTTGCTCTTCCGTATCTTCGCTATAGCCCAAAAACTTTCCTCTTAATTTCCTAGTGCGCTGTCTCCACTTTGTGTCTACACTCCTCATGTATAAATAGCTGAAAACCTTTCGTGCCCATTGCTCCCCGTCCATTTGCCTCAACCTATCCTCAAATTCTACCTTGCTCACCGCTTCCCTGCTCTCAAATGATGCCCATCCCATGTCTCCTTGTACTCCCTGGTTTGGCGTTTTGCAATGTGCCCCCAAAGCCAGTCTACCTACTCCGCGCTGTTTTATTTCTAGTCTCGCATGCACTTCGGATTTCATGCATAGCACTGCGTTTCCAAAAGTCAAGCCAGGCACCATGACCCCTTTCCAAATCTCTCTCACCACCTCATACCTGTTGTAATTCCAAAGTGCTCTATTTTTCATTACAGCTGCATTTCTGTTGCCCTTACCTATTATATACTTTTCATGGTCTCTGAGATATTCTGCCCCATCACATATCCATACTCCTAGATACTTGTATTTACTAGCTCTCTCAACTGTAATATTCTGTATCTTCAGCCTCTCAACTTCATCCTCGTTAAAAATCATGACTGCCGATTTTTCGCTACTGAATTCTAAACCTAATTCCTCTCCTTCCCTACCACAGATGCTCATTAATTCCTGCAACTCTGTCCTGTTGTTAGCCATTAGTACAATATCATCCGCATACATCAATCCCGGTAAGGATTGCTGAATTTTTTGGCCTAGCTTACTGTAAGAAAGGTTGAACCCAAGCCCACTCTTCTCCAGTCTATCCTCCAATCCTCTCAGATACAACATAAACAGCAAAGGCGATAACGGGCACCCCTGCCTAAGGCCTCGTCTTATCTCTATTTTCCCTGTCGCCTTTCCTTCCCATGTTATAATCACCTTGTTATCTTTGTAAATGTTCCTTAATAGTGCTGTTAGTCCTTCATCTAGGTTTAAGTTCTCCATTATGTCCCACAGGTTTCTTTGGTTCACATTGTCATAGGCACCCTTGATATCCAGAAATGCCAGCCAGAGCTGTCTGTTTTCTTTTTGCGCTATTTCTATACACTGTGTTAGAGAAAATAAATTGTCCTCCAACCTTCTTTGTTTTCGAAACCCGTTCTGTAATTCACCCAGTATGCCCTCGCAATCTACCCATTCCTCCAGTCTGTTCTTTATAATCTGCATTACCAACCTGTAAATAACCGGTGTCACAGTTATAGGACGATAATTCCTAATATCAGACTTATCTCCCTTTCCCTTATATATCATACTCATCCTACTAAGCCTCCATTCATCTGGGATATTTCCTTTTGTTATCATGGTACTCACTACCTCCCTTAGTTTTGCCTTAGATTTAGGACCCAAATTCTTCACCAGCTTGATAGGGATACCATCTGTGCCTGTCGACGTGCCACTAGGGACTCTTCGTTCCGCCTTTTCCCATTCACTTTGTCCAAAATCCGCGATGTCACAAACTGGACTGCTACTTCCTTCGGTTCTCCTATCTTCCACATGTAACCGTTCCCGAAATTTCTCCTCCATCACTGCTCCTATATATTGTATCGCATCATCTCCCTCTAATTGATCTCCCTGATGCGAGAGTATGAACCTCTGTCTAGCTTGCGTTGTTTCACCGAGCGAGTTCAAGTGCTCCCAAAACTTCTTGGCAGCGTTTCTATCTTTCTTACTTACATTACTCATCCATTCCTCACCCTTTCTCTGAATTTTCGCATTGATCAAACTGGATGCCTCTCGGCGACATGTTATAAAATTGTCCCATTTTCTTTTTACTTCCGTTTTGGACTCCCCACTACGCTTGGAATACCTGTGTTCTCTAGAGGCTTCCTGACGTTTTTGTATCGCTTGCTTCACTTCTTTGTCCCACCAGCTTTTTGGTCTATGTCCTTGCTTACCCTTTCGTTTACTCTTAACTTTGTCTAGTTCTAGAGCAAAAAGCCTAGTTAGGCTCTCATAGGTCCAATCTGTATGCCGTTGCCCTGAAACTGCTGCCTCTATTTTTTCAACAACTATTTCCAACTCTTTGATCAGCAGCAAAGAGCGCCACCTGGTGAATCAGCTGTAGATGACAAACTTTGCCAGTGAGGGTACTGGCGGTACTGTCAAGCCCAGTTATAACGAAGTCAACGGGAATCGGAAATCCCTTCACTATATCCGCCATTTCGTTATAACCGACTTCAGTTAAAGGCCGCGGTACAGTTCACGCTTTCCACTTTTTCGCGTTTCCTCCTCTCCTGCCCTCCTTTCCTCCCTTCACCGCCCTCCGCCACCTATTTACCGCCCTCCCCCGAGGGGCCAACACGGAGAATGGATTAGGAGACGCCTCCGTTAATCCAGATTAACCCGCTGAAGAGGGGGCCTGCTGCTTGACTAAAAATTATTTCGCTGCTCGAAAAAGAAGCCAAAGAAAAAAGAAAAAAAAAAAAAAACGCCGCGGACAGCGACCGAATGCGCTTTGCAAGATGCGCAACGCTCCGTCCGCCTCGAACAAGCTCGTATGCATTGGACTAACATTTCTCGAAGCGCGGCAGGTTTAGTGTAGGTCCTATCATATGGTCCTGCAAGACCTCCCTGTCCGCCACAAGCTAGCCAATAATTCAAGGACATAACGACGGCATTGTATTCAAACAGTGTAAAATAAAATGTATATAATATTTATAAGAACACTGTTGTCTTCACTGCTTGGCTTTCAAATTTTTAGCGCTGCAAATAATCGTAATCAAAATATTTTTACGATTGAAAACCCCTCGTCGTGCATCGAACCCAAGGATTACGCTTACGTAAAACATGATTCAGCGCGGGAACGGCTCAAATCACCGTAAACTTTTTTTTTTCTTTTTTCAACGTGGATTTTGCTTTTTAATTTAGCTGAGGTACCACTGGCAGAACACGAATCGCGTACTTGGAAGGATCTGAAAACTCATATAGCTGGTTGAGTGAATGCAATACTATCGCATTTGTTGAAGCTCGATTTGTTGATTCGAACTTCAACAAATCACACACACCCATTCTCCCTATTCCTGTTTCCCCAGTCAGAGTCGTTCCCTCACGATGCAATACGAGTGCAAGTAACGGCAGTTTATGCAATGTTGACGTTGCACAGCCGTGTATCGCACGGTTTTTAGAAGCGCTATAGAACGAGCACAAGCGTAGAATTTCGATACAGTGATTGATTTCTGTCTCCCTGCTGTGATGCCACACGAGAAAAGCGATTTCGTTCTGTCTGTGAAATTAGGAACACAGAAAGCAAGATATAATCCCGGTATAAAAAACAAAGCGAAATGGATCTCTGCAGCCAATACCCAACCGTTCGCGAGGTGACTAGGCAAAAGCATATATTACCTCTGTGCCTTTACCCTCTGCACACCGTCACAGCGTGTCATACAAACTCCTTTGCACTATTATCAACACGATTGCAATTGCAAGCCGGTAGTTTGACTCGCCTGGGATTCGTCCCTTTTGGCTTTCATAGCTTTCTATGAAACCAGAAAGGTAGATACTTTTCTGCAATGGGTAAGTTCGCCCGGGGCCTCCAGTTATTTACGGCCAAAATCACACTGGAGGTGCTTCAGCAATGTTCACTCTGGTCGACACACGTTCTCTCTAAAAATGCCTGTCGTCTACCTTCCCAAAAGATACTTGAAGAGCCAATCATAGAGATCGACGGATAATGAGGCCGAAATTATGCTTATACCTCAAGAAATTATAACTCAAGTTTGGCCTCGTCATTCCCAAACTGGTTGCCGGACAAAATTCTCTATGCAGATTGCAAGCCAGGGTTGGTAATAGTAACGTAAGATACGTACGGCAGAATTCCCTGCCATAAATAAAATGATTTGGCTAACCCCAAAGTAACGGGAAATAGGTGCAAAGAGTTTTGTGAAAGGGAGAGTAAACAGAAAAAAAAGGGGAAAAAAAAAGACAGAAGAAAAGGAGAAGTAAGAAGAAAAATCTCTCGTGATGTGACCAAAAAAAAAAAAAATTTTTGTTGATGTGATTTTTTTGGTCACGTGACCAAACAAAAAAAGAAATAAACGAAATAAAAAAGAACACAAGAAAGAACCACCCACTGCTCCGTTTCGAAGCTAGGCCCTCTTAATCGTGCAACTAGCGCCCATAACTTTTTTTCTTTCTTTATTGCAAGTTGCGCCAACATAACTTTGCCTGTAATGCCCACGCATTCTCACATCATAGAAGAAAGCTTAGCTGCCTTCGTAGTTTTTCATGCATGTGTTATTTTCATTTGTGCCAAGAGTTTCCTGTTCCAGAATGCTTTTAGAGTTATGGAGCAAAACGAGTTTTCTTCATCCGAGTCACCTTCTAGAATCTAGAGCCAGTAGACCCGCACTGGGTCGTCCAGCTAATCAAGCAGCTATTTGCAAATTCTCTGACGTGCCCGCCCTCGCATCCGAGGTCGCCGTTTGACAAGCTTATCTTTCTTCCACCTGGTAGCCGGAACCTTCACGGCAGCTTTGTTCCGTCCCCACTCCTTCTCGAGAGGATGGCTCGCCCCGAGGATAATCCCATTCTCTAGACGCTCTTTCCATACAACGCTGGCCCTTTCCCTCCCCGTCCCCCAGCTTCGGGAGAGAAGGTTCTTCCCTGCAGAACGTCCCGTTTGTACAGCGGCCTTTAAGGAAGTGCAGAAGGGATTGGGATATTGTGATCGCTTTGCTGTAGCCGCTATTTCATTATAACCGGTCTCAACAGTACGACCACTAGCCTGGTGTCTTTAGATTGTGTCAAGCAGTGGTGAGTACACGGTGAGTACACAAATGAATAATGCGTGCCAATACAATTTTTATATAGATAAAAAAAAAAAAATGAAAGCCGTTTACAACTCCCTGTAATGCCGAATTAGAGCGCAGCTCTTGAGGAGGAGGAGAAGGTACGGAGAGGGGGCTATACCCCTCCTCCTCTCGTCCCATTTAGGTAAAAATTTTCCACTAAATTTAGTGGAAAAAATTTCCCGCTTAATTTAGTGGGGAAAGTTTTCCGCTAAATCTAGTGCGGAATTTTTTTCCACTAAATTTAGCGGAGAAAATTTTCCGCTAATTTAGCGGGGAAATTTTCCTTTAAATTTAGCGAGGAATTTTTTTCACTAAATGTAGCAGGGAATTTTTCCGGTAAATTTAGCGGGGACAATTTGCCGCTAAATTTTTCCACTAAATCTAGCGGGGAAATTTTTCCGCTAGATTTAGCGGGGAAAATTTTACGCTAAATTTAGCGGGGAAATTTACCCATCGGGCACCACGCGGTTGCGCCGACGCCGCTCAAGCTGGAAACGGGCACCTAAGAGCTGCGCTCTAAAAAGTGGTCATCGAACTTAAGATGACTGACTTCTACAGCGCAAGCTTGTGCCCAGGGATGGGCAAAATACATAGAAATATGTATCGAATTACAAATACAAAATACTTCGTCATAAATGTATTTAATTACAAATCTAATTACATTTCCAAAAAAGCATTTAAGTACAAGATACAAATACAACCAAATGTATTTGGTCTCCTCCAAATACTTTTCCAAATACATTCCTCAAAATTTGCGTCTGCGACTTCAGGGCACCTGCAACAGGCTTCTGGGTATCTCATTTTAATTTTGCATCGCACACTCAGGAGCTAGTGTGCGAGGCTTTAGTAATGAATAGAAATATAATCACAAAAAAAATGTAATCAGCTTGGACGTAATAGGTGAAAAAAGTACAGAGCTTCAAGCAGCTTTTTTTGTTGACTATGTTTTGGTATAGACCAACAAAAAACCGAGACGACCAAAACGCGCAGCAGTAGCTAGAAAATTTGTTATTAATGCAACTCGCACCAGTTACGAAAATCTGGACGACCCGCGCATTTAGAATGTTCCAGGCAAAAATATGGATGGAAATCAGACTGGAAAGCATCAGTTGTCACAGGCACTTATTTAGCCAGTATGCTGGTGAACGTCGACTCCGTCACTATTCTTGCCCTGTACTAGCACCGTAATCACAAAGTCACTAAACGCTTGTGCTTGATTGAGAGACACTGCATTCGGTGCAGAAAGTAGTTTTCTTCCTGCTCTGAACACGTCTTAGGATGAGCAAAATGAGACGTGACAATAAATTTGAGGGATGTATTTTTGCCCACAAAATTGTATTTAATTACAATTGTATTTGAAATATCCACATTTTAGTATTTAAATACACACGTCAAATACATCACCCAATTTGTAATTAAATACAAATGCAAAATACACAAAGTAAATTGAATTACTGCCCATCCCTGCTTGTGCCCCATGTGCACTAAGCTGCAATGCGCTAGAAGACTCGGCCACTGTTCCCCATTTTGATAAGTCAATTGTCAATGTACAAAACTTTGTCCTCGATGTCGATATACTTTTTTCTAAAACATCTTGAATGTTGCGCAGGTTAGTCTATACGCAATAGTACAAAGTAGGTTTTGCGCGATCCATTTTTCGCACTCCCTGCAACTTATCATTTCCGTCAAAAAAAACAAAATGGGTGGCAGGCGCACATTTTGCAATGACTGCCAGTCGACAAAAGAATAATTTTGTCTTTTCAAAGCGCCCACCAGGTAATAGCACCCACTGAAAACTTAGGAACATGAGTATGTCGCCTAATTGCATTGGTAAAACGTCAAGCCACCTTCAATGAAGAACTTGATTTATGCAAACTAATAAATTGATGTCACGGAGACCTCGGTAAAGCTCTCGCTGCTTTCTAGACGTAGCGTACCCACCCAATGTCTCTGCGTAGTCTCGCGAACGGTGTTCCCCCCGAGGACTCCCCCGCAGTTCCAGAAGCCGGGGCTGTTGCCGATCCGGTTGTCGTCTGTTCCGACGATGAGTTGGATGCCGCTGGCGATGGCCTCGGTTGTTCTTCCGCTGAAGAGCCAGAAAAAGGGAAGCTCGGTTATAGCTCGCCATTTCGTCTGTGCCTTGAACAGGAATTAAGCCGTGTGAAGCGGGTTTCTTTTAACCCTTGGCACAGCAATCACATCACTGAGACTGAAACCGACTATTCAAAATTATTGCTGCGCAAGAAAATTTATTACATTTTTTTTAAATATCACTTATTTACTGGTTGCTGAAACACCTTGATCCCAAATGATGTGCTTCTTCCTTTGCAGATGCAATTTTTAAGCCCAGCGCATAAAAAAGAAGCAAGGAAACAAACTGACACTAACACAAACCAACCTGCCCCCAAATGCCCATCAGCTGTGCCATATTACTTTATTATGCTGACCTTTTTTGGTTGAAACAAAAAAAAAATCACAACTCCACGTGGTGAATGATGTTGATTGGGGCGAAGCTCTGGTGGTGCTGATGATACAGGTTTTATTGTTCATAGGTAGTGCTGATTTTTTTTTATTGCTCATAGGTACTGCTGAGTTTCGGGTTGCGTTTCGACTTCATTATTACTGCTTTATGGTCGGTGAAATGCAGAGCCAGTGGTTCTTCTAGCGGATCAGCTTGGATCCACTAGAAGCCGTGGAAACGCATCTCCACCGCGTCAACGGTCCATGTCAGAAAGAGAATGTGTGGTATGGGTCGTGGTTATATACGCATTTGAGGATTTGACCGCAGCGCCCTCTTGTCTATAAATGCTGAGCTAATGCATGCAAAGTTTAACCCAATCATATACACATTTGACCGCAGAGCCCTCCCCTGTATAGACGTTGAGCGGCCACATGCAATGTTTCATCCATGACAGACAGATGGGATGGCAATCGATGTGAGCACGGACGCCGGACGGATGGTCAAGGCTAGACCCTAAGGAGCTTCACCCCTAAAAAATTTAAAAGTAAATTCGCTATATATTTTAAGGTTGTTGTCGGTTTAAACCAAAGAGCAAACCCTAACTATGTACCGAATAAATTAAATCGAGAGTAGATTTCAAACAACACAGCAACACCAAAAACTGAGAAGCGCAAAGCCTCAGGAAACAAAATGATCATGCTGACAGACCGGGGAGCATTTTAGAGTATGTGTGGTTTGTGCTAATCATTTCATTATTTTCTTTTTCTATTTATTAATTTAATTATATCATTTTGCCGGGAGCATTGCTCGGGGGCTGTAGTGTCTGACTGCCACAGCACTGACCCGGGTTTGAACCCCGATGAAAAGAGCCCTACGCAGATAACAGTTTGACCATCCATAACCAATACCCATCCACAGACTGTACACGCACCCAAACCGCATCCACAATCTTCTTTAATTATTGTATCCGCATCCGCAAAATTCAGAACAGCATCCGACCCGCAACAACGAAAAAAAAAAAAAAAGGAAAAAGGAGGTATTTTATGAATGAGCGCAGGGTCTGTGGTCGCACAGGCGATGAAGGGTGAGTGTCGCCGGAGCTAGGACAGCGGCGGCCTACAGGGAGGAAGGGAGGGGAAGAGAGAGAGACAGCCTTGCCATGTGTGAGGAACGACGGGAGAGAGGGAGAGCGGTGCCTCTGCTGTACCCAGGGGGGTTTCAAATTCGGCATTTTTGCCAGGGGAAGGGGCATTAACAGCTACTGCTGTAAAACGCATGTCTCTTTGTCCTTCTCCCATATATGCGACATCTTGCACAATCATTCCACCACAGCACACATAGTACAGCACACTGGCTGAAGGCAAATCTACTTCAACGTGTCTTTCCACAAAGCAGCAGCTACCGCTGTCAATCGCAGTACACTGTGTGGTCATTTGCAATTTTAAGAGCTATATTTATAACCCTAACGTTAGCTACACTCTCAGTGCGACGCCCATCCATGACTTTCGTTTTTCTGATGAAGCACATTTCGCGTTGAAACGGAGGCAGCTCACATGAATTGTCCTGGGAGTCTGTGGCCGCCTGGTTGCTTTCGGGTGCTGAGGAAGAGCCAAAAACGGAGCCGGCCGTGACGCGGGCTGCAACCACAGCTGCAGCCGCGGCCGCTGCCCTGGCTGCATTCACGATGCCCTCACCGAAGCGCCCTGTCGAGCCGGAGGGGGCTGCACCGCCGGTGCCTTCGCTGCCGCTGTTGTTGTCATTGGCTCCGGCCTAGGCGGCCAAAGTGTGCCAGTAAGACGTGTGCCAGTAAGATGCGCGCCGTCGCGCAAGTGCAGACACGGCTTGTTTGAAATGCCGAGCACAACAATGAATGGCGTACTGATGACAACTGGTCTTTAACAGAGCTGGTAGCGAATGATGTTGTTTTATTGGCATCTCATGCTTTTCGAACAGTCTGAAACACATTTCTACTTCGAGCATAAAAGATTTCTAATCTGATTCTGCTCGACTGAATAGTGTCAAAAGCGGTACAGTTGTCTCTCAAAAAAGATCAAGTTTTTTTTATTAAAATAGCTTGCCACAAAGCTCCTTGTGCATTGCTTTTTCAGCTACCGACACCATACTTCAATTACTCTTTGAAAGTACACTGTGAACATTACTTTGTTTTCTATCTTAAAGGGATACTGAAGCGAAACTTGAAATACACCTAATATGGTCAGAAATAGGTTCAATATGATCAACGATATTCATAAATCATAATCGCGCGTTTGTATTTTGAACGGATGGCTATATTTTTCACCCTAATGGGCCCGATTGGGCGCGCGCTCAAAAATCGGCCATCGGAGAGCGCGATGCGTCTTGGGATATTGGGCGCATTCGTGACGTCACTTGTGCCAGTCGGGAAAGGCTACGGCGTGAATGTGGTGGTTACGAGCGTTGCCACTTGGTGGCGCGTCGACGATTTACGACCTGTGACAACGTGGCCGTTTGAGATGTGCAAGGGCTGCACGCACGCTGCACCACGGGACCACGGCAAGTCGGCAACCACGGCAGCACTGACAAAACCAGCTCTGAGGCCGGATTCTCAAAGCGAATTCACGACGAAAAAAGTGCGAACGACAAATTTGAGAGAAAACCCGTGCTCTCGAAACGAAATTGTCGTAACCTTTGCGCAGGTTACGACAAAATCCTACGACAGCTCCGAAGCTGTCTTACGCACTTTTTACGATCAAATCAACAAGGCCGACAGCGTCGCTCAGTTACTTGGTATCGGCCACCAACGGACATTTATTTTTCTTCGTGCTCTTCTCGTGCGTCCCGACTTCAACCAGCAAGAAAAAAGGAAGGAGTACTTAAAACAGACCACGACGATCAAGAACGCAAGATCCACAAACACACGAGAAGAGCTACAACAGCCACGATTCTGCCGACCGAGCGAGCTCGGCAGAATATAGTAGGCCTAGCAGCAACATCGACTCGGCGCACCGTTGCTCCGGCGGTCCTTGGCCAAGACCGTCTGTCCATGACCGGCTGGCCTGCTGAATGGAATATGCCCGCGCGACCCTTGTGGACCCTTACCGGATGAGTAGTTTGATCCGTGAACTAAATTTCAGAGGTCAATATTTTCCCCTTGTCATCTCAATCTCCTTGTTTTCCGAGACAGCGGTGACGAACGCTGTCGTCGAAAAGGGACTCTCATTGATTCTATCTCCTTGTTTTGTGTGATATAGAGCTCAAATAAACGCCATACGAATTACCTTGGCAACTCGGTATGTACACTCTGTTATTAGTATGCCATTTTTATTCTGACTCGACGCTACGTCAGTGTCGAGCTATAGCAGTTCGTGGGAGCTACGCGATGTCGGTCTAACCTTTCTTTGCCGAGTGTCATGTCAGTATCGAGTTGCAATCGTAAAAGATCGGTCCAGAAGCGCGGTCTAACAGAGCGAATCCAGCACTTCGATCAAACGCGCGTGTCCGCTCCGAGTGTGAACAGGTATTTGGCATTTGCGTGGCTCTTGCTGACACCCTCGTAGTTCAAACATATCCTTTTTAACGTCGGCTTGCAGCTCGCGACTCGTAGCAACTAATAACGGCCATGCCAGAAGCATGCTCGGGCCGTGTCGTGCAAAGAGCTGCAACGAGAACGAGCTCACTGTGGCCAACTACGCTTTGGCTTTCTCCGCCAAGGCTTTGCAAACGCGTTCAGGCCTAGGCGAATTCTGCCGGCACGCCGTATTGCCGCAGAACGGCGCTGCTATTTTGGCACAACTGATGTCACGAGAACTTCCCCCCATCCACCAGATGAGAATTTGAAATCGTTTAATTATGTTTAAAATTAGTTCTCCTGTGTTTTACAGCGCAATATTTATATTTCCGAGGTGGTGCCTGTCCCTAGCCCATATTTTTTGCAACAAGATCGGCGCTAAAATTTCGTTTCACTACCCCTTTAAAAAGGCCACTGAAAAGAAAAAAAAAAATGTTTTAAACTGTCTGGTTGGGACACGCGTATCATAAAATAAATTTTATGCAAATTTTTTTTTTTTTTTGTTTTTTTTTAGAACAACATTGATGGCACGAGACAAGATTTAGTGGGTAGTCACCTCCTTCCCCCTTGTTTTCCCTCTCGGCCTTTCGGGCGCGTGGAGGAGGTGGATTGGCTTGGCCATCACATTGAGGTGGAGAGAGTGTGTGACCATCTCATTGAGGAGTAAGAGTGCATGACCATTCCATGACATCATGGACTTTGTGTGCAGAATTCAAAATAAATCTCGTGCTGTCAATATCGCTAAAATAAATTATTTTTTTCGCGCAAAACTTGTTTTTTGACACGCTCGTTCCAGCCAAACTGTTTAAAAAAAAGTTTTCCTTTCTTTTTAGTGGTCCTCTAAACATGACTGAAAAGTGACCCTAGCCAGGACCACGCGTAACTTTCAACACCGTTCGGAAACTCTGCAAGATGTTTGCAGACCGCGACGACTTCTCGGCAAACGGTTTGGCCCCGGTGCACGAAGTCATAGGATATGCTTACGGGGGCGGTGGTGTTGGCATTGGCGTCCACTGCAGGGGCCCCCTCTGTCCCCTCCGCCACCTCCATGGCCTCCGTGTCTCCCTCGCCGGTGGGACTGCCATTCTCACCGCGGTTCTGACAGACCACGGGAAGAATCAAGGAGCAACGGTCACCTCTCCTGATACTACCATGGAAAACACTTTAGCAGGGTGCCACAATTAAGTCAGCTCATGAAGCAAAATGTATTACGTCCGTGACACTTTTTTTCACGCAAAGCATAAAAAGCATGCAAATCGGCCGTCTCTTTTTAGGAAAGAGTGCTGCAGAAAAAAAGGTGGATTACCTCCAGGGTGGCAATGACCCTGGCTGCCTTTCGCAGCATGGTCTGTGCCTGGTTGAGCCTCAACTGGGCCTCACTCTGCATGGGGACTTGACCCAGGTTGATGTGCACATCCACAGACGAGCCATCCTCCTGCATACACACACACACGCAGGCATAACAATACCCAACGTTTCAAAAGCTCGATTTACCAAGGCAGTACGATGTAGCCGATGGCCCCAAAACCTGCTACAATTTGCATCGAGAGAGCAAGCCCTTCGAGTTGCTTTACGAAAAATGTAGGAAACTGACACTTATACAGCTAGCACAGCCAGTTTTTGTGACATCTACACTTGAACGTCCCATGCTGTCCCAAAAAAGTACCAGGAGTTCAGGCGAACAAAGTGATGTCAAAAAACAAAGTGCAAATTCAATTAAAAAAAAAAAAAACAAGTGGGCATAAACTTTTTTTTTATCACATTATGCATTATACGGCTGGCACCTAACTATTTTTGTCACCCAAACGAGGACGGAAGTCGATAAGCCGACTGCCAGCCGACGCAGTGCCAGTCTTCTCAACCTCTTTGAGTGCATTCCTGTTATTCCCGGCAAAGGGAAAGCATTGCGTGTTCGGACGTACAGCAGCGATCTGCTCTTGTGAAACAAGCATGCTTCAGTCTTCCACAGAGAAAGAGCACAGAAGAAAGCAACAAAAAAATAGAAAAAAAAAAAGTTCAACCTTTTTGCTTTGGTGAAGAAGGAAGACCAGCGAAGCTGCACTATGGTGGGAAATGGAGTAATGGCCGGCTGCAAGTCGGCAAGCCAGAGTGGAAAGGCTGGAAAGGTTGCTGTCATTTATGAGCGACGGCGGCAACGTCGGTTGTCTGGTTGCCGCCGTCGCTCATAGATGACAGTAGCTGTCCAGAGTTTTGTGTCATCATTTGTTTGCTGCTAGACACAATACTGGGGAAACCAGCCCTTAACAGCTCCGCTGTAAAAAAAAAAAAAAAAAAAAAAAAAAAAAAAAAAAGCAGGTGCCTTGTGTTTACTTTGCCACAACGGTAGCAACCATTCTAAGTAAGCTTGAGCATTTAGTTCTCTTTTGCAGAGAGCAGGTGCAGACCTCTGCTTGGTGCTGCCGCGTTCCAATTGCTCCGTTTTCCGAACGCTCCGTCTACTGCGTCCCGTGCTCCAACAGGCACCGAGAAATTCACATTTACATTGCCACACAGAAGATGGCACTTAGCCACCATTCGCGCGATCCAGTCTTTACAAGTGCACAGTTTCTCCACACTAACACATAATATTTTGTGTTACCTCTGTAGAACTTGTAATTAAACATGTTATCACTGCTTTCATCACGGCAGTACGGCAAAGGGGTGGCTTTGTTTTCTGAAGCTATTTTTATGAATTTTTTAGGGCAAATTTATTAAAGAACTATAAGAGTAACTGCAAGGTTTTATGAACCTCTGCCAACTAGTCTTCTAGTAACAGTGTAATGCAATGACAGACAGCTAAGCATCACAGGCAATCAGAGGCGTCTATTTGGGAGGTGGGAGAGGGGGTGGGGAATAGAGCTATTTTGTTGTCTCTCCCCGTATTGTTTACATTCATTTTCTGAAATCTCTGGAAAAAAAAGGGGGGGGGCAAATCCATTCCCCCTGTTTTGACACCACTGCAAGTATTTTCTTTCCATGTTTCGCTGTCGTTTTCTTTTTCTTTGCTCCATTGTGACAAATGGCAAACGATCCCCGAGGTATGATGAAATAAACATAAAAGTAAGCCCCGCAAGATGATAAAAGCAAGCACAAGTAAGTGCAATCCCCTCACCGAAGTCCTTGACATGACGGTGGCATTGCGGCCGATTTCACCCATTCCAGACACGACGTCCTGCACAATTTGCTGCAACAGAGAGTCCCACAATAAAAGTATGCTCCCATAGTGAGACAAACACCAGTCCCGCCTCCCCCATTATTAAGCATCACATTTTCCCGCTCTTACCTTTTGGAAACCTATATGGCAATACGTCGGCTAACCGAAGCTTAAACTTCAAACTGAGAGCTGCGGGGCCTACAAGGGCAAGTATGTAACCTGTGTGTCGGGGGACTTTTTCTTTTTTGTGGAAGCGTTTGTAACGAGAAAAAAATGAACTGAGGTTGTAGCTCAACTGTAACTGGTAGTTAAACTAAAGCTGACAACCGCTGCTCTAGAATAATTGAACAATTTGAACATGCAGAGATACTTGCTGGAGTTTCCCAGCATCCACACCTGATATGAGACTTCGAACATTAATAAAAATTAATTATACTGAAAACTATTGTGGAAACTGCAGTCAGCTCTCTTCTGACTCGTGACAAAGTGGAAAGCTTATTGTCTTCCAGAAAGTCTCAGGAAAGCAGGGGTTGACTGTGTACAAAGTATACGCAATAGAGTTTCTGCTTGCAAAAAATTTCAGCTTTCTGGTGAACAGGATACCTAACATTTCTTAGTGATGTGCATAAAGCAAGTTGAGATCAAAAGCTTTTACACTGGAATTTAAACACAAAGCCATAAATACCCTAAATGCCCACAAGTTATGCAATAGGTGGCACTGTGTTAGAGTTGAAATTCGATAGTCTGCTTCGTCTTATACACATAATTACTGTAACAATGGCCAAACACTTGCAGTTAGCATGAATGGTGCCAAAACTTATCAATTCCTTGCACTGAAATGTATGCAACCAAATTTCGAACAAAATAAAGTAGAAAAAACATATACAGGTCAACTTACGTCATCCTGCAATTTCAAAAGCAAAGCTAGTTTCATTTTATATAACATTATTCAGACTCTTCCAAAGTGGCTATGATGCAGTGAACAGCACTTGCAAAGAAAATTTCCCTCACAATATTTGTGTCATTTAATGATAACACAAAAGTACCTGGAACCAAACCAGCACAACAGCCTCAGCTTACCACAGTAGATCGAACAGGACAAATTTTCAACACGCCTTCAACAGATTGTGGCAGACAAGTTAACAAGTGCATGCAGCTCTTGCGAGTTCCTAGAACCCTGTTCAATATGGTGAGACTGCCTAGTAGGGCTTAATGCAAACACAAACCATTCAATTTGCTTCAAACGGAGAAAGCAAAGACAAACAATGTAAGGCTCACAATCTTAGTGCAACAAAGTAACTGCCAAAATACACACCCAAAACAGCTGCGAAACCGAGGCTTTCGTGGAGGTTTAGAACGCTAGCAGACAGCAGTAACAGACGCAAAGAGCGTTCACCTCACAACAGGTTTAGTGCGTATTACAGGGCGGTCGTCACATTATCCTTCTCCGTTAAGAACATAGCCTCTCGGAGAGGAAGTCTTTGACGAAGAAGTATTCTAAACCCCCTCCCCCCTCCACTCTTCCTTCCCCCTTCCCCCCCCCCCCAAAAAAAAAACAACAACGAAAAACCAACAAAGTAAACCTTTTGTAAGTAAATTGCCTTTTCGTCCATTTACGCTTCCTCTCCATTTACCTAGACTTGTTTCTGCATGTGACCATTTTATGTTGTAAGCCTGTTATGAGAACCCACACGCCCTTGTAAGGGTCAGGCTGTCCCTATTTGCACTCAGAGTGCGGATAGTGGTTGATTCTAATCCTCACTCCAAGTGCGGATAATTTTGGATCCTTATCCATACTCTGAGTATGGATTTTGTAGGATCCTTATCCGCACTCCAAGTGCGTGCGGAGAGTTTTCCTTATCCGCATTCCGTGTGTGGCGTGACTTGGACGTGGGAAACTTTTAATGGAGTGCTAAGATGTTTGTGGTGTGACATTGCCATGTTGGCAGCATTGATTCCATAGGAATATTAGTGCTTGTGCGGTGTTTAATTGGGCTGAGACCTGTGTTTTGGAATTCATTCAATTTCAAACAAATGCATAATAGCCTCTTTTTTTTTTTTCGAAATTGATTAGTGTTAAAGGGATACTCCACTGGTTTTTTCATTGTCTCCGATTTGCTTGAAATTTTGCTAAACTAACCAACAAATATTGTGAAAATAGTATCCCAAATATTAGGTCAAAATATTGTTTTTTTGCAAAGTTATCGAATTTACAGTTTTGGTTCTCACCGTGTTTTTCAAGCTCGAAGTCTCTACTGGCAACAATGAAAAAGTGACGTCAGTGGAAGGCAGGGGTTCACTGTTTGGGCTGTAGATTTTGTTTTAAACTGATTCGAAGCAGTTTCATGGTGTCAAATGAATGGTTGGGAAGCTCGCTGCAGTACCCGCGCTCCAGCACGGAGCAAATGATTGGCATATTCTATTTTTTGGCTGCTTGCTCAACTGGCAAGTCTGCCTGCCACTGATGTCACGGCACTGAAAAGTGCGTGAATATTAGAATATTGGTTTTTGGATCATTTTCATTTGCCGATTTCACAATACCCATTATGAATTTTGCGATTCTAAATAGCATACTGGAGAGAGTAAAGGCCGGGGAGTGAGAAATTATAGTTAGTTAAGGTAGCTCAAAAAATCGGTGGAGTACCCCTTTAAGTGGTGCATAAGGGTACAAATTGAACTGTTCACGCTTTGGGGACTTGAGAAAACACATAAAAAAAAGGACGCAAGTGACAACTATAATTCCTTCAGTCTTTTTCTTTTTTTTTGTTAAAGGACAGTTGTTTTATTTTTGTTTTTAAAAAAACAATGCAGTCCTCTTCAGTATCACCTAGGAAGACCACATGTAAAATATTAAGTCCTAGTTCTGTCTAAATGTTTCTTAAATGGTTTGGCAACTCGCCAAACCTTGCAACCTGAAAAGTTGCCAAAATCGGCAGACTTGAGCGGGTGAATTGAGGCGTAACCAACAGTGCAGTCAAGTCTACGGCATGGGTGCAGTCAACGTTGAGCTAAATGTCACCTCCAGTGCCCCTTTTTGCTTCTTTTTGCTTCTCCGGGTCAGTGTAAGAGGTGACGTTTGCAACATTTTCTCTTGGCGCTCAGCGGTGTCCACGTGACTGGAGTAACGCGCCTGCGCAGCGTGCTTCTTGGGAGCCGTCCGGCCATCTTGCCGTGGTCCCGCCGTTACCGCCGTCTGCCAAGTCAATAACTGCCGTCGTCGTCTCACTGTTTGTCATTATTGTCTCTCGGAGTTTCGTTCACACTACGGACACTACACTATGTGCATGTGCACAGACTTATGCCGCAGTTGTGCAGACGATAATGCAATTAATGCAGAGGTGCAAGTGAGCTGGACAAGCTTGCTGTTCCACTTCTCCAAGATAATTATCATTCTGCAGACGTCGTCAAAATGTTTTAGACACCATAACGTGGTAAAGAGTGCGGTGCAGATGACACATGCGCATGGCATGCGACCGCCCCAGTCTCGTCCGTCATTGTGTAGAGGATCACGTGACATCTCGTACCACGGGATAGCCATGTTCTTGGCGGCTTGAGGCCAATGTTGCCGGATGGAGCCGAAGTTTCGGTTTCGATTTCTGCTCTTGCGTAAAATTATGTTTAGCAATATATATTCTATTTTTTTGCGAAGCAAATGACGTAGGGTCTTTTACTAGTGCTTTTAATATGGAATCACTCGGTATTTCGAAATGTTGGGAACTGAGCAGAGTTGCCTTTAAATTAAAACAAAATAATAACCGGAAAAAGAAAAGGAAGCTGGTTTCAAATTTTCTTTTATAATGTGTCTTTGCACAGTCAGCAGGTTAACATTGTGTGGTGCCTAGCTGATGGGGAATGTGGGAACGGGGGCTAGTAAACAATTTTTAAGACAAATACTCCCCCCCCCCCCCCCCCCCCCACAAACACACAAACGCTCCAAGCTTCTGCTGCCGCCGCACTCGAAACCCGCAAGATCCCAGTGTTCGGCATCCTCGACATGTTTAACATCTTCAATCACACGACCACGCAGACATCTTTTAACAGCCATCACATCTATCAACGTCAACATACAGATGCACAAATCATTCTATTAAAAAAAAAAAGCTACAGTAACATCACAATGGCCAGAGACTTTTCAGACATTCCCCATCTAGTAGCTCTGAAAGTGTTCCGAAGATTGGGCGGGGGGGGTCGTCAATTTATAATATACTGTTTAATGGAAATGGACTGACTTTCCAGCACCCCTTCCTGTTCCTATGCCACTGCCCCCATCATCTAAGCACAAGACAATACATGTCGGACATCCTACACCTGCACAAGTTTCTTTTTTTCTTTCGTCAATAAAAATATGTAAACCTACAAAAAAATTATCACCAGGATCTTTTTTTTTTTTGGGGGGGGGGGGGGGGAGGGGGGGGGAGGATGGTTGATATGTTTGGGATGTCCCTGACTTTTGAGGTGGGTAAATGATTAAAAAAAAGAGTCCAACCCTCACCCCACACAACACAAATTGATCACCTGTGTCCAATCCCCAAGTACCGTTTAATGTTAAGTGCGCCACCCAATGCTAATAATTTTTTTTAATAAATAAGAATACACTTGTTTGAAACCATTCTAATTCCGAAACAAAAACCACTAATATTTCCATAGACTCGTCAAGGCTGCCAACACGCCCGAGTCTCTCACAACACAAAGTTGAGAACTTCTAAATCACTGTGTCAAAGTTTACATCGACAAAATCGTACCACACACAGAGTGCCAATAAAGAAAATCCAACACACTTCACTTCGTACCTCCAGTACAGCGTCCGCGCCTCGGTACGAAATCGGCACTCGGAATTTCGGATAAGAATCCAAAATTATTCACACTCCGAGTGCGGATTAGAATCCACCACTACCCGCACTCGGAGTGTGAATAGGGACAGCCTAAAGGTCACATACCGTAAATTACTTAAGTTTTCTGGGCCAAACATCTCGCAAGTTTCGTACGTGCAATAATCGAAAAATATGTCATGGGTACAAACTTTTGCAACTTGGAGCAATTGCCACATGCTCATTACCACGGAGCAACATACTCGCGTGATCAATCTTTCACAACATTTTACAATTTGCAAAAATTCTAAAAACTTAGGTCCTCGTAAAAATTTAAACATTTCCAGTACTAAAAAAAAAAAAGACAAAGCCAAAGAGGCATGCGGGCAACCCTCACCTGGACCTGTGCGGGGTCGATCATGTCCTGGGGAATGGTGAAGGCGCCCAGGAGGAAGCCGCTGCCCTCCCGGGGGTGGGGCAGGGCCCCCCCCGGTGGGCCCCCTGCCCCCCTGCCAGCCCCAGAGACCCCCCCGCCTGCGGCGGCCGACGACGACGACTGGCTCCCCGAGCTGTGCGGCGGCGGCCGCTGAACCAGGTGGATCACCTTGCCGTTCACGTCTGCACCGCGCACACAAACACGTGCGTGAGAAAACAAGAACACCGAGAAGGTGGCACGCACAAGAGCGCACTGTCGGCAGTCATTCATCGCGCACGTCCCCTTTTGTCGTTGGTGTAACGACGACCATCGATGCTAGTCGTGTTTTGCGGTCGACTGGGTTTGCTGTTTCGGGAGAAAATAATGCGTGCCTTTTTACGTGTCGCACAAGCTCATAGCCGATCCGGCCTTGCCACGTATCGACTCTCATCGGTAGTGTACACCATCCTCAACATTTCAGAGCTGGACCTGTTCTGACCAGAGATGAGCAGGTGCACACACAACTAAATTCTGACGTCGTGCCACTATGCGTGCGTGGACGTTTATCTGTCCCGGATCTGGTTCCTACAAGAGAGTCTGTATTGAAGAGACTCGGACCATGGGCTTGTTCGTAGGAAGTGTGTTGTTGAACACTGAACGTATTTCAAAAGTCAAAAGTCAAATTGGACGTTTTAGTGATTTATACAGCGTAAGGTTAGTCTGCCAGTAGGGGCGACACTGGTTTACACTGTAGATGAGCAATTTTGCCAGTGCAGTACGACTGCTAACCTGGGGTCTTTAACGTGCTCATGCAGTTGTTTGGCACCTGTGTCACTGTGAAGTGAGAGCATACTGTTCCTCTCGCAAAACACATTCGCCGATAAACAGAAATTGTCCGTTTGTTTCAAAAATGGCAGGCTCATGTTAAACAAACATTTTTTGCCTTTCTGAACACGGGTACATCTCGAAAACAATGAATGATAAAAACAAGATAACATTGTGGAAAAGTGTGATCTTCACTCTTTCTTCCTATTTTGTGTGGGTCTCCAGTTTGGAAAGACTTACCGTCTACTTTTTTCAATGCAGGTTAACTCATGTTTCCAGGATTGGCCCTAACCCACTGACACACATCTTAGACTCACCATATTCATTCAACTTCTTGTCATCTTGGAGCACTCTGCCGCAGAAAATGAGTCGCTGCTTGTCGGCCGGAATGTTCTGTCAAACCAGTGCGCATGTAAAACATGTCACGGCCGTGGCGGCCTCACAAGCTCAAAACGACAAGTCATGCGTATGCTTACCACTGATCCGGCTATCTTTTCCTTGAAGCTTTTGACGGTTATCTACAGTCGGGAATAAAGCAAACAAACATTAGTATTTTTCTTTCTTACAAAGCAACATCGCAGTGCTTACAATTGGAGATCCGCGGGCCTCCGGCTTTACCGAAGGCAAAATCTTAACGAGGCAAACGGGCCGACTAGAGAGTACTTGAGGAGCAAGAAATAAGTACGTACATCGTCAGGAACTGAGTAATTTCGATTCTGCGAATCGAGCGTTTTCACCGTGACTTCCAACATCTTGCAAAGCCACAAGGTCCAGTTGCAATGAAAGACACACGTTGCCTCGCGTTCTGCTGAAAGAAATCGCATGAAACAAAACTATTTTACATGCCGCGTGTATAAACACACGACCAAAAGAACTACCATTATGCCTGAAAAAAGTCATATGTGGAGGGAGAAAACGAAAAGGAAGAAAACTAGCGTAGTCTTGTACGTTTACTACGATATGAGCCAATAATCTAACAATGGAATAGTTCTTCGGAAATAGTATACATTAAAAGATATACATATACCGCGGATGACACGTCGTGTCGTAACTTGTAAGAAGAAGGAACGAGAAAGGTTATATTTGAAGAAAATTCATAAAACAGGTCGTTGACAAACCTCGTAAATGGGCCCCAAACCTTTTCGCCCAAACGCAGCGCCGTTAGCACTACGCTCGCCGCCTACGCGTTGTTGAGACCAGTGGCAGAATTTCCGTTCAAGTAGACGGAACCACTAAAGAGCAATGTTTAAAAAGGTTAAAGGTACGTCATTAGGCCATCAATACTCACAATTTTTGTGTTGTTTTCCCCAAACAGACGAAGACCGATGATTCACCACTGTGACCGCGCTTCACAGATCCACTACCCCTACCGGACGTGTCGCGTTACAAGTTACAACTAAAGAAAGGGGACTCTCGCATTTACTTATTAAAAAAAAGTGTAGTGTGTTTTTTTACGTTTTTTATATCTTTAAATAAAGAAATTTATTATATAAAACATAAAACAGGCTAAAGGTACGAAAGTGAAGAAGCGGAGGAATCAACAGTGACGCCTATTCACAAACCGGAAGCGACGGTTTTGATACAGCCGATACAGCGAGATCAGTGGATACAGCACTGATAGTGGCTGCACCAGTTTCGTTTCTAGCCTGGAACGCAAGGAGATTTTTTGAAACGCGTCTCCGACTGGTGTGTTTACCGCGTCCAAAAAGTGGTCCCTCGGTTTCCGCTTGATGACGTCATAAAAGTTTATGTTGTCGCCAGTCGCGATCCTGGCGGTGACTCAACAGCTGTGGTTATTACGGCAGACGTCTGTTCTCCTGCATGTCGCTCTGCTGTTGCCTCTCCAGTGTGTCAGTCCACGGAAATTTCAGCAGCCAGAAGTTGGGACGTAGAGTGGGACGCTATGACGATAGCGACACTCGCGTTCGGTTGTGCATCGTGCAATCCGTGCATCAGTCGGACACGTGCTTCCAAAACCGACATCTCGGATTTGTAGTGGATTCAGCGGGCACAATATTTAATTTGATTGCTTTATAAACAATACTTTGTAACTTTTTCTATACAAACTCGATCAGCATTAGTGACGTCATTCGCAAGGCAGCTCCTAGACTTTTTCTCTCCTCCGTGACCGAGAAGCAGGGAGAACGAGAGTTCGACTGGTCGCCATTTTGTGGATCATTTTGCTCTTCTCACGCTCCGGAGAATCTGCCACAAATTCTCTCCAAAAAGGAATAGCCGGGCTCCCTAATTTCCTTCTCCGCGGCACCGGTAAATCCTCGAGACTCCGCCATGTCTGAAACTGACTGGGACACCGTCACCTACCTCCGCAAGAAACCTATGAAGGCCAGTCAGCTGAGGTCCCAACAGGTTCGTCTCGGGGGAAAGACTCGTAGCAGCGCGTTGTTTACTACGCGATAACTCCTCATTTCGGCGACGTAGCTTGATTGACATTTTTTGTTCTCCTATCCGCGCAGGTCATCAATGCAGCACAGAGGCAAGGCGTTCCCATCGAAACCACGAAAAAGTGTAAGCAGATTCGCCTGACGCGGAAGTGGTTGGCACAACGACGAAATTTCCGTGGGCAAGGCGCATGTTTGGGTCCTTTTAGGCACGCAAGCTCGTCGATTCGACGCGCATCTTCACGCGTAGGCGGATAAAACAAGAAGAGTTCAGACATATGTGCTCCTAATCGGATTTGCATTCGAACTTCCTGTTCTAGTAATCATTTTTGGCGTTTGTCGGTTGCAGTCAACGCGGCAACGAACAAGAAGGCTGCGACGACCCTGAACACGTCGAAGTTGGATCGGGAGACGGAAGAATTGCATCATGACCGCGTCGGACTGGACGTGGGACGGCTCATCCAGCAGGGCAGGCAGGCCAAGAACCTGACGCAGAAAGATTTGGCCACTGTGAGTTAATTTTCCTGCAAATGTCAAAACACATTCATAGCTTTTAGGGTGGTGCAAGCGTTTCATGACAATCGCATCCTCGGTGGATACGATTAGATGTGACTATCAGAATGTCAGCCTCATAGCACTGTTTAGTAGACGAGGAGGTCGTTTGAATTGTGAAGAAGGTCTGGGACATGTATATAAGGCGATGGTTGCTCAATAAATTTCAAGCTGTTAAAAACTTCGTTGTTCTTTCCGTTTTTTTTTTTTTTTTTTTTTTTTTATGTTGTTCATACGTCTTGGGATTACTATCGATGACATGAAATATATGGCTTCAATGAAACAAAAGCAAAGCTAGTGGTATGGAAAATTATTTGGTAAATTCTAAAGCAATGTGCTTGACAGTGGTGTCAGTGCTAAAGGTGTGGGTGGACGTATAATGTCAACATAGATGTCTGCAAGTGGTTTTTCGTTTTCTGTATAGAAGTGTTGCACGGTTCTGGGTATTGAGAAACGATGAAAGGAAATTGCGACAAAGCTGAGCACCACTCAGAACGTTGGAAAGATGTGAGCAGTTCCGGACCAATCATTTTTGCAAATAATATTGTGGTTTTGACAAGTTTTGCAAGTGATGTCACGGCCATCAAAATAAAACAACCGCTGTTTTGACAAGGGATTGATCCCCGTCGAAACGGTTCTAATTTATCGATTTGGATATAGATATGCATTGTACCTTTTTGCAATCATCTGATCACTGCTTTAGTCAAACAACTCAATTTAGACTCTGGATGTCATTTTAAGGCTGGCTAACACCTTGCTAATCATACAACAAATTTACCTGACTGCCTTTTTTTTTTTTTTTTCACCCCTTTGGGAAGGTTTACAGACGTGAAATGAAACTAACTTCTTTTGCCATTAGACGTGAAGTAGTCGTCATTTAAACATTGTAATCTCAACCCTGAGACATTGAGAGAACGCAACTGGGTTTATTGGCAAAGGAACAGCTATATATAGCCGTCCATATGGACAGGAAAGGGAGAAGACAAATGACATGCCGCCGCAAAGATTTGACAGAACTCAGCTAGACACCGCTTTAAAGGGCAACTCCGCTCAATTCCGAAAAATTTAGGCTTACATGTGATTCAAATTCACAAAGCACTACTAAACAACAAGTCTTCAGATTCACGAAATGTAGAATATTATTTGTGTAATCCTAACTTAAACATCAGCTGACACCGAAACCGAAACTTCGGTTGCGTCAGGCAACATTGCTCTCAAGTCGTCAGAGTCATGGCCACGTCACGTCGAACCACGTGGTCTTGTGACGTTCGGGAGGGAGCGAGGGACAGGACACGCGACGCGGGCAGGGTGCTGGGGCAGGTCGCTTCGCATGGCGTGGACAGTGATGGCCCGGGGGAGAGGGGGAGAAGACAAAAGAGGAGAAGGAGCGGAGAAACAGGCCGATAAGCGCGCAGGGCGGCGCAAGCTAGCGCATCCGCGTTACGGTGATCGTGAATGCCGGTCAGCCAACAGTGGGAGGAGAAACTCATGACGTCATCGTTCAATTTCGCTCTGAGAAGTAAAAACAAACAAAACGTGAGAATGACATAGTCATGCCTCTGACGTAGTGGCTCATCGTTTGCCGCTCAAACTCTGTCGCATTGACTGCGCTGACAATTACGCCTCACGTCGCACGCTAGAGTTGGCAGGTTTTGGCGACTTGGCTCACTTGAAGGTTTGCTGGCCAGTTTATTAAATATATAAACGGAATCAGATCGTAATATTTGACATGGGGTCTTCCTATATGATACTGAAGAGGGCTACATAGTTTTCTACATATCAAAAATGAAGCGGAGTTGCCCTTTAACAGTGGACATCTGCCGCCAAGCGACCCTACATGATAATCCCCATCAAGGCTATATGAACCGAGCAAAAGGCAGCAATCTGCCTATTTCCCTCCTCCCCCATGGCCCATCCATCCACCCCTCAACACCAAGACACCACCAAATACACAAAACAAAAGAACTCGCACCAAAAGAAACTTTTTCATGTGTTCGTTCAAAACTATAGCCAGCTTGCTTACGCAGTTTCCGGGGTCCCTTATACTTGAGGTTTCTTTTAAGATTCTTTGAAACAAATCTCTTTCTTTACACAAGATAGAAGTTCCTTCCTTAAATGTCAAGCACACATGGCATTCAGCAATATATTTGGCTAGTTCTGATGATGGAGAGACATTTTTCTCACTTCTCTCGTGTTCTAAGAGGCGGTCATTTACGGACCGACCCGCCTCACCTGTGTAGCAGAGCCCATAATCGAATGGAATTTTGTACACAACTTCCTTGACGCAACTGATCTGTTATTTCTGATAGTAACCGTTCTCTCAAATATTTGTGCCATAACCTCAAACTTGCTACACCCTCCGTAAAACGACTAGCGTATATTATTATAAGATCGAAGTTAGAATTTGCCTCATCTATATGGTCCCCATGGCAGTCCTACATTGGAAATAATCTAGAATTCAACCAAAACAGAGCCTTTCATTTTATTTACAACAGCCACTCACCATATACCTGCATATCAGGATTACGCCAATCGGCTAACCTTCACTCACTTTCCCTTCGCCGCCGAGTATCACGCCTTTCTCTCCTCCATCGAATTTTTTATCACAATAGCCACCTCAAAGAATCACTGCTATCACCTCCCCATCGTATTTTCCCACGTCTAGATCACCTATATAAATTACGTCCAATTCTATCATAAACTGTTTCTCACCAGACTTCAACACTACCATTGGCCACTGAAGATTGGAATTCACTACCTCATAACATTGTTTCTATTAATGATACTAACTTTGTTGAAGCCATTACCCTCTTTTTATCTAACCTACCTAGCTAGCTTACAGTGTTATAATTGTGCTTACTGTTCTATTTGTTTTTGTTCTATTGCCACCCCCTTGTATTTCCTTGAGGGCCCCATGGGCTCTCAAGGAAAATAAATGATGATGATGATGGGGATCCCTATGCCTCCTCACCCTCTCGCTCAAACGCAAGCGGTCTAATACTACCTGACCGGAAATCCGTCTAAAAAACTGCATTTACCTCAAACTTCTGAGCAGATGCTTCTAGAATATGCAAAAACCTGGTAAAGTATGGAGCTGGCCTTCACACTGCCACTTCTTACATTAAAATACTTTTTTGTACCATGCAGGAGCAATAAAGGGGTGCAGATTTATGGAACGGTACCAAAGATGTCAAAATTGTAACATACTGCAGAAGTTTTAGAGAATGCTGTGAGAAGTAGGAGACATAAGAAAGTAACTCTCTCTTTGTTGTGTTCTTTCAGAAAATCAATGAGAAGCCTCAAGTGATCAATGATTATGAAGGTGGGAAAGCCATCCCCAATCAGCAGGTCTTGGCTAAGATTGAAAGAGTCATTGGTAAGTGAACTATTTAAAGGAAACTTCCCATTACATATGATGTACCTCTTCATGCAACTGTGTGCAAAGCAAATATGTAGCAAATCGTTGGCAGGTGACAAAAGCAAGAGAATATTTCCATTGTCCTTTAGTCTAGTGGATGCATCCGTGTGGCGTCCTTATAGGATCTGTGTGTACAAATTGTTGTTGCCACACTTGTCTTCTAAGCATACACATCAGGTCCACTTACGATTTGTTTTACTAAAACTGTCACAAAATTAGAAGAAAAAAATATTACAAGATTATTAATCTTTTTCCAGTTGATAGGTCAGATAGACTGAAGTCTGGATTGGAACGGGATACAGCTTTCTGCTGAACTTTCCTTAAATAAAATTCAATATTCATGAAAGTGTATTATAAGAAGCAAATTTGGAATGTGCCATAGATGCAGTCGCACAGCCGATATCAGACTAACTGCTGTGGCTTTGATTTGCCTTAAAATAAAGCACACCTTCTAGATCCTCACTTCAAAAAACAGTGAAAAGAAATGTAAAAATAACTTACAGGAAGGCTGCCTTATATGACAAGACACAGTACACAGCATAGGAATCTATCCTTTTATTATATGTCGCTTGAAACAAATTTTTTTTTTTTATTATATTGCATTACAAAGAAAAAAGAACTCGTTCAAACACTGCAGGTTTCTTTTTTCTACTGTATGATATAGTTGAGCAGTGCTAAGCTGTAAAAACAAATGGCTGTGGGCCTGTGGCAACGTGCTTGCTTATAGCAACTTGTGTGCAGAATGGATATGCTTTGCTCTGGTCAAAGCAACTACCACTTGGGGCAAATTGACCTTTGAAAAGATCCTTGTAGCATCGCTCCCTTGGCATACATTGCTGCACAAGGCTGCTAGATGGATCGGTACAAGGACACCCATCCACCTAGTAATATACAGAGTAGTAGGAGCATTGACAACTACAATCTGCGGAAAAGGACAGGCTAGATGTTGCAACCGGATAATGAAAATGAAAAGCAAGGGAGCTCGTGCTTTTTAAAATTTTTTTTTAATCGTTTTGAAAATTAAGACAAGGTCGCACCGACCAATTGGCTAGCATTTTTTGTCTTTGTGTTCCTTGGTTCCTAAACACAGTGCTGTGGTTCTTATTAAGAAGTGGCAAGTGCCACCTCTTATAGGGCTATGTGCTTCTGCCATTGCATCCTTCAGTACTTCACCATGACCCAAAAGGTGGCCATTGAAGGTCATGGTAACAGGGGCTCCGGAAGCGGGGGGGCAGGGTGGGCTTGAGCCCCTCCTGTCCTCAGGACCGAGCTGCCGAGCCCCCCCTCCCCCTCCTTTTTTTTTTTAGTTTGTGTGTTTGCAGGTTATCTGGTATAGGCCTTCGGCCTATCTGCTGTACCTCCGTCTCTCCTGAGCCGAAATAAATGAAATGACCCTTTATGCATGCTGACCTACCGCCCTCCTCACCTCCGCCAAGCACAAAAAGCACCGGGGCGACACAGAGGCTTGCTTGAAACGTCAAAACCAGAAGAAAATGACAGGCAGGACTCATGAGCCTGATTGACAACCAGTTTAGAGCGAACAAAAAGGGGACAGTGAAATGAATGGATTCCGACAAGACGACGTCGGCGAGCGTTTGTCTGCTTCCCCCGTGTGGAAGCAAGAAACCCAGAAGATGCATGGTGCTTCTCTGGCCCGCGGACAAAACAGGCAGGCGGTACTACCGCGGCGCTTAGAGGCCATCATTAGGAGAGGAAGGGGGGAAGGGGGGGGGGGGGGGGGCTGGTGAGCTTGAGTGGGATTCGGGAGTGCTTAGAAAAGGCGAGTCTACGAGCTCCCAAATTTGACAAGGCGCCTTCGATGGCGAAAGCTTTGCGCGCATGCGGTGTCGTGCCCACAGGGTGGTGACGTATTAGGCGACACATGTTTACAAACCCAGGACAACACAACACAAAGTCTCAAACACAGCTCTTATCATTCAGCACCTTCCTTTTGTGATGCCTCCCAACTTGCATTGCCGCCATGAGTCCGAAGCGATCACGGTCGATGTACTTGACCCTGAGGTACATACCGATGTATGCAATCTCTGCCTCCAGTTGAGACATCCGATGGCCCAACATTGCTGTGTTTGAGACTTTGTGTTGTGTTGTCCTTCCCCCCCCCCCCCTGAGTCTCGGGGTTTTGTCTAAAACATTTAACACTTGTTTGTCTATAGCGTTAATACATCATGCTTCACCGAGAATCCCTAAATGAAGGAACGTTTTCATTTTTAGACATAGCCAATTTGGCATAGGCACAGCTGCGGTTGATATGTAAAAGTTGGTATAGGAAAGAAAAAATAAAGAACAGATGGTGCGGCTGATTTCAGTGGTTATCCAATCATTGTATGAGTTGTCAGTGCAAGCTTCTTACTGTTATTTTACTGAACCATTGTTTTACTTTGTTTTTCATGGATATGTGCGTGAATATGCGAACGCGCTGCATTAATATGTTTTCATTCCAATATGGCAATTAATGTCAACCTGAAACCAACCTAACCTTGAGGATTTCGGAGATGTCGAGCCCCCCCTCCAAAGAAAGACTTCCGGAGCCTCTGCATGGTAACTTGGCAGAGAACTAGTAAGGTTGTGCAGGGAGTGAACATTCACAGTTGTATTATGGAGTTCTGGCCTTTATATGCATTCGGGCATAGCTAAACGAAGAGTGGTTTGAGGCTGATGTGACTGGAGGGACCATCATCTCAATACTAGCTTGTGGCCTTACCTGCTTTGATTTGTTTTTGTTTGTTGCAGGAATGAAGTTACGTGGGAAGGAGAAAGGCTTGCCTCTGAGCATGGAAAAGAAGAAGTAGCAGTGTGATTGAGATCAGAGCAGGCATGATACACGTGTCTTGATTTTTGTGGAGTGACCAAAACGAAAGCCTCGTTTGGGGGGGGGTTGAGGTCCTTATTTTCGTCCCTTCGTGCATATCGCGAGCTCCTTGCACAGTTTTTCATCGGCAGCACAACCACACAAAATCTGGCACGCAATGAAATCCCTGGTGTGTGTCTGTGGCCAAGTAAACACAGAAATGAATTCAGAGCAAGGACGGCCAGGTGTGTTTCACGGCACAATGAGTAGCGGCAGCCGAGAAGGTCGTGCAAGCGGCCGAAGCGTGCATTTTCTTCCCCGTGTACTCTTCAATCTCGCCAGTCTCGTCAGAGTGGCTTATGTGGCGTTCGTTTATTCTGGCTGCTTTGCCAGTGTGCATCTGTCTGTACAATAAAGTGCTTGTTTGGAAATGCGGGATGCCTCTGTATGTATTTGGTGATGGTGGCACTTCTCAAGCTATACATAGACTTCCAGGATAAATCGGTGGACTGCCAAATCTTGCAAGTGATTTCTGGGATGTGGGTAGGCAGGTGAGCTGCAACTAATATGTGAATGATTGTTGTTCTGCCATCTTCCCAATCAGGAATTTTGGTTACCTTCTATGTTTCTTGGTGATTGGGCACAACCAGTGATCTGCGAAATCTGAGCCAGAATGGTCAGATGACAATAAACCAGTGTGGGGGAGGTCGATCTCTAGAATAGAACCGCATTTCAATAGAATGCAGACTATCCAAGATATGCACGTCCAGCGTCGGCCCATTATGTCAATGCTTAGGTTAATTGGAAATCGTTTGTGTAACAAAAAATATGGAGTGTTGGGGACCCATAGCCTGTGTTTAGTACATCTGAAAATAAATGGCAGTGACTATAAGGATAATGATAATAGAATCTCAACATTTTACAGAAAATAATGAAATTTTTATAAAAAAATACTTTACAACCACAGACTCGTACAGTAGGAATGCCGCTCAAAGTTTGCATTGCAGTAAAATGGCATGTGGAATACTCCTGCGATGGAGTTAGCTCTCCTGCAAAACATCCAAGCTCTGAGTGAAGTTTGCCCAACAAAGTTGGGTGGTTGGGTGAGCAAATCAGCATTTACTGTTCAAGGTTCTGGACATGGAGCTCAAATAAAGTACACCTTTACTTAAAAATCCTGCGTTATACCTGCCAGATGTAAGGATATAAATTATTTTTTTCACCTTTGAATTCACAGAGAAAAATAGTAGATGAATTTACAACCTCGAACAAATGTTGATCGAGGCCAACTTGCACTTACAAGGTGAAAAGTTGCACACATTTTGCATCTGCGATGGAAGGATGACTGCCTCGAAGCAGCGCACTGCCACTGCTTTTTTACAGGGTGCGTGTTCGGGAATGTTCCGAACCAAAACAAACGCTTGATGACAGCCCGGAATGGGCTGGAACGTTCCAGAAGTGTACAGAATCGTAAAAAAAAGATCCGGGCCAAGTAGGGTTTGAACCCCGTCCCTTTGTGTGGCAGCCGCCCGGGTTGCCGAATCCACCATGCACATGGCAATATAGCGGTTTTTGTGTACCAACGTGTCCATCACTAGTGGAACCGTGTCAATAGCTTCCGATACAAAGTGTGAAACCATTTATTGATAGAGCGTGATCCCGTTTGTCGGCGTGGGACATGAGGGGCAGCTGGGAGGGCTAATCTCTGCGCAGGGGGAAGCGTTCCTCGTGCACGCCGTCCTTGTCAATGATGTTCACAATGACCGAGTCTCCCGTGTATATGTCCCTCTCAGCGGCCGAGATGAACACGTCCTTGATGATGCTGATGGCACGCTCCCGCGTGGGGGGTACAGCCACGGCTCCCACCTGGTTCTTGAAGCCGATCTGGAATCAGAGAAGCCGGATGAAAGGTGGTGTCAAAGTCAAGGGAGGACCGAGCCACCATAGATTCTTAGGAGGCTTCTCCAGTTATGTTTTGAGGTTTTACAAAGGCTTTTCGATTACTATGCCTCGCACCGAGCTTGTCCTGCGAGCCACCGTAGATCCTTTGCGGTAGTATTCTCCAATTACATCTCGAGCGCCGCAGATGCTTTTCTGTCGCTACACCTCGCATAAACCGAGAGGCTGCAAAAGCAGGTGAGAAAACCAAATGCCAGGCGACTTTATGCTTTGCACAAGCAATATTAGGCTATCCCCAAAAGTACACAAATCCTTTTGCTACCACACGCGTCATTTTTAGTCAATTCGGTGGCTTTAAAGGGCAACTCCGCTTCATTTTTGATATTTAGAAAACTATGTAGCCCTCTTCAGTATCATATAGGAAGACTCCATGTCAAATATTACGATCTAATTCCGTTTATATATTTAATAAACTGACCAGCAAACCTTCAAGCGAGCCAAGTCACCGAAATCTGCCAACTCTAGCGTGCGGCGCGAGGCGCAATCATCAGCGCAGTCAATGCCACGGAGTTGGAGCGGCCAACGTTGAACCACTACGTCAGAGGCATGTGTACGTCATTCTCACGTTTTCTTTGTTTTCACCTCTCGGAGCGAAATTGAACGATGACGTCATGAGTTTCTCCTCCCGGTGTTGGCTGACCGGGCGTTCACGTGATCACCGTAACACGGATGCGCTAGTTTGCGCTGCTCTGCGCGCTTATCGGCCTGTTTTTCCGCTCCCCTTCTCCTCTTTCGTCTTCTCCCCTTCCTCCTCTCCCCAGGGCCATCATTGTCCACGCCATGCGAAGAAACCTACCCGCGTCCAATAATAAAAAAACAAAAAGACCTGCCCGCATCGCGTGTCCTGTTTCTCGCTCCCTCCCGAACGTCACAAGACCATGTGGTTCGACGTCACGTGACCATGACTCTGACGACCCGAGACCAATGTTGCCTGACGCAACCAAAGTTTCGGTTTCGGTATCTGCTGATGTTTAAATTAGGATTACACAAATAATATTCCACATTTCGCAAATCCGAAGACGTAGAGTTGTTTAGTAGTGCTTTGTGAATGTGAATCACATGGAAGCCTAAATTTTTCGGAATTGAGCGGAGTTGCCCTTTAACTGATTTGCTGGTGACTGAAAGGTTACATGGTGGCAAACACTAGCATTTATTTGCCCAATTCTTCTCGTGGAACCTTAAAACAAGGAGCATTTAGCTGGCTCGTTTGTGACCCATTTGTTGCTGCAACGCGCTGGTCTGCTTTTGAAATGCCTTATTCAGTTATTTTGCGAGGCTCTCGGTTCTCTCGCCACTTTAAGAACTTGACAAAAATTCAATGGTTTTTTGCTCGCCCAGATATATTTGCATAATATTGATCAGAGTCAAACAACAGCAATGTAACTATAACCGTCAAACATATGAAAACAGTGTGGCAGTGTGTTTTCTTGTTGTAGCGGTGCCCTCGAGCATGCTCGAATGCAAATGTGCGAAGTATCCTTAAAACAATGTTTACAGGCACGAAACATTAAGAATGATGCGCCCACGAGGCACTTGCCTGGCTGTCCAGGAGCGGCTGAAGGAGAGCACTGCCCGAGCCTCCAGATCGATACTGGACCCTCTCGCAGTGGCCGACTGGATCGTAGCTGTAGATGCAGCCCTTGCCTGGGAAGGAGGCCCTCTTTTAAAAACCATGCTTGCCTCAAGTAGTTTAGGGTTAGATGAAAACAAACTAGCATAAGTATTCGAATGAACAGAAGTGGTCATAGAGGTGGCTTAAGTAATAGGAAAGGCCCAGTGCCAATAAACAAACTATGCCATTATTGTCGTTACCAGAGGAGGTGGAAAGCAATGATAGCATTTGGAATCTTGCCCACTGCACTTTGGACGTCCGTTGAGGCACCCCTTTCCTTGCCATGTGTTCTCCTCCCCGGTTGACACATGACGTAACATTGTGTGTCACTGTGTCGCACAGTGTTAGTGTGATGTGGCATCAGTGATGTGACATGGCACATTGTGAGGTCATGTGACGATGCATCATGTGACGTGATGCCACAGTGTCACAAGACGCTGTGATGCAACACATGTGAGGTCACAGTGTCGCGTGACGTTGCGTGACATGACTTGATACGGCATCGATTATACGCAGATTCAGGTTGTCTCGCTAAAGTAAGTGGCCGAGATGCTCACAAACAGACGCATACAATCCTGCAGTTTTGCAGCCCTAGATATACTATCGCATTTAAAAGTTGGCAAAAGACCATCCAAAGCTGACACAAATTTAATGATGTGTAAGAAATGTTCAATAGCACACAAAATGACCGCTACAGGGTTCGCACGGCTCCTTGAAAACCCCTGAATTTGAAAATGGCATTTTCCGGACCTTAAGCCCTGGAATAGGCCATTTGCTGTATTACCCACGCATCAAGTAAAATGCAGGGGTTTGTGTTCCACTCGCCAGACGTGCACGCCTTCCCCGTATAAAAGATTCGAAGTAAATAACCAAAATAAAAGGTTGACGAACGCATGTGTAAGATGCCATTTGTTTTAAGTATTTGCTTTACAAAAGTTGCTACTGTTGACGCCAGCACGTGCGGCGCGTGGAACACCAACCCCTGCATTCCCCTTGATGCTTGGGTAATATTGCAATAGGTCTATTCCTAGTGGTGCGTTAAACGCCTGGCCAAAATGGTAGCAGTCCCGGTGGCTCCGAATCCGGTCTCGCTCGTCTGCGATCTTGACCCTCGTTTATCTTGTTATCTCGCATACTGTTTGCTAGCAACTCCTGGTTCGCTTGTTCTGTGTCTGTTTTACGCTGCACATAGTGGACGTAGTTTAGGTTGTGCACGATGCCCGAGAAGTGCAACTTGCAGCGGTCATGGCTGGGTCACGACCAACTACAGACACCAAGAAAACAGAGGCAACAGGTGACATCACCTACATTGTCAAGTCAAACAGCCTAAGGAAAACAGCAAAAATGAAAATGCAAGACTTATAACATCAACCAGGAAATCAAGGAAAAGCTGCAGTAGCTTTATTGAACACTTTATCACCACCTCCTTGGCAAATGTGCCTTTTTCCTTGGTATCATGCAATAAAAAAGATGTGCAGTGCATTTTAAAAAGTTGTTATATTATAAATTTGCAAAACAGAGTATTGGAAGGGGTCCTTGAAGATATATTTACAGGTCCTTAAAAACCCTCAATTGTTTTTCTTTGAAGCCTGTACAAATCCTACACTAGTCATCCCCTTATGAGGGCCTGCGCACAATGGCATCCTAACAATTTTTTTTATTCTTGCCGATGTCAAAGACTCCAGCAAGAGACGGTTGGCAATCCTTGAAAATGTTCCCTCGGCTAGTCTGGGAGTGAGGTAGGGTGTGCCACTGGAACCTGGAAGTAAGGGGTGCACACTTACCTTCCTCATCAAGGCCTGCTAGGATGTTGGAGATGTAGTAAGGGAAGAACCTCTTGTGGTAGAGCATTGTGACAATGAGCTGGGCCACGGCTGGAGTGCTCATGGGCTTGTGGTGCTCGTGAAGGTACATCTGGCAAAGGGGACACTCGTTTATTTAGCCCTTCAAAGGTGCAAGCATAGAAAATTGCAAAGAAAACATTAACCTACAATATAATCACCAAAGAGGGCTGTGCTATGTGTTTGCTTGGAACATCTCGAACTTTGCATTTGGCTCCGCCCAAACAACGCTCCACAACTTTTAAAGGACTCTGCTCAGCTCTTGCAATGCTCTCTTAAAATATATGTGCAGCTAAAAGAACTAAGTATTTCATAGTTTAATTTTGTCGATGTCGATTGTTTGTTAATGTTACGATATATCGTACGACTAACACTTGACATTAAAAAACAACTTTCATTGAATTGAATTTGCTTGGCTATGTTACGACATTACTTGCAAATGACCTAATGGCAGTGTTGGGTAAAGTACACCTAAAAAGTACTTGAAGTAAAGTACAAAGTAAATTAGAGGTTATGTACTTCAAGTAAAGTAGTAGGTACACAGGCCACAATGTACAGTCGGGAGCAAAAGTTTGCGGGGCATGGCAGCGCGTGCCGAAATGCATCGCCGCGCCGTGCAACGGCGCGTCGCCACATTAAAAAGCCGCGCCTTGCGCATGCGCGCCCTTCACACTGGCAGTCATGTCTTTTTCGCTCGTCTCAGTGCGACTCATTCCTGATAACCGGAGTCGGCGACAGGTGCGCAAGTTGCCGTTTCGCTGGCTGTCATGCCTTGCGTTCTTTTCAGCTGCCTCAGCAGCCGCGCTGGGTGACGAAGCACCTGGTTACCCCACCCCACGTGCTCCGTTACAAATCGCGGCAGCCGAGGCGGCTGAAGCAGACGCGCAGCATGACAGCCAGCGAAGCGCTCTTTTCTTATCAGGAGTATGTCGGAAAGAAACGAGCGAAAGTGACATGATGGCGAGCACGAATGGCGCGTATGCGCAAAGCGCAGCTCCTTAATGTGGCGGCGCGCCGTCGGACGGCGCAGCGATGCATTTCGGCACGCGCTCCCGTGCCCCGCAAACTTTTGCTCCCGACTGTACTTGACATAAAGTATTATAAATGCAATGTACTTTCAAAGTACAAGTACATTTTAACACAATATTTCATGATGTCCTTCCAATCCACTATACAGTGCTTTTTTTAAACTGATATGTAGAGCCCCACACGGATAAGTGTTTGATCATCTGCATCCGATCCGTATCCACATCCGCAAAGATTTTAAATAATTGTGTCCGCATCCGGTCTGCATTTGCAGACGTAGCCGCATCTGAACCGCATCTGCAAAATTTGAAACAACACTGGACCCTCAATCCGCACATTAATTTTATATCGTGAAATCATGCATGAATTTTATAAGCCGTCTGCTTACCTTTGTACAAAGAACTCTCCGTGTAAGAATTAGCAAAAGTCATTTTATCGTATTCTATTTGATCGTTTTTATAAAATAAGCGATCATACTTTCAGAGACACTTCGCATCACTTGAAAGATGATTGTAGTTATGAGATCGTCTACTTGTGAGTCCGTGACAGTGACACTCTGTCCAGAAGATGCACTCAAAAGGAAGGAAATTGTAATATTTATTTTCCTTTTTGCTTTTTTTAAACCCACTTCAAGCAGATGCATATATTATAAACATAAAAATTAACAAAGGACAAACTATTGTGTCATTTTATTTAGGTCAAACAACACAAAATGAGGGAGAGGAAAGGCCCTCACTCACCACAACAAATTACTCGTGTATATGTGGTAAGGCACGAGTACGCCACTGAGAAAATATCACAATGGCAACAGCTCCTATCGGTTTAGTTTTAAACATGAACCCTCAGCTGCATGTTTGGAACCATATAAATTTAAAAACAACTCAATGCCAACAGTAGAGAAAAAGAAAATGCACACACATCCGACGTTTCACTTGTCGAGGTTGCTGTGTAGAAGAAACAGATTGTCATCAGCATGGACAGATTCCGACTGGTTTGCCTCTCTAAAATTAATGCCCACTGTTGAGCAGAAGTCTCTCTCCGTTGGTGCACTTGATGCTGGGGTGGCATGCACAAACTGTGCTGCAAGAATGAGGTGCGGAAGCTCGTACTGGTGCAAGTTCCACCACTCCTGAGGATTGAATTCAGTCTCCTCGATCTACTACAAAGAAACCACTAGCAGGTTCCTTCTATTTGCTTGTGGCTTGTGCGTTTTCTTTGCTCCAAGAATGTTTTCTGCTCTTTCCCTGCCGAACAAGAGCACGCTTTCCCGGGACGACTGATGCTCCTTCATCCTTTTCCTTTTTCTAGGGACAACATTTTTGGCGAGATAGAACATCCTAGAAAAATCTTTGGTGAGAATCAAATCTTTCTTGGCAGAAAGAATGATTTGTTTCCTTGATTAGCATCTTTAATCGAAGAGGGTAGTTTAATCCTGCAATACATTTGATGATGCATTTCATAGTAGTATCACTCACTAATTCACCCTACACTGTGTGGTCGCACACGTTCATGGGCCGCCCCGGCAAAAATGTGGATGCGGATATCCACATTCGCCGCCCCTGGAATCCGCATTTGATCTGCAATCTGCCAAATTTGATTCATTTTTAGCCGCATCCGCCAGTTTACTGTGGATATCTGCAGCAAGGCTCTACTGATATGCATTGCCCCAGTGGTAAGGGGGGTGCATCAGTTATTTTAGGAAATGGCGGCGAATTTCGGATGAACTTAAGTGGCCACAGAGTAGTTGCTTCACTCTCACTCACAAATTATTCAGAACAATCAACTTAAAAGGGAATTATTTGTATCGGTGTTATAGCTGCCATTACTTCTCTCAGGAAAATACCAGATGACGTCTCGAAAGACGATAGTGCATTTGCACATGAATATATGCCATTTTTTTGTTAAAGGTTGGTGAACTCTTATACTCGACCTCAGAAGTTGCGTACAGTACTGGGAAAGCCAAGGACACGAGCACGGGGTTCTTGAAAGAGCTAAATTTCACCGAGATCAAATTGGAGGAATGTATTTTGAAGTCGGGAAATATACTGTCCTCAGAAAGTACCAGAAAAAAATACTTAAAGTAAAGCACAAGCACATACTCAGAGAATGTACTTCAAGTAAAGTCCAAGTTTTAAAAACCTACTTGAAGTAGTACTTTAAGTACAATGTACTTAAGGTACTTCCCAACACTGCCTAATGGCTACAGCATAGTGTTTGCAATGATTTTTGCTCTTAACTGCTGTAAAGGACTAGTTTTCTTCTGTTTTGTTTTCTATTTCATCAAAATTGAGCTTAGTACACGAGCTGGTAGCGCTGAAAGAAGATGCCACTCTGTAAGTGTTGTGCATTGGGAAGACTTTATGTACAAGAATTTACTTAGAAGTCTAGCGGTGGAGCCAAAGCTTCAGGCACGCGCTTGCACCTCTGGCGAGTTCTATGATTTGTGCTGCCAAGATGCACTTCAGTGGCTAAACAAGGTCATGCTGCCACCTTCCCGGTACCACTGCCCCTACAAGCTAAAGTAAAGTAAATCTATTTGAGTATCTATTGCCACAAAAGCTAGGCTCATCTGTGACCACCAAAACTTAATAGACTCGCAACCTTTTCTGCATTTCCTTCATTTCTCACCAGATTCTTTCTGCGCCCGAAAGCGTTCCACGACAAGTACTATACTCGGCGACAGCTTTTCTTGGCAATGCAGTGGAGGGTACAGGCACGTGTTCCCTATCCCATTTTGAGCACGGGATAAGGCTGTGCGCGAGCTCTCGTCAACTTCCACTGCATTGCCAAGAAAAGTTGTCGCCGAGTATAAATGTGTAACCCTTTTTTTCAAAAGCCCCTTGTGTAATGGACCCTAATAGCTTGTCTTACACATAAATAAATAAATGAGACTACCTTCATCCGTGCTTCCAGGAACCTGGTGAACGTCAGGATGTCACACCAGCACCCGCTCGAACCAAGGATGCACTTGTCCGACCTGGGAGGGTAAAGACTCCTCACACACGACTTCTTTCCCACCAACCGAGTAAGCAGGTATTGTCGAACGTTCCTACTCACAGCTTGAACAGTTTCGACTGGTCCCTCGTGTAGATGGAGTAACCGGCACTGAGGCGACTGTCCGAGGCAATCACGACGAAGTCTTCACCCGCAATGGCGACAATACTCCTGCACGGAAACGTGGATGGAACTGTACATATACGAGACAGGAGAGAAGGGGCAGAAGACATGATTTATCTTCTCCTTGCACGAGTGGTGTAAGGCAAATGAATTTTCATTGTCCACTACTCTGAATTCTTCTAAGCTTTGTGTGGTAACTTATACAAACTACCCCAAACATTCCAGCAGGGTGAATCTGACAGGCGACCAACCGCTCACTCTCCTTCCCGGGTCCCTATCGTCTTGTGGAAATATGTTTCATGGACACAAGCCCCTGTAACGTTTCGTCTACAACATATATATATTTATATATATATATATTTTTACTAAGCCACTTAAAGTTAGTACATGATTCACTGAGGCGTGCTCACCCAAGCCTTAGGTCCCTCCCTCTCTCTCCTCCCCTCCCTCCTTCTCCTTCTCTCTCTCTCTCTCTCTCTCTCTCTCTCTCCCTCCCTCCCTCCCTCCCTCCCTCCCTCCCTCCCTCCCTCCCTCCCTCCCTCCCCCTAAACCAGGGGAGAGGAAAAAAAATTGTTGCAAAAAGAGCTGGGTTGAGTTCGACAAAACGTCGCAACGTCTGTCGATGAAACGAACTCCGGAAGCCTTTCAATGAAACAAACTATCAATGAAACGTCTCATTATTTTACGGCAACGCTGCACAAATCGTACCGCGATAATTTAAGAAAGCGATTTTTTCGGTCGGTTTAAAGAGCCTGGCCGCTATTTGCGACAGCCTGTAGTATGACTACTCCGGATCGAACCTGGGCCCGCTGCGCACGAGGCGGACACCTTTCCACTAAGTTACGTTACAGCTTCAAAAACATTGTTTTGAAAATTCGTTTTATACGTGACTTTCGGACGGCACTTGAACGCTCTGCAAGTGCCGTCGGACGGCACTCTAGACATTACGTAATGCGGCTATCAACGATCCAAGTTTGCCGGACCTAAACTCAATAGCAAGTCACTGATAAATCACCTTTTCCCTTCAATATATTACAAAAATAATTCGTTGGAAATCATGGGCATGGAAGCGTAGGAACAAGAGAACGTTTGATATTTGTCTAGCCCCCTTTATATTTACGCACACTTTTACACTTTCGTGGCGCAGCTGAACGTACTCGATTCTGTTGCTTTCTATGAATACAATTTTTGAAGACAGGATTTTGATTTCAATTTTCGAAATCCTGCAAGCTCGAGGTGTCGAGTTTCGAGGTACAGGCTAGAGAGAGAGATCCGTACACACTTTGACTAGAACCAGAACGTACCCTCCGTTGTCCGAGTAAGGACTGAAGTAACACTGCTTCGGTCCACCATGCTCAGAAATAACCGACTGTCGCTGCATCACATCCATCTTCAGTAAATTTGGCTGCCTACCGAAGAGCACAACAAAATCGTGAGTTGACTTTTCTGTGCGAGTGGAGAAGGCCACTTCGCTACCCCATATTTCAGCAGTATCGTATTAGCACAATTGCTTATTTTATAACCAATACATGTTTTAAATAAGTTATTAAATAACTACGTAAATATTAAATTTTTATACAAGAATATTAATGTGGTATATATTGTTTTACGGAAACCCGACTAAATACGAAAGCTCGGTCGTGCCAAAGCAGTTCGAGCTGAACGCCGGACCGGAGAAAGGCGAAACGCCGCACTGCGCGGATAATCAAACATGGTAAGTAAACTAAAGTTACAATTTTCTCAACCTTTTATATTTTGAAAGATTACAGTTTCTTCTTCTTCTACAGCTATTCTATTCGTTCTTCAAGTCGTTGGTCGGAAAGGATGTCGTGGTGGAGCTGAAAAACGATCTGAGGTACTCACCCGTCATAACCGCTCCGTTATTTCGAGCTCACTTCGCTTTCGCTTATTTTTCTCTAGAAAACGTGTTTATCCTTGATTCTTGCAGTATATGTGGAACACTACATTCGGTGGACCAGTATCTAAACATCAAACTCACGGACATCAACGTGACAGACACAGAAAAGTATCCGCACATGGTAAGCGAACTCTCTCTGAACACCTCGTAAAGTGCACAACATGCGTAAGTATCCGAACCCAGAGGTCGGCATTTTAGGTCGCCCTCACTCACCCTCATAGTGACACTCACCTAAGCCCCTCACTCACACTCGCCCTCACCTTCAGCCCCTCACTCACCCTCCTCCTCACAGTCACACTCACTTTCAGCCCTTCACTCACCCTCACTGAACCTCATGGCCCTCACGCCCCTCACGCACTCATGGCCCTCACGCCCCACTCGCACTCACCGCCCTCACACACTCGTGGCCTTCACGCCCCTCATGCACTCATATAACCCTCGCGCCACTCACCACCCTCGCACCACTCACCACCCTCGCACCACTCACCACCCTCACGCCACTCACTCCCTCATGACCCTCACACTCACAGCCCTCACAAACTCGGAGCCGTCATGCGCTCACCACCCTCATGGCCCTCACGCACTCATACCCCTCACGCACTCGTGGCCCTCACGCCACTCAGGCCAGCTTCAGATGGGGCAATTTCGCCCAGAAACTTGACGCCGCAACACCAGCCGCTTCGTTCACACGCAGCAACCAATTGCTGCAGTTTGCCATCATCATCAAGAAATTTTATTTTTCTTGCACTATTTAGACACACAATTATGCGCTATAAACATGTTTTTATGCATTTAAATCTTGTTGAGAATAATAATGCATCTTTCTGAAACAGTTTATTTTCAAAAATGATCAATTTCAAACCAGAACCAAGTCTTGTGATCATCACTGGCACAAAATATCACATGAAAATATTGCGTCCCTGATTGGATGCAGCCGCTTTAAACGTCTTCTAATTTCTCCGAGTTGCTCGCTTGTTTCGAGCCGGACCTGATCTCAGCAATTCGTGTCGAGCTAGGGGACAACCCGCCAGCAACAACAAAATTGCTGAAAAAGTTTTTCTGTCTGAAGGGGGCCTCACGCACTCGCAGCCCTCACGCCCCTCCCACACTCACGGCCCTCACGCACTCATGCCACTCACACTCTTACCTCCCTCACACCCCTCATGCATTCATCGCCCTCACGGCTCTCGTACCTCTCACGCACTCATGGCCCTCACGACACTCAGCGCCCTCACACCCCTCATACACTTATGGCCCTCACGCCCCTCGCGCACTCACTGCCCTAACAGCTCTCAATCATTCACAGTCCTCACGGCCCTCACTCACCCTCACCTCACCTGTGAAGGTGAGGGTGAGTGAGGGCCCTCATGAGTGAGGTTTGCCGAGGTATGTTCAAACCTGGTTCAAAGCGATTTAGATTGATCACAAGAAACGCCGATAAAGGGAACAAACAAGCCAACTCTTGCGTGCAATTGGGTATACTCCTCATGCCAGGTGTCGGGACTGAGCTATTCTGTAATGAAATAGACTACTCATGTACAAGGTGAGAACGGCAGGGAGAAGCTTCAGTTCACCCGCCTCCAGGGTGAGCTTTCTGCCAAATTGTCTCTACCTTCGACAAAGCTCTAGAGTCTTCTACACCTCGTACGCGCGCGCGCAGCCAAAGCATGGCGAAAGGCACGGAGCGTGTGCTAAAGACCGGGCGTTCGAAAGAGACGCCCTGCCGTTTTCACCCTGTGAGTGACTATACATTCCTTGCACGTGACGTCACGCTAGGGAAGGACGGGGCCCCGCGTCATGCTGATTTTATACTTCACACAGCATGGACGCGCTTACCAAAATGTAGGATGCCGCTAACTGCCCGGACATGCGCTGGCATGCACCATATTTTCAGCTAAGGTACCTATTTTTTTTACATGATAACTTGGAAAAACGTGCCGATCCTTACGATAATGACGTTCAGCCAGTATGTGCGGAGTTTTTTAGTGTTGGTGCGATTGCGCTACCAGCAGGAAGTTTCAATATGCCGACGATGAAATTTTTATGTGAAGGGCTGTCGTTTTGGCGAGAAAAGCTTCATGCGTGCCACAAAATTTGATGAGTGGCTCTGGGAGACGCTTGTAGTAAAGTCGTTACGATTTTGCGAAGTACCAGTAAAGAACGCAACCAGAGACAAGGAGAAATAAAATGATGGACAAGACGACTCATTGTCTCAGGGTTTAGATTATGATGTTTTCTAACCGATTCTCCTGAATACTTTGGGTCCCTGCAAAGCTTACCGTGTCGCGGACGGCACGAGCCAAGGCCCCGGCAGCATCGCCTCAACAAGCGTGCACACAAGGGCCGCCGCCGACCGATCGCTGTCTGGCCGGACTCGCGGCATCAAACTCTCACCCGTAGTTGGCAGGGAGCCCCGAAAATTCGCTTGAAGCGTGGAAACTGCATGATGAAACAAAAGGCAAAGGGCATCTACGTCACATACAGACAAAGCAGATGCAAGGGCATGCACAAACTTATACAATAGTAGAAAAGTGCTGTCACTCGCCGCCACGAAATGTTTTCCACAGTCAGTAACGCGCGGCCGCATGCCTTCCTTGCCACTTGTACTTTTCTTACTTGACGGCTACTCTGTCGTTGGGGCATGCCGATGAAACAATCAACGAGATGCGTAGCAATTGCTACTGCTGAGCGTGGCCCAGTTTTCCATGGCTCTTGCTGCGAGTCGCAACCACTAGCATGGTTGTCATTGGTGTTCGACGTCATCATGTGACGTAGGTGCAAGGCATGTATTGTTAATCTACCCGAGACTAGAATTTTCTAAAGAATGACACGGACACACACACACACACACAAAATTTCAATTGAAACATATTTATCCAGCTAGCTTGCACCCTCGTTTTTTGTTCGTGAACATATACATGGCTTACATTGATGTCACACCTGCTGTCATTGCAGCGGACCATGCTTCGGTGCCCATACTTTATGCAGCACACACTGAAGTGTCTTGCGTTACGTCCGACGTAACTCAAGTTACATCCAAATCTTCGCCTTCCCTAGGTTCATGGGGGGAAGGATGGTTAGGTCTACGTTTTTGAGTGCTTAGTCAAAACGTAACGCTAGCTACAGCGTTTTTTCTTTTTTTGCGCAGCTGTCCGTCAAGAACTGCTTCATTCGTGGTTCGGTGGTCCGTTACGTCCAACTGCCTGCCGACGAAGTGGACACGCAGCTCCTTCAGGATGCTGCGAGGAAAGAGGCCTCCTCGCAGAGCAAGCCCTAAACAGCATCCACACACTGAAGGACAAGGGACTTTGTGACGCAGCATTCATTGCATGTGACGCAGCATTCACCCTCTTCTCATCCTTCATGGTTCAGAATGATTGAATACTTGTTTTATCATCTTTTCACTTTCCCTGTCTGCTCAAATCAGCATGTACATATGGTGGCAATTTAATCCTAAGCAGAACACCTCAATCCTTTTCGATTGTTCATGTCTTGTTATTACGACTGAAGTGAGTGTCAATAAATGTTGCAAACTAGGCATAACAGTTTGTTAGTCAGCCCCAATGGGTGTCTGGTGTCTCCACGATAGATGAGAAACCTAACCCCTTAACACGGGATTTCCATGACCAAAAATTATTGGCAAAATGGGAAATTTTTGTCCTTACTTTGCTAATATTTTTAAACCGTTTTTCTGCCACCATCCACGCAATTGTTTCTAAGGCCATGGCCTCCGAGATTTTTCGCACGCTCTGCTCTGGCCTGTCCAAATGTTTGGCTGCCGAGCAGAAAAAGCGAGCTGAGCCAGTTCTCTACATCTCCGCATGCGGCGCTTATAATCAAGCCAGAAACCGGATCGCCTCAAAGCACGCTGTCAAGTGCGAGCCCGTGTCACGAGGCTTGCATTTTCATTGTTCTCATCATCAGAATAGAGACGGGTAAACCAATCTTTGTTGATTTGTAATTTTTATTCGTCGCTCCGGTCTTTGTGCCGTTTCACTGGACGATACCCCAGATTGCAAGATTTAGTGCGAATCAATATTTGTCATCTGCGGGGGTACTGTCTGGGCTGGCGGGACATCCATAGAAATATTTTTGTCGTCGTGCTTGAGACCAACTTTCTAAACTTTACTTAGGTAGAGGGACATTTGTTCTACATCGTTCGCACTTTGAAAAGATGAACCTTCAAACTTCAACAAACTTCCTTGCCAAAGGTCCGTGTGTTGCGACGAGAGGCGGGGAGCACATTTCACAAGAGAGGTGTTGAAAAGAAAGGAAACCTAATACATTTCTCTCTGCTCCTATATTCCGTGGACCAACGATAATGGTGATGATAGTTTGCGGCTCTTTCTTTGTATTGTTTGATTTAATTGCGAGTGCCACCAAGCATCCCGCAGCAACAGTCTCTACTGGAGTATGCATTAACCGGAGGAGCACAGCCAGCGCGCAAAAAATCTCGCAGGCCATGCTAAAGCAAAATTGTTTCCAATGTTTGGTGATAGATGGTGCTTCCTCCCCTGGACGCTGGTTGCGTCTGAAGAACTGGGAACATGTGAAAGTCATTGACGGTTGAGGGACGAAGTGCTCCTGAAGTTTTCGTGTTATTTCGTTGTATGGTGTTTCGGCTGGCGAGCTCGGCGAGCATAGAGCGCAAGATGGCGTATGTTGCGGAGCCACAGACGCTACACAGAACGGCTCGTTTCTTCTCTAGCGTGGTTACGTTGTTCGCCACAAAAAATAATTCCAGGCGCTCGATATACTGTGGCCAAGACGCAGGGTCATTAGGCGAAAACTCAACAGTACGTTGGAAGACATACCTGGAACGGCCGAGCGTTGTAGCCGCCAATACTGCATGTTTACCTCGTCGCCAGGGTTCAGTACCGAGCGAGACGGGACACCTTGGTGGGCTTATGCGATGCACCCCGCTTTACTAACTCGGATATGTACAAACATGTCTTGTTCGAGAAGGCTCGGCGTAGAAGTGGCCGTGTCTCGCGTTGGCACACGCAAATGCGTTGACCCATGCTTGCACGCGGCTTTCGCGCTACACTTCAGTACACAACACTCGTTCGATAAAAGGAGTGAGCGTTTAAAGATGCGCTCCCCAAGGCCAACTGAAGAGTGGCGCATCCCCCAAGCTGCGGCCAAAATTTCCCTCCATCTAAAGACGCACTCCCCAGCTAAGGTATGAAGTCTGTGCAGCGTCGCTGCTAGCCGAGTCTTTGATGTGCATCACGCAGTCATGATACGTGACTGCACACTGGTACAATGCTAATTCAGATTGAAACAGGCAGGGGTGTGAATTGAACCTAGGATCCCTGGGTTCTGCAGGGCGAGTTTTTGCTCCATGTGCCCCGAGGTGCAGTGGGTTAACACACTTAATTACCGATCCCTCAGTTCATCCCTGAAAAAAGGCTCGAGGTACACATCAGCACTTCTTACGAGTTGTGAATGCGAAAGCACTCGCGCCACTCTTCGCTCCCTCCTTTTGTCTATGGCGTACGGTACGCCGACCTTGGGCGTGGAGCGGTGGAGCCGCTGCCCCGCGGACACGCAGCGCCATCGGGTGAGCAATCGTTGAAACAGACGTGCAGCAGCCAATGAGAGCCTCGTCGACGCACGCCAGCCAATGAGACTGAAGCTGAAAAAACATTAGCTTTACTTCGCTCCTTTGGGATCGGAGAAACTAGGTGCAGTGTCTAGGCTTTTCGCATGGTATCATAGCTGGGAGCGGGCTCCACTTGGAGAAAGGATTTAAGGTGCCGTTTTTACGCTTCAAACTGATGACGTCGGCTCGCTCTATGAGACAGTTAATGCTTTCGCATTAGTACTTCCGCATCTCACGAGTACCACGTGCTATACTTTGTTTCAGCTGGTCCAGATGCAGCCGATGCTACAAATGAGCATGTGGCCCTGAACGGTGCTTGCACTGCACGAGTGCACGTGCTTGGCAGGGACACTGAAAACCTGGAGCTCGCGCTTGTAGCATCGGCTGCATTTGGTTAAGCTGAAAAGAAGTATGGAATACAGTGCAAACTTTCTAAAATGAAACTTCTTTTGTGTAATAAAAAAAAGAAAGACATTTTGTTTTCTTGGCACACAATACTATTGGGCAGTCTTGGCAACACCTTAGAAGCACTCAGCCAGTTCTTGTAGAAACTAGTAAGCGAAAAATAAGGACAGGCGACAAGGAGGCTCGCTGAGGCAGGGTCGGTTACCGGTAGACATAGCAGTCCAGTTGATCTCAAATTCTATAATGCTTCGCTGGGAGCTCACTTTCACTGCAGCTAAATTCCCAGACTGCAGTTTTTTAAACATTTGGTAAAACACTCGGGCATACCTCTTCCCATCTCACTTCACGACTATACTCTGTTCACCCCTAACTTGATGGAGCAGTGGGAGCTATACGCTCGTTTGACCAATCGATCGCCTCCCTTTTGTGACCCGACCCCGTTCACTGTGCAGGGGCACAATGAGCATATACTTTCCACCGTGCTGCCAGCTTGGGGGTGAACAGAATATAGCTTGACTTGCTGAAAACGGTTCCCCCACAGAGCCACGGCGAGCACTGCACCGGCGAAATAAAAGAGTCGGGCAGCCTTCGGTGAGGAATTTCACATAGTCCTTTTATTAAGAGTAGGTTTCAAAAAACTACTTTGTCCTCCTATGAATCGGGGGGCAGTTTCAACTGGAGAGGTAAGGCAAAGTACAAGCTCGCAAGAAAACGGTGTTTCGGTCCGAAACCTCTTGCAAGCAGAAAGCCAACACGGGAGCTGGTCCCCTTCCCCTCCCTGTCCAGCACAGCCACTGCGGTAGTTTTCGTGAACCCCAACGTACGCGCTGCGAGACCCGTGCCTCCGCCCAGCGGGGGAGGGCTGTTCCGATGCCGGTGAATACAGCTAGCCCTACTTTCGTCGTGAAGAAATAAATATTTGTTAGAACTTTATTATTTAACCACAACCATGTTCTTCCATCTTGGGTGAGTGTGTTTGAGTACGCGGCGAGTGATGCAAAGAGAATGTTATTCACAAAGGTTTGAGAAAAGACCGGGAGGAAACGGGACTGGGGGGGGCCTCTGCTGGAGCAGCCCCTCCTCCCATTGGTGCGGGTGTGTGCGTGTGCCTTTCTAGGTTGAGTACAGATGTGAAAGTCCTCTTCGTGGAAACTACTCGCCAGAGGTTGGCTACGGGGAAAAGGGACCGGCCATCGGATGGAGTACAGTGGCGAGGTACCGAAAAACCCATTGGGGGAAAAGATGCTGCCGTCGGGGGGAGGGGCGGGACAGAGACCCAACATAACTAGGATTAAGGAGCAAGAGTTGAGATTCTCCGACACGCACAAGTCGTATTGAGCAATAAAATCGAGGTCATCCTGTTTGGTTTTTTAAGTCCTTGCCCGGCGTTTCAAACTCTACCTCGTTTCGATAAGGCTGCAACGGAAATCTCCATCGGCACGCCGCCCGCCAGTATGCTACCTGTCGTGTCGTCTGTGCGAGGTTACTCGCAGAGTCTAATGAGAGGTATCCGGCGGGACCACGCTGAGATGAACTCACTGGCTGCGGTGGGCTTGGACAAATGTGGCGATGCCTGTAATCTGAAATCGGTGTACGTTAGAAGTCTAAAGGTGGCGCCAATCCGCACCGCTGGGAACACTGAGCAGTCGGTGTCGAGTGGTGTCTTGTATTGTGCCTGCGCCTGCGACGCAGTTTTTTAATATTTCGGCGGCGATCGGGAATGCTGCACAAAAAAATCTCTTCTAATATGTAGCCATATATTAAAGCTCCCTAACAGTGAGTCGATTTTGTCCCTTGCCTGCAATGTATACAGGGTCTTCTACTGGACAGAGGTGTTGGTTATATCTTGTATGTATCATGTAAAAAGGAATTTCCATAATATGAAGATTAATGTTGGCCTAAGCTGTTAAAGCGACATCATTTAGTATGGCGGGGGCAGTCCCATATGCGAAATAATTTCCACCGACATACAATCTGAGTGGTAAACCATAAGCCAGGGTGACTAGTTTTAGACACATAAATATGTAAAACATTTCTCGAAATAACAAGAATATTGAAAAATGTGCAAAGACAATGTAGAACAAGAGCATGACGTGCATTCAAACTAAAACAAGATGAAAGACAATAAAAACATACTTCCATTTACATAAAATAAAGCCACATTAAGGGCTATGCCAGCATGAACTGCATGTCTGTATACAGGAGCAAAGTAACAACAAACATAGTAAATTTCTCTCTTCACTTCTGTCACAAAACTTGTGTCGATTTTGTATACAGTGGAAAAACAAATGCGACACTAAAAACAAATCTGAAGCTTGATACAACATGTTGCAAATAAACACTTCGATAAAATGTGCAACGTGAAAATGACGAACAGAACTGCTATTGCACGCAATAAATAACTATAGCCACACTGGTGCACTGTGCCCAGGGAAAACCCGGCATTCCCATAATTGTCGTCAAGGTTTTTGGGTAAATCTCCTTGTCGTGCTGATTACCCCAATATTCGTGATGAGCTTTCCATTTTTACAGAACCTGGTGCACTTCCTTTCCAAATAGTAAAGCAAAAAAAAAAAAAACATTCATATTAAGAGTGCTTTAAACAAGTGTACTTCCGGATAAGTCTGACGCAGCCATAGATTTCACAGAACTGTACCGACACTCGAGTACAGGAACTTTTAGCTTTCATCCTGACGATCTTCCATGTGCAGACAGATAGACCAGCAAACTGCAAACGGAACAAATGGTGCACCGGACACCGAGAAAATCTTTTTCCAACCATTTCATCGCTTTGCCCTCAAGTTCCCACCACAAGAGCCCAAATTTTACCAGGTCCAAGCAGATCTGCAATTTGCAAAATATTTGCCCTAGCGTAAACGACGAACAATGGTACCATTTCAACTAACTGGACAGACAGGCCTTGACGTGCCGTGGAAGCATAAAAAAAGAACCAAAGAGTGGCAAGTGCAATAAAACTGACGGGGTTACATGGGCGTCCTCAAGCAGGATCTGGCTGGAATGGCTATTATAGTGGAACTTTATTAATTTAACTCGCTGCAGACGCACCAGGCCCCCTGGGTGCTGCTTAGTGATTATAGGAGAGCAAAGTGAAGTCGGAATGTGCTGGCCACTTTGAAGGCGACGTTTCCTTCTCTTTAAAGCTTAGAAGTCATACGGCAGACATACTCGGACACAGCGGTGGCTCGTAAAATGACTAGTAGGTCCTTGTTCCTTATTTGTGTCCCCCTCGCTAGAAGTATATGCAGTGGTAGTCGAGATGGAAGGAATGAAAAGGGTAACAAGAATAGAATATTTGTACTTTGAAACAGAACGCCACAACACGTGAAAGCAATGGGCAATGTGTCGCGGAACTACGCTTGATATGGCGAGCTGCACCTTCATGGACGAGCGTGCGTTTAGCGCGAAAACACGGAGAATTGGCAAAAGACAACAGAATGCGTTACCCGGGGCAAAACTGCCGACAGACGACATTGACGCGCACAATGCTTGCGCTGGGGTTTGAAGGAAAAAGTTTGTAACACAGATTTACTCTACGTGGACACAATAAAAGAGGAAAGAGTGTGAAGTACGGATAAAATCGGACTAGAAAAGGCAATCGAGAATGGGCGTAAAAAGCCATGCAGGATCTGAATGTGCGCTGACCAGTTGTGAATGCTGAATAACAAAAACAAAAAGATGCAGGATGTCCCGGAAGTGAGACCGTCGTGGGGGCCGAGCACTGACCCATGAACTTGCCGGTTCCCGTAAATACTAGTGGTAGTATCACAAATTCTGTAACAGTTCCTTCTTTTCTGAAGGGAAACATTCGAAATGGCAGGCTAACAAGAGCTCCTTCACTCCCAACAGATACCCGAAAGAGAGCGTCGTCAAAAAGGCCCGTTTGCGCCAGGCATGGTCCGCGGATGACGAGCGGATGACTAGGCCACGCTGCGACAGTTCAGAGTTTTGTTCCAACCTCGATTTCAGAAAGAGGCGCGCTTATAAACTGCCCACATTTTTGTTTGGGAAGAGTATTCGAGCGGTGCGAGAAAATACACCAAATGTTGAGCTCACACAGAATATGAGTAAGACGATGCGACAGTGGTAGCGGCACCAATTCATTGTCATGGGCTAAAAAAAAAGTCAATGTTTTTTTGTAATTGTGACGGAACTGCAATTACTTATCTTACATCAGCTCGAGGTCTCGAGACATGTGCTGAGAAATCCATGACACAGACAAAAACTGCCACTTAAAAAAAAAAAAAAAAAAAAAAAAGAAAATAAAAGTCTGTTAGAGTCTATACTAGTTGGTGAGAGGTTGAGAGTTCAGGGGAACCTCCTCCTACGGCTTTCCACCATAGCAAACCGAACGCTGGGAGGAGGTTGCCTTCTCTCCTGCGTTCTCTCTGCTAAAGTGGAAAGAGTTGGGAGGAGTCTCCCCTGAACTTATAACCTGTCACTGACTGTAGGCAATAGTATATGGCAGTAATTCAAATGCCTTTGCAACAGGCCACCTCCACCACCAAAGCCAATTCAAAAGAACGACCCATTACGATTTGATCGCAGGCTGTAGGGCTTGCCAGTAATGCGGGCCCAGAGGTTGAGAGTGTTTCGCACTTGAGTAACAGTTTGGTGATCCGGGGTTGACTAAATCATAGGCCCCCACATGCCACGGCAACGCCACCAGGGCAACAAGGCCCGCTTGTAAGGTGATCTTTGTTGGATCGGGGTAACAGCCTCCAGAGAACAGCAATTCCAAATTAGCAAAGGAAGTCAATTAGACTTTGCTCAAATTTGAACGAAGGAAGAGTCTCAGCGGAAAAATCGCTCATACCCAGATGTTTTCTATGAGAAAACATCTACTCGCAACATCACAAAGTCTTACTTCATCGCATACTAATGCTTAAAACAAACTCCAACCATTTAGTGAAGAGAGCCCATGGCCACCTCATTGACTCCAATAAGTTGGCAGAATGCATGCAATTGTCTAGAATCCGATACTTAATTAATTTGGAATCAAAACTGCCTTGGGCCAGAAGATCTCAAACTTTTGGCCATCATGGACCCTCTGACCATCTCAAAGGCAAGGGGGGGGTGGGTACAGTTTAATTTGCGCAGACCCCAATGAACGCTCTCGAGGTCCCCAGGGGGTCGTGGACCACAGCTTGAGAAGTGCTCCTTCAGGCCAAGTGGCCGACCTGCCGAGATTAAATCTCTCTTTATGCGGAGCGCAAGTTCGTCTGCTTCTTGCGCAGGGGGTAACGGTGATGTCAGAACGCCGAGCTTTGGTTGGCTGACCGCGACCCCCTATCTGAGAGTCGTCTGTTGCTTTGCAACGTCGTCTGCTCGCAACTTCGTCTGAGTCTGTCTTACCTTTCCTGCGACTTTCGGAAGTGCAGGTCTTTACGTGCGAGCTCGACTACGCCTTTTAGAGAGCGGTGAATCTCCAACAGACGCAGGAAAGGTAAAGCAGCCATCGCTTTGACTAGCAGACTTAAAGCAGGTGACATTAACTGCGCCAACTTCGCCAACCCGCCGACGCCGTTAAAGAGTGAGGAGTCTCGCCGCACACTAAAGGAGGGAAAAAGTATTTGGGGTGGGAACTTGCGGATGCTAGCCACCCTCACTCTCCGTTCTTAGCAAATAAACCTCGGCGCCTCGGGACACCTTGCCGGTGAGTCCTTTGACTTCTCTCCTTGATGCAACTCTGCTAGTTGTTAGACAAAAACAACATACCGCTCGAGTTATTTCGTCTGCCCTCTCTGAAAAGCGAAGTCGAGCTTGCTCGTAAAGACCTGCGCTTTTGAAAGTTGCAGGAAAGGTAAGACAGACGCAGACGACGTTGCAAGCAGACGACGCTGCAAAGAAGCAGACGACGCTCAAATAGGAGGTCGCGATCAGCCAATCAGGGCTCAGCGTTCCGACGTCACCGCTACCCCCTTCGCAAGAAGCAGACATACTTGCCCTCTACATAGACCTTTGGCAGTGGAGGCTGTTGCGAATAACATTCAGAGATCAGGCCGTTGAACAATACCTCTTCCAGGCATATGTGACAAACCTCAGCACGCAATCTTTTGACTGTAGAATGGGAAATGGCGAACAAACAATCAAAACCTTTGATCCATGTTGGGCACGTTCGCCACTCGTGCAACTTGCGATTCAATTTGAGGTATCTTCGTGTAGCATTGCTATTGCAGTTCAGAGACTGCCAAAACATTAAATATGTAACCTACTCTCAATGATGGAAAATGCAGCATGCCACTTTGTAGTTAAAGAGCTTGGTACTGTCAAGCCCAGTTATAACGAAGTCAACGGGAATCGGAAATCACTTCGCCATATCCGCTATTTCGTTATAACCGGCTTCGGTTATAACGAAGTGCAAAGGGAATGGACAATCGCGATCGCTTCGCTGTAGCCGCTATTTCATTATAACCGACTTTGTTATAACCGGTCTCGACAGTAGAACAAACAAAAGTTACGTTCAAAACTGGAACAGAATAAGAATGTCAGAGCAGTGACACTTGCGTCGCAGAGATATATGCAATGCAGGCTTAGTTGAGCAGAGCCCAGTGGCGTAGCCAGGAATTTGTTTCGAGAGGGCGAGATGTCCATGATTTAGGGAGCAGGGGCATTGGCACTATATGCAACTATGCATAAGCATTTGAGGTTGATTACACTCTGGAGGGTGGAGGGTGAAGCCTAATAAGCCCATCCTTGGTCAAGCCCCTGGCAGAGACATTTTAAAAAATAGCTTGAAGCTGATGGCCCTCCAACAAGGAATAATGTAAAGCTCCGGGGGACTTTCATCTGTCACATGAGAAAGCCTGGTTTGCGAGGCAAAGTGCCACAGTGAAAGTAAGCTCTGGTTGAATCTTGTATTCTCTGCTTGCCCTTTGTGTCCAGCGTTACACGACCGAATTGTAAGTTCCGAGGCAGCCATTTTCCTTTCGTGGTAACGCCTAAAGAAGCAGCAAAACATCAACTGTCGAGCTTCCTTTCTTTTCTAGTAGCTTTACAGTTATGCTACAACATTTTAAATGAGACGATTAATAAAATCACCTCAGATATTTTCACTATAAAATAAAATCGACCACATCTTCCGAATGTTTCAGATTCTGTCGTGGCTGCCGTCTCATAGCACGTCTGGGTCTTCCTTTCGGGCAGCCCAAAACAACCTAGACCTTCCAGCGGTTGTCCTACCTCGCTTCTCATCAGCGTCTTTGCAACAATCTATTTTGTTATTTCGGACAGGATTCCAAAATAATGTCAGAACAAGCGCCAACGACGGCGCAATGCGACGCAAGTAGAGGCAAAGACCAACGTCAGCGTCTTCCGTCTCTCGACCGTCTGCCAACTGAACTGGAACAAGAAGCGGGCCTCGTCGTCCCAGTGGCGCCAGTCGTGCAAGCGGCGTGGCAACGAAAGAACGGACGAAGGGAGTTCGGCGCGGGTCGGGGGCGCAGAGAAGAACCGAGGAGAGAGGGAGGCGTGTCGAGGGGAGGAGGCAGGGCCCTCAGGCCAGGGTGAACATGACCGCCTGTCAGTCGGCCTCATCCAGGTCCGAGAAGAGGGAGCGCACGTCCAGCACCCCGGCCAACTCCAGCACCGTGCGCTGCAGGGCTGGGTGGTCCAGCACCTCGCTCTCCGGGATCGGGGGGTGCGACCGGGGAAGATAGTTGGAGCCCTGCGGGGAATACGCGAGGCAGGCGTCAGCCGGAACTTCCATCGTGGCACCCGGTGCTCGGCTACCACCACCGACACCACCCGTGGTCAGTGATGGGCTGAGAACTCGGCAGAAGCTCCACCTCGACCACAAACATCCGGACCCCCCTCTGAATCAACAATATGAGTAGTAGTGTAACTGTGGCTCGTCCACCGTGGTATTGGGCCAGTCACAAGGATAACGTGGAAGTAAAATATGATTCTCAGAACATCGGTAAAGCCATACCACCACATTCTTTGAGCTATACTGTGCTTTCAACAACTTAGCTCATTATGCAGATGACAGTGCTCTTGGTTGCATACACTAGAATCCTGAGATAAGGCATGATACACAGCGCGACGCAAAAGGATCAACGTTTGTTAAAAGGGACTGCGTAAATCGGTTTGTGAACGTACTGAGCCAAGATTTTGTACAGAGGTGGCTGAAGAATGTGCATTAAAAGCATAAGAATTTCATTAAACAAACTTACCTGAGTAAAGAGTTAGAAATCAAGCAGTTGAAAACCCTACTGTTTGTATGCTAACGAAAGGAGTCTGATTGGCGCAACAGCCGGCAGCAAGTAGGATTGCAGCCGGCCACGATGGGTCCTTCCCTCGACCTCGGCAATATCAGAAGACTTTTCTGAGCCAAAAGCAATGCACTTTTTTGCTGATCGAATTTGCACTGCATGGTTATTGTATTCTACCCATAAAACCTAAAATAGTAAGATAAAATGATAACAGTGTCGCATTGGGCACGGGTGGGGGCCAACAATGCTAGACAGAGTCATGCTCAGATTGCAGAGACCAACCAAAAAGTCCCTTCTTTTATTTGTTTTCCTTCAATATCTAGACCTGGGTGCCTGACAGCAGACCGCGACCCTTCTCAAACATCACGTCATCGTTAGTCAACCCAATCAGGCTTTGAATTCTGACTTAGCGGCGCATCCGCCTGCCAGCTGACACGAAACATCGTGAAACTCGAGGCGGCCGCATCTGCTCGGTAACACCACAACAGATAAAACAGATGGGTTATCTCGGTTTTTTTCTACGTTCATTTTCGGCTACACGTCGTTGTCTGCTTTGCTCTCACTAGTTGCTACCGCGTCTCTTTTCTTGTCTGCAACTTTCGTCCGTGCTGTTTTGGGGTGCAAGTTGCAAGTCATCTTCATGATACACTTGGCTTCCAACGAGTGAATGAAGGTAGCTCTCGGATACGGGGAGTGCTAGAGGACGAAATAGGTCTGCCGATGTTTTCGGGCAGAGTTTCGGGGACAACCTCCGGGCTCCCTTACAATTTTATGCTGGGCGAGGTGCCTCAAAGAGGAGGGAAGCTCCAAAACAAGCCACCAACAACAGTGGTGTCATGACCGAATAAGTGCTGAAACTGTAGGTATTCTGTGCCTTAACTACCTGCCGACCCCCACCTGTCGACGCGGAGGGCACTGCCGACATCCCTCAGTTGTTGAACCAATTAGAAGCATTTGGTTAGCACAGGGCCGCTATACACAGTTCCAAGTAGGTCGATGCAGAAAGGGAAAAAAACACTCTTGAACCAGAGCGCTGCACCAATGCTCCGCTTACCCTTTCCCTCGAAAGCTCGTCTGCTTCACGGAGTGAACTGTTACCAGAGGGTGGAGAAAGCATGTGTGCAGTGTACGGAGGCAAGTTGTTTCCACAATGTTAGGCGCCGCTCTGATATTATAGCGTGTTTTTGAGCGTGACATGGCCTATGCAAGAACAGAATCGACTGGGCAGTAGTGTGCTGTCATTGGTTGCACAAATCACAAAATAAAAAACGTAAAATAAACGCCGATTCCATGTGCGAGACCCACACTGTAAACAGAATGAATGTGGGTGCGGCATGTTCATGCTGCACCGGCTACCCGCTGCTCCGGACCTACAACGCTGATGGCTGGCGAGTTTAAACAGGAAAGACTTCTTGCCATCGAAGAACAGTCGCGTGTGCTCCGACCATTTCCTGGACGGACAGCGATTTGCGGAGAATCCCGTGCCGTTCCTTCACCTGGATTACGACCGAAAGGTAAGCGGTGGGCGGCTTAGACATTGAAAAAAGAAAAGAGCTACGTGACTCCTGGTCCACTGATTTAATAACTCTATTTTTCTTCAGGTGGTAATTGGCAGGCGACACCTGGTGCAGAACGAAAATGCGCTGCCGAAATATAAGCGTCGGGTATGCGTAATTTGATCGCTTTTAGGGATTTCTGAAATTGTCAATTTACCAAATCAGAAAAAAAACAGGGATCCGTTGCAGTTGCTATCTGTAGTTGGCATTTATATATTGATTCATATTTAAATTCGAGGTTTCTACTATTTCAATTAAAGCAGACGTGGCAGCGCAGGTCTGAGCCCCTAACCGCGCACTTAGTTCAAATGTTCCTGGCACCCCCAAGCTGCAACAACTCGAGCTCAGCGCAAATTCACATGCCGCAATTCAAACCCTCCTTGCTTCGTTCAATCCTCAATTTCACTAGCGATCCTCAATTTCACTAGCAATGCCCAATATCGCTAGCGATCGAAACGCCGAGTTCGGTTTGGGAGCGACGACTGCCCCAGAACCGCGCTAAAAATTACCCAGAAAAAGATGCCAGGAAGGCAGGATGCACTTTTCCCCATGCCTGACATACCGATTAGGATAGTGCTTCCCTCTATGGACAAAGATAATGAGCCGAGGGCGCCGAATAAGGCAGCCGTGCCGGCAGAAGCAGCTGCGATTGGTGTGGCTCGGTGAGCAGGGTAACAGTTCAGTAAGGGCGGTCAGTCATTCAGACAGGTTCAGATTTTCCCAAATGCCCGGATGAGGGTAGATGGCGCTACACTCGTTAAAATGACGCCGCCCAGGAAGCCCAACTTTGAACAGTGTATAGGCAGGGATTTCAAGTTTTTCATTTCTAACTTTTTACTCAGGTAAGTTTGTTCAGTGAACCCTCAATGCACGTTTTTCGGTCACCTCTGTACAAAATTTTAGCTCTGCACACTCAGAAACCGATCTATTCCATGCCTTCAAAGAGTCATTGATCCCTTTGACTCACCCTGTAGTACAAGAAAATGGTGCTGCTGATTTGGCAAAGAGTGCTAGGGTAGCATGCGTGACGTAGCTTCTGCTGTTGCAAGTGGTCTTACGCAAACTCTCGTGAATTGTGGCATCAAAATGAAGAGAAAAAGAGTGGCACAAGTACCGGCAGGCTCAGGTAGGGAGGCGTGCCCATGGCTGCCTGAGGCATCCTCTGATACAAGTTCTCAGGGTCCCCCACCGAATACTTAATCTACGAAGAGGGGGAAACAATTGGACGCAGTGCACTGGTCAGTCGGGGGAAAGGACTCAACGCACGACATTACACCTGCACTACGAGTCCGGTAGACACTTGAATTTCTCTAAATTCTCATCTTTAACTGTTAACCCATCTAAGCATTTCCAAGACAACCCTCTGTGCCCCATTCAGACTACTACATTGACAATGAATGCAAGGCCCGTGGTACACCTACACAGCAAAACTCGCTAGTAAAATGCCAGGAGCTCGTCGCTTTTTAGGCGGGAATACCGCAATCACATTGAGCACTGTGCTTGCTGTGATACCAAAGTTTAGGTTAAACTTTAATGCCATTAAGATATGTACGCACATAGTATAAAACTGTTTGCTGGATTGAAAAGAGATGAAATGGTCTATTAGAGGCCCACCACAGTCCTATGCCCCCTCTGTTGGCAGTCACAGTAGCATTTGGAATAGAGAGTAGATCCCTATGCACCTAACTTGTAGTCACATGCTTAGCACTGCTACATCTCATAAATGTCAATTCTAGGAAACTAAGGCGTTTCTGCATTATTCCTACGCAATGCTTCGATGGGGAGGGGGCAGTTATCCGGTGCCTCAACCGACGAATTATGGTTGAGACAGCTCTCGATGCGTGTAAGCAGGCACTGCATTTGATTGTATGCCGCAGTCATGAACACAAAAGAACAGCTAGAAAGAACTCCGCGAATGGAAAGGTTATCCTCTTGTTGACCGATACATGTGCACGTGTGCATGCCCCCGCAAAAAATGCCAAGCATCGTACAAAAAAAAAAAAAAAAAAGAAGAACCGTGCACATTCGGGAAATTGCCAGGCACAGACAAGCACAGTGCTCAAAACAAAGGTGCATGGCACGCACCAGTGGTAGTGGGAATCACTCGTGCATAGAAACCACACACCAGGTAGGCTAGTCAAAGCACCTTTTGTAGCACAATATTTTCAAGAACTGTCTTTACTCAACACTGGTGGCAGAAGCTGCAGATGCGAATAACTGAAATGTATGAATTCTTGAACCATCTAGTTCGTAGCATTTTTATACACGTTCAAATATATGCTTGAAATGGTGTAAGTTAGCAATGTATAGCCGCTGACAGAATGAAAACAACAGGGTGTCTTTTTTCTATGTCCAGCCTCCAGCACGCACCATAGCCTTCAGCCCTACGAGGGGGCCTTGCTCGAGGCTTGCGGGATGCTGAAGTGCTGTCAAAAGTTGGAAGCCCGCGCTGGAAGCGGGACCACCGAAGGACCTCCCTGCCATTCTCACCCTGCCTGCGACTATGCGGAGAGCAAGTTGTCTACAACACCGCGATTCTATTGGCTTTGATTAAAAGGATAGAGGGTAGACATCAATGCAAGATGCCTTGAGGTCTACCCACTGTTTTTTGTTCAATCAGCCAATAAGAGCTCGATGTTCTAACATCGTCGCAACCCCTAGGCAAGAAGCAGATGAACTTGCACTTTGCACAGGAGCCATCATTGCAACAAGTGAGCACACTCCATCCAAAGAACATCCAAAAAACAAACATGCATAATCGTCTATTGGTACAAACATCTGTAATTACGGTCAGGCTATGCAATGGCATAAGCTCTCTGGTAGTCAACCTCTCACCTTGAACATTCGATGTAGCTTTAGGACAACATGACAGAAGATGAACCTCAGCATCAACAACCTTAGGAAGTCATCACCGTAGAATTGCAAGTAAGCGGGGTCTGCAACGAGAACATGCAGCACGTCACTTGGCAGGTCACGCAAATTTCGGATCAGGTTAGACGTCTGCCGAGTCACGAATGTACACAATATGGGGACTAGATAACAAAAAGGCTCGAGGTCCACCTAAGCACTTCTTGTAAGTTGTGAATGCGAATGCATGCGTGCCGGGTTTCGACTCCCGTGTTTTGTTTGCGGCATATTTGCATTGGCCGTGTGCGCGCTCTCCCAGCTCTCCTCGCAGCTCTGACCTTGGATACTTCGTGTCACAGGTGCGCTGTTGGCACGAACACGCAGCGCCATGGGGCGGCGGTTGTTTGAACTGACGCACGCAGCGGCCAATGTGAGCCTTGTCGACGCGTGCCAGTCAATGAAACTGAAGGCAAAATCCATCAGATTTACTCCGCTCCTTTGGGATCGGGGAACTAGGTGCCGTTGTCTAGGCTTTTTGCGTGGTTTCATAGCTGGGAGCTGGCTTCACTTGGAGAAAGAACCAAAGGCAGATCAAAAGGAATGTTACCTTCTTCTTCTTCTTCTTTTTTTATATTTAATATAAATCTTCTCATCAATGCCGCACATTTTTTTTCTTGCTTAATTGTTTAATGTGACACGAGCAAAAATAAAAAAAAAATATTATGATCAGATAAAGAGTGGCATCAGGTATTGGCTTTTAGCCAACCAGATGCCCCAAACTGGTTTTAGCCAAAACTTCAACATTCCTTTTGTTCGTATCGACTCCTGTCTGACTGTTAAGCGAGATTTTTATCTAGCAGATTTTCTTCCCTTGGTAAGCATCTTAAACACTTCTTCGCGAATCATAGTTTAATATTTGAAATAACTGCCTATGCATGCATGCGCAATGCGGATTGTTGCGTTTTACCTGCCCTATATTTTTTAAACCGCTTAAAAGAAGAGAAAGCGATCGATCGATTCACTGAAGACAGACCTACCAGGATCAAAACGTTTTGCATCTCCTCATCCCGTCGCTTCTGACACAGCTGTTGAGGGCAAACCTTTTTTAATATTTGTTACTCGTGAGTGCCTTCTTTTTATCCAGGTTTCGATTTATACACTATATATATATATATATACTTTTTTTTTTTTTTTTATGCGTCAAAATTGTTTTGGATTAAAGCGAGCTGTGTATATTCTGCGTATCTTTCATTTTGACTCTTGCACTGGGTCACAAACCTTTCTATTTTCTTGCAGTAAAAAAGAGGCCTCTTAGCACCTCTTCACTGAAAAGACAGAGCGCTGGGCCAACCCTCATCTTTTCAAATCCGTTTGGAAAAAGATGTACTTTGCTGATGTGAGGCCGTAACCTTCAACGTCACGTTTTCCAGGCCTTTCTAATGCAGTCAGCGTGCACAGGACCCTTTGGTGTGTCGAAGCTAGTGTCTAAGAACCAAGTTAGCAAGAACAAAAAGTTTGAAAAAACTTTGTCCCTGTAACACCGAATTAGAGCGCAGCTCTTGAGGAGCAGGAGGGAAGGGTACTGGGGGGGTGAAGTGACCTGGGGGGGGGGGGGGGGGTCACGTGACCTTGGGGGGTCACGTGACGATGCCGATGATGTTATCAGTGACGTCACTGATGACGTCATCAGTGACGATGACAATGTGCACTCCGATGGCGTCATCAGCGATGATGACGATGACGATGCGGATGTCGGTGACGTCATCAGTGACGTCACTGATGACGTCATCTGTGATGATGACGATGACGATGCGGATGCCCCCCGAAGTCACGTGACACCCCCAGGTCACGTGACCCCCGCCGAGGTCACGTGACCTCCCCGATGACGTCATCGTCACTGATGACGTCACCGGCATCCGCATCGTCATCGTCATCATCACTGATGAGGTCATCAGTGACGTCACTGATGACCTCACTGGCATCCGCATCGTCATCGTCATCATCACTGCTGACGTCACCAGTGACGTCACTGATGACGTCACCGGCATCCGCATCGTCATCGTAATCATCACTGATGACGTAATCAGTGACGCCACTGATGGCCTCACCGGCATCCGCGTCGTCATCGTCATCATCACTGCTGACGTCACCGGCATCCGCATCGTCATCATCACTGATGACGTCATCAGTGACGTCACTGATGACCTCACCGCCATCCGCATCGTCATCGTCATCATCACTGATGACGATGACGATGCGGATGCTGGTGACGTCATCAATGACGATGACGTCATCGGCGAGGTCACGTGACCTGGGGGTGTCACGTGACTTCGGGGGGGGGGGGGGGGGGGGGGGTCACGTGACTTCAGGGGGGTCACGTGACCTTGGGGGTCACGTGACCTTGGGATGACCTTGGGGGGCCACGTGACCTTGGGATGACCTTGGTTACGCCGACGCCGACGGCGACGCCGCTCAAGCCGGGAACGGGCCCCTAAGAGCTGTGCTCTAAAATGTAGAGCATGACTGTCATCAGCTGGGTGGGGGCAGTTGCACCTGATGCTTGTGGCAGAGCCTGCATTACATGAAGCAGTCTCCCCCTCTCACTCCTTTTAATGTTGCGGGACCATGCCTCACGCCGATCGAACTCGAGAGGGGCACGAAAAAGGGAACGGGGTTCTTTGCAGGACCGGTAGCCACTGTTGCACCCTGGCACAAAACACGTCCTGTCTTTCTTGGCTTGTGGTCCCTCCATCATTGCATGCATTGTCTACATGCCACTGAACAGCACTGATCGCGATCAAGTTCACTCAATCATAAAAAAAAACACTGCAGCAAAACAAAGCGACGACGTAAACCACGCGAACACGAACAGTACGACAACACTACAATCTGAGCGGAAAGGAGCACAGCTTTTACCTGCAGCACCCCCTGCCGTTCTTACGCGCCGTCATCACTGCGCCGACCTCCTCCCTCCGTTGCTTCTCGGCATGGACGACACACTGCCCAGTCTTAGTACACCATAACTACGTCTCACCCTACGATGGACTAGGGCCTGAAGGCTGGCGGGCCGAGCACTGCCTCAGAAAAGCTTGCATCCACATTGCGAAAGAGTGCGCGAGAGAAATTACGATACGCAGAGTACGAAGAGCACTAATCTAACGCATATGGTTTTCTGTTATGATAGTGTGCTATCTTATATTGGTGAAGTACGGGTATAGGGTATTTAGTTCCATAAACATTCTTGCCATATTTTGTAAACATGTCAACCGTTTGGAGAAGTTGAACGGCGTGCAGGCAATGCTGACACAAAGTCGTTTAGCCTTAGCCATAACAATCCAATCCAATCCAACTTTTGTGTACGTAAAACGTTCCCTGACTCACATCTCCCTTCCACACGCAGTCTGCACATACACGCTTCCGTGTCGAACACTCTACCCGACTCATCTTCACTTTTTAATGGCCACTGGTTCTGATACCGGGTCCTCCTCGCTCGATTGCTTCCAAACGGTATTTAATCCCTTCAATAGCCTTCAGCAGTGCCAAGCAGACGGAGCTGCCGCAAGGGCTCGACAAGCAGACGAAAAACTCACCCCCGCATGATTAGCCTTGGCGCACTGATACGTTTGAGGCAGCAATATACCACGTGGTTTCTAACACGCTCGTGATTGGACCCGGCGGCCTGTAGCATTGGGCTTTAGTCCATCGTGGGATGAGACGGATTATACTGAAAACTGCAAAAATCGCAAGACCTACCTTCTGCCCTTTCAATGTTCAAAACTCATGAACAAAAACATTTTCGTAGTTCAAATTTGGAGTTTTGTTCTAGTCACACATTTTCCACCAACATATATTTTTTCCTGAATTTTTTGAGGACCCATCATTTTTTCTTGTACGATTTGAGATGAAATCACCAACAAATACTTCACTACCTTCCATGCCCATTCCGTAACATCTATTTCTGTTAACCTTTGTTCAACTTTCAACTGACTACCGTAATATCCCGAGTCATCGCCCATCCCCGAGCCATCGCCCACCCCAATTTTTGGGCCAATATCGATTTCCGAAAACACACCGAGTCATCGCCCACCCCTTCAAATAACCCAGCGCGGACTCTGCGATCCGCGAACACTCATCCTATCCGAATGACGCGGCCGCGGACCTTACAGTTGGAGGACGTCCGTGACAAAATAAACCGAAGGAGGGAAAGACACTTCTTTTTGTTTACGCATTTCCTCCGTGAGCGACCCCAAAGTGGTCGTGTATCCGTGCGAAACGAAAACGATGGAGATAACAAAATAAGAGTTTGTTAACGTAACCGCGGAGTGTTAGGTCAAAGTCTGTCTTCGCCGAAGTAAGGTCACTGCGAACCCGCTCCTTCTTCCCGCGCGTCGCGACCGCGGTTGTGCAATATTTTAGGCAAAGCCAAAGCGTAAATAAAGCTTTGCTGGAACGTCATACACAGACGTTTGCAGAGCGTCCCAACCGTGCATTGATAGCCCGCCGTGCACGGACGCACGTATGTACGCACCAAACAAGAAAGTTGCGCAAGAGTTTGTAATTGACAAGGCGCCCGACTTGGCCCGACGCCAAAGTATTTGCCAACGCGACTGCCGGCTTTCACGCTTTCCCAGCATTGCTCTTAGTCGCTTCTTTGGTCCGCTCGCTCGCTCGCTCGTTGCGCCTGGTTGGTTTTTCTATTTTCTTGTAGACTTTTCTTTCTTTTTTTTACTAACTGGGAGAACATAATGGTGACCTTCTTTCACGGAACAAACGTTCGTGCTATATGCAGATCGGCGGTGTTTCTAGCGCGTTTGCAAGCAACGGACTTCGCTATAGTAAAATATTTTTTCGTGAGCATTTTTTTCTATAAAACAATGAAACTAAATCGAGTTTTGAGTTTGATGTATCTCTTGTGCATCAGCGCTATATACGCAGAGAAAAATAGGCGGTTTTTTCCGCTTTTTTTCAAGTGTTTGTGCACACCCACCGAGACATGGCCCACCCCACTTTTTTAACGAATTTCAGGCGGTTGGGGGGTGGGCGATGACTCGGGATATTACGGTAATTGCCTCCCTGCTCTCAAAAGACGACCAGCTTATGGGACATCCCAAGCTAATGACGTCGGTTCGCTCCATGGAATCCCAGTTAATGCTTTCACATTAAAAACCAGAGATCCGGTGACGAACAGACAGAGCCAAAATGAGCCACAATCCCAGTCTCGTTGAAAGCAGCTTCGGCCATGCTTTTCACGAGACTATCAAATCAAATTGCGGCCAGCGGGAAGGTGGAAAGGAGGGGGTGTGCTTGCCTATGCTGCGGGAGCGTATGAGCACGCGACTGGCCTCGGCCATGAAGCGGTTCAGGTGTCCCTGGGCCTTGTCCCAGAGGGACACCGGCACGTCCACCACGTGGCACACGAAGCACAGCGCTGTCAGCGGGCTGTGCAGGAACAGCGTCAGCAGGTTGCCCTTGTGCTGCTGGTCTGGAAACACAAGGCGTTCCGGGCACGGTTACCGTGTGGACAGGTCCTCAGCCGCGGCAGCCAAACTTTCTGTCTGCGACGAGTGGTGGGCACCTTCGGCAACCGATCGGAACGGAACATTAAAGAAACTTAGGGACGGAAAACGGGGAAGTCTCACGGAGAGTCTCAAATCTTCACTACAAGAGTAACATTGGGCTCAACTGGTCAGAGTGCATAATAGTATAAAAAAAAGAACAAAGCTCTGACAAAAAAAACGTCTGTGCCAGGTAAAAAGGATATCAAACTATGAAGCTACAGCAATCCTTAAATATTATTGCTCGTTCCTTTCAGAAGTTAAACCACTCGCTTCGAGACATCCATACTGACACCTTTTAATCTGGGTACCAAAAAATTTCACTCTTATTCTTTTTCGTATCGAGCCTTTGCTTTAAAGGCGTATACATCTTTGTCACATGTTACAAATATGATGCCGAATTTTTCCAACAATACACACAAGTTCAGAACCCACATTTTGAAATGTCTCGAAATGCCGCACGAATAGCAATTACTAACTCATAACCCCAGCACAATCCTCCCCTTACCCCGCAAAAAAATCACAACTAGGTGTATACACATTATTCGAGCCTAGTCAGCAGAACCTCCTACTTGCCTGAAGATTGCATGCCTACACTACTGCCACTTCTACTATAGTCACTTGAAACGTAAGAAACGTGAGAAAAACTCCTCCCATAAGGCCTTCAACTCTTTCCCCGTTAGCAGAGTGAATGCTGGTGAGGAGGCGAGTGTAGTGGGAAGAAACAACCAATCACAGTGAGCAGACAACTTTGTTGGGGGGAGAGAGGCCCAACTGCTCGGACATGTGCTAGAGGCGCGTTCGGCGACGCGACTTGCGGCGGCTGCGGCGCGTTTTTACCGTGAAAGGCGGGTGGCACATCCTCGGGCGACATGAGTGCCACCAGGGGCTGCCCGAAGAACCGGGGCATGTGCTGGAACACGTGGCTGTTGTCGCTGTCCATGATGAGGAACAGGGGCTTGCGCGTGTACGGGTACAGGTCGCCCGGGTACAGGCTGCAGCCCCCCGAGGGGATGTTGCGGGCGGAGAGAGAGAAAGGAGAGGAGGGAGAAGAGGTTCGGGTTAAAAGGTTCCCGCGACAGATGGACGAGAGAAAGCGACCACGAGCAAGCAAGCGAATCTGATCGTGCCACAGTCATCGGTCATGGGGACAAGGAAAATAAATTTGTTTACGCTTCGTGCATTCTTTTTATTTTTGCTTGTATACTTTTAACATGGTGACAGTGTGCATTTGTATGTGCTTTTGGTACTCCTTGACTGTTTGTGTTTCTTAAGGATCTACTATTAAAGGTGGACTTGTTTTGTGATCTTTTACGGGCCTTGCTGTCCTTTTCTTCTTTTTGTCCTTCCGACTTGGACCATCTTACTGCTCTGCGGTATGCGAGTAAATTACAATTTATTTTTGCTAAATGCCTCGCCTAGCTGTTTGCTTCAAGAAGATTTAATACATCATCTAATTTTTCTCTCGGGAATTTCCAGATAAATACCTCTTACAAATTATGGGACACAAAAGACTAGTGGAAAGCCTTTGCTACGCGTAACAACCAAAATTAAACTTTGAAATGTGTCTCTAACCACAGGATTGGATGGCTAAAACCCGGACAGAGCTGAGGCGATGTTGGCAAGCGCTCCTGAACTCCAGATAAGATGAATTGTGATTAAACATTAGTGAAGTAGGGCTGCCCTTATTGGGCGACAGCCAACTGAAAGTGTGTGAATTTCATACTTGATGAACTGTCCATTCTATACTGCAGCAACGTCATTAGTGGGGTCCAGACCTTGTTACAAAAACTGTTAGTAGCCATGCTGATACTACCTGGTTAGTAGCCATGCTGATACTACTTTTGCGTCATCGTAGCACGAGAGGTACCACTCAGAATGAGAGTACCCGGATAGGAGAAGAAAGTCAACTATGAAGCTGTTAATGCTGCTGGTATAGTAGTGTGATTAGTCCTCGCAGAGGAGACAACGTCTGCTAATGGCAAGATGGACGGCTCTACTCCCGGAACTATGCCTCACCAGTGCAGGTCTTTCAGCTGAATGTTGCGCTTGTTGGAATGATCCGGCTCCCGCTTGCTGTTGGTGGTCACTCCGCCGTAGTCGTATCCCACTGAAAGTTCGACAGAAGAACGACCCGATTGGAGCGGTCTTTTAGCAAGAACAGGGGCCGAAATGCCCTTTGTGTGTCGAAATTTATGAGTGTTTCAATGTTCAGACACGTAAGAAAAGTTTGTGAAACCTTCGTGCTTTCGCTCCTTCTGAAATGCAAACGGCACAGAGCATATTTTTTTCAGTACACGACGCGCCGCCTGGAGGGCTCCTGGTCGTGAAGGTAGCGATACAAGTGAAGATTGGGGGGATCGGTGGCCGAGTGGTCTAGCGCACACCAGCTCGGAGCACGTGGAGCGAAAGCTCGCGCTGCACAACCCAGGGATCCTGGGTTCGAGTCCCACCCCTGCCCGTTTCGATCTGGATGAGCATCGCACCGGCGTGCGGTCGTGTATCACTACTGCGTGATGCACGTTAAAAACCCCAGGCTAGCGGATGTACCGCACTGGCTAAATTTCTCATCTACAGCTGGGAGACTCGTCGCCCCTGTGAGGCAGACCAAGTTCTAGGCTGTATAAACACACACACAACCCAATTTTTTTTCAAGTGAAGATTCTGTTTCGTCTGCCATAGTCTCAAACGCAAGGTGTGGAGAGTTCCAAGCATCTTATTATCGCTCCAGAGTAAATAAGATTGTGGCATAAGCTGATGAGAGCGCTGAACAATGACTGCCAGACGCAATTTAGGTGGAGTTAGCCCTGCTCAAGGCCTTGCCTCTTAGCGAAAGGAGCGTAGCTAGCTACGCTCCGTTTCTCGGCTCTTGTTGGATGGAGAGTTGACTAACGTGTGGAATGTTTGTTGCAAAATTGGTTCTCCCTGGCAGGGTAGCTTTTAATTTGACATATTTTTATGTTTGAGAAACAAAGGATATAGATAGAGCCACTACTGTTAAATATCAAGACATTGCCTTTTCCGTTTCGGCTTCAAATGATGACGAATTTGGCTGCAGGCGTCTGCGGCGAGAAGTTTCTTACGCCGCGTGACTCGACGAGTTTGTCTATTTTTATGAGTACGGGTTGTTTTACGTTCACCGAGACGTTTGGAGGAAGATCTCGACCGCGTCGTTTGCAGCAAACAACTGTCGCAAGCACACACCTTCGGAAGCGCTGTGCGGGTGCTTGTTTTCGTAGAGAGACCGGTGTAAGCTTATCGTCTTATGTCAACTGTCTTGCATCATCTGGCTTGATTTGTTCGTTTACGCATTTTGATGCTGAGTAAATGTGTCGGTTCCCGTAAGAATGGCCCACTACACCGAGAAATGCGTAACCACCGTGACTGCAAAGACGGTTTCAGAACTCAGGGGTAACCTACACAGGTAAGAATTTGAGAGCCATTTGACTGGAAGCAATCGGGTGTTTGCCTTGCATCAGGTTTTTCCAGGTATATTTCCATCATTTAACTTCGGAAGGTCCGCGGCTCTCAAGTTTTGAGCAGTGTCCCTGGCCTCTCCAGGCAAATATTTTTAACAGCAAAGCTGTTATGCGTCAGAATCTGGGAAAAAATATGTTCGCAAATGTTGACAGAAAGCTCTCCATTGGTTGCGGCAAGTATGAATAAATAAAAATAAAACTTTCAGCCTTTCCACTGTGATGAAGAAGGGAGACCAGCAAAGCTGTATTAAGGTAGGACGACATCAAGGATGACTTCCTGGACGACCTCAAGAACGACGCACAGAGGACAACGTCTAAAACGACTTCTAGGACGACCTTGAGGACAATGTCTAAATGACGACGCCTAGCACGACCTCAGGGACGACGTCTAGGACGACCTCAGGGACGAAGCCTCGAACGACCTCAGAGACGATGTCTGGGACAACCTCAAGGAATACGTATAGGACTACCTCAAGAATGACTTCTAGCACGACCTCGAGGACGACCTCGAGGACGACGTTTAGGGTGACCTTGAGGACGACGCCTATACAAATTCAGCCTTTCCACTCTGGAGAAAACTAGAGTGGAAAGGCTGGAAAGGTTGCCATCGCTCATAGATGGCGGTAGCTGTCCAGAGTTTTGTGTCGACATTTATTTGGTGACGGACACGAAGCTGGGAAAACTAGCCCTTAACAGCTCCACTGTAAAAAGAGGGGGCAACCAGTGTGAATCAGCCTTCCTTGGCATTATTAATAGTGAGGTCCTGGTCCCTTGTTAACTCTAGGCATCGTCCTTGAGGTCATCCTAGAAGTCGTCCTTAAGGTCGTCCGAGAGGTCATCGTCGATGTCATCCTCCAGGCGTCGTCTTAGAGGTCATCCTAGAAGTCGTCTTTGAGGTCGTCCTAGACGTCGTCCTAGACGTCGTCCTAGACGTCGTCCACGAGGTCGTCCCAGAAGTCATCCTCGAGGTCTTTTTAGAAGTCATTCTTGATGTTGTCTGAGAGGTCGTCCTCTAGGCGTCGTCCTAGGCGTCATTCTCAAGGTCGTCCTAGAAGTTGTCCTCGAGGTCATCCTTGAGGTTGTCCTAGATGTCGTCCTCTAGGCATCGTCCTCAAGGTCATCCCAGAAAACGTCCTTGAGGGCGTCCTGGACGTCATCCTCTAGGCATCGTCCTAGACGTAAAAACAACAGCTTCGCTGGTCCTCCATCTTCACGTAAAGTGGATGGGCTCTACTATTTTTTTAGGTTACATTTTAATTGTGCGTTATGATGCACACCCACCTTGCTCGCGGATGCTATGCAAGAAAACAACAATGGAAAAGCTGAAAGGACTGCATATTTATTTTGTTGATTTTTTTTAGTCCTCCCGGTCGCTTTTTACTGTACACCGATAGACGCTGACACACGCTTGTACTGGACCATGGCTCGTGCACGATGGAATGCTACAATGCTGCTTTCATGGTCGCGTCTTGCGAGCATTGCACATGGTTTTAGACGGGGGTGGAATAGCAGATGGACGCAAGCGATGGCGGATGTTGACACCCATTTTATGGCTGTGTTTTATGAGCGTTACAGGTGATAGTAGTGTGTGTTCTAATAGCAGACGACGCCATACGCTGCCGCATGTCTGCTTGTACAACTAGCAGACAGTATCAGACAACAGACAAGACGCACTAGATGTCGCGGCCTAGGGCGGGTGGTGACCTCCCACCTAAAGTGCGTCTAGCGGCATAAATATTGCACTAAAAGATTCCTTTTTTCGCCGCTAATCTTTTTTGTAAAATATGTGTCCCATCTAAACCACTCTAAAAAAAATTTTGTTTTTAATTTTAGGGGTTTTTAAGTTGTCAGTGACCTATACCAATATACTTCACCATGAAAAGGGGAAGTATGTCAGTCCCACTAAACTTGTAGTATGACTCATGAAACAAAGCAACCCTTGTGACCTGTGCTTTGTTTCACGATACAAATGCTGTTTCATCTACTACCGACATATTTCACTGCGGAAAGGTGAATTACTACGTTGGTCCCAAGGAGGTCCCTTTCGGGGGAGGATTATTGAGGGTCGCTCACCGTCCTCGGGCTGCTTGGCGTTTGGAAAACTCCCGTCAGCCGACACGTATAGCAGCAGCACCCCGTTGGGAGGCAGCTCCTTGAAGCCCGAGGCCAGGAAGACGAAGAGCTGGCTGAAGCTGGGCTTGTACAGCAGGTACTTGTGCGGGTTCTCACGCTTGCCCGGGCGCCCGTCCCCAGTGCCCCCATTCTCCGGCTGCGAGGTAGTCATGGATGTCTCCTGAGTATGCAAGTACAGACATACTACTTGTCCTAACCGAGGGGCGTCCTGACGGAAGACAAGGGGTACTCCGGCAGTTCTTTGAGCTTTGTGAAATCGGCAAAGAAAAGTGATGCCAAAACCAACAGCTAAATACGCCCGCACTTTTCAGTCTTTCAAGGTCACTACCGGGCAGGCTTTTAGGTTGAGCAAGCAGTCCAGAAAACAGAGTGTGTAGCACATTTGTTTCGTGCTGCTATGCAAGGGCTGAAGCGAGCTTCTAAAGCATTCAGCTGACACCATCAAACTTCTCATCGACTACTTCTCCAGGTTCTTTCAGCACTCCACAAGATGACGTCAAAAGACATCATCAAAGCACTTAGTGAAATATTCGCACGAATTAGAATCCCGGAGGTCATTCGTTCTGACGGTGGACCCCAGTTTGCATCAAGTGAATTCAAGTGCTTTACACACAAGTGGGGAGCATGACACGTAACGTCAAGTCCCTACAACCCCCAAAGTAACGGCGAGGCAGCAAGAGCCATCCAAACTGCAAAAAACCTGCTTAGGAAGTCCGAGGACCCTGCACAGGCTTTTCTGGCTCACAGGACTACGCCAGGGAAGGAGGGCTTTTCGTCAGCGGAACAGTTGATGGGACGATGACTGAAGTCTACAGTTCACTTATCACTGCAGCTTCTGATGCCCAACAGGAAGTACACTGCTCGCTACAGGCAGCGTCACAACGTAGTGAAAGCCAAAGAGGCAAGCCACTACTACAAGCGTCACAGAAAAAGAGAGAGCTGGGCTGTCACCTAGATCGGCAGTCTGGATGTATTCGGGCACCGCACACCAAGGAGTGGTGCTACAGCAACTTGCAAACCATGATCATACCTGGTGCAGAGCATGGCGCATTACGTCGCACTACCAGACATCTGCAGACTGCGACAGAAAACACGACAACCAGCGTGGTCGCAGACAAGGGATCACCAGCTTTAACTGGCAGCAATAACGGCCTGGTTACCAGAAGCGGAAGGATTTCTAGAGCACCCACACGATATAGACAATAGGTCTTAGAAGAGATGGTGTTGTGTACAGTGACTGAAAGAAGAGAGTGAAGGGAGTCACGTGAGAGAGGAGGGCTCGGGCGGCAGATGCCATATTAAAAGGGCACAGAACAAACATTTGTCTCTATCTCGTCTCTTACGTTCTTGGAGGTTTGCACACGGTATGCGTCATAGTGTCGTGTCCAATGACTGAAAGAAAACAGCAAAGTGAGTCACGTGAGAGAGGAGGGTTCGGGCGGCAGATGCTATATTAAAAGGGCAAGGAACAAACGTTCATCTCGATCTCGTTTCTTACATTCGTTCTTGGAGGTTCGCACACAGTACGCAACATGGTGGCAGCGGTGGGATGATCTACCACGAAACCTCGAGGACGCCAGGAGTCAGTTTCCGATGGCACAAAACCAGTAAGGGCCTTCTCAAGCAGGAGATGCCGCGGCATAAGCGGGCGAGGTTCCGTTCTTCGATGGCGTGGCACAAGCGGGCGGGGTTTCGTTATTCAACCTTTTTGCCGTTGAAACTACGGAGAAGCTCGACTTCAGAGACATAGACCAGAGGAGGTGGATCATATGATGGGAACACTATCGCATCATCACTGGGCTCCACTTACGAGACCAAATGACCCAGGTCAACACATTTCTCTATGCTATGGGACGAGAGGCCGAGGATGTTCAATTTTCACTGAAGCTGTCAGCAGACAACTAAACGCCTATGATACAATGAAAGAAAAGTTTGAAGCCCACTTCATTCCTCATACGAACATCATATTTGAGCGGGCAAAGTTTAACATGAGGAAATGAGAAACGCATGAGACAGCGGAAGCATTCATAACAGACTTGCACAGGATGGCAGACACCTGCGACTACGGTGACCTCAGGGAAGACCTGATCAGAGATCGGCTGGTCGTAGGCCTCCTAGACAAGTTGAGTGAAAAGCTTCAACTGGACGCAAAACTAACTCTACAAAGGGTAATTGTGGTGGTTCGTAACTCCAAAACAGTTAAGCATCAACAACACGAACTGCGCGGTCACGAGGCAGCGCGTGCCGATGTTGACGAAGTTCATAAGCGAGGAGGCCGTTATTGTCCACCACACTGCAAACATTCAAAGCTACCTACAGCGTCAGAAACATTGTGGTCCTGCAGAAGGTATGGCGGCGCTCTGAGACATAGTAAGGCGCAATGCCCAGCAACGGGGAAGAAATGCAATGAATGCAAGAAAACTGGCCATTTTCAAGCGGTGAGCATGGCCACAGACCATCCAACACAAGCACGCCCAAGCAACAACGGGAGGCAAAGAAACTCTGCTGTGGAGGAGCTATTCATGGGAAAGGTGCTACACTCAACAGACGGACAACCATGGATGGTAAGAGCCAGAATTGGACAAAAGACGCTGACATTCAACGTCGACACCGGTGCAGATGTCATGGTCGTTCCAGCCACGGAATACGATGACCGTGCCATAGGTACCCTGACGGTTGCCAACAACAAGTTTCTCGTGGTAGGAAGATCACACCTCCCCACCCTTGGACAGTTCATCTCGACAATCCAGTGAAACAAGACGACGACCCAACAGAAAATCTTTGTTGCTGAAGGTCTCCACAATGCGTTACTGGGACGTCCAGCAATTTAAGCCTTTAACTGGCTTCCGGCACTGCATGAGGTCAGCGCTGCCAGCAGCCAGTGTCTGAGGGAATCCAAGTCGCTTCTGGAAAATCGTCTGGGAAGAATATAGACGACGTACAAGATCGCACTTCATCCTGATGCCAAGCTCTTTGCAATCACATATTCTTTTCGTGTGTCTGTTCCAATCCTTCTAAAAGTTCTTCAGGAGATACAGCGAATGCTGGATTTGGGAGTGATCCAATAGGTAGAGCACGCAACAGAGTGGTGTGCACCAATGGTAGTTGCAAAGAAAAAAGATGCCATATTAAAAGGGCGAGGACCAAGCGTTCGTCTCGAACTTGTCTGTTACATCCTCAAGGCCCGTTCACACTCTTGCGACCGAGTACGACTGAGAGGGACGAGATCTCGTACAACTTCTTCAATGTTTCTAGAATGAGGGAACACACTGACATTGTGGCGCCCTCTATGCGGTGACCCTAGAACTGCATTTCACAAAAGCGAAGGTTTTGCGGGATTTCCGAGGTCAAATGTGCGTAATACCCATAGAAAGGCTCGTTTATAACATTGACAAAAGTTTTTCGAGCCAAAAAAGAAAGGATATTGCGCGAGAAATAAAAAAAAATATGCCGGACCGCCGAGTTTACACTGCTTCCCAATAGATGGCGCCAGTGTGTTCTCTGGTTTAAGAAGTTTTAAGGAACCCAGGTTTAAGGGGTCGCAAGCAGTCGCAAGAGTGTGAACGGGCCTTTAGAGGCTCGCACACGGTATGCAACAGCCATTAGGTGGGAACACATTGTAGAGCCCAAAGAGTGAACTCCTGCTTGCCGCTGGCCTTACTTTTTCATACCTGCCAGTAAACATTCACTTTAAAGAAGAAAAAAAGAGAGACCGAAATAAAACAATTCAATGAGTCTGGGGGAAAAAGAACAGCTCTTTTAGTCAAATATCTGGGTTATTAGTTAAGCTATGTGTGTTGGTGTGCTGAGCCAAGAATGAGGCAAATCGAAGAGTATGAAAAAAAAAGCTGGAGTACCCCTTTAAAAAAACATCAAACCTACAAAAAATATATATTTTTTTTCTACCTGGCATGTTTTAAAATAAATGTTTTTTGAGAACAACATTTCTTTTTGCCCAATATTTATGGCATAATATGAATTTTCCGATTTGCAGGCAAAACAAAAATTGTACTCCTGTGGGATGATGATGATAGCATTTGTACCCAACTAGTGTGCGTTCGGAGGTCAGAGAACTCTGGGTGCACACTAGCTGGGTACAAACGCGATCATCATCCCGCAGGAGTAAAATTTCGCTTTCGCCCGCAAATCTATAAAAATTGTATTTTAGGATAAATTTAGGGTAAAAAAAAAATTTGTTTTTTCGACAAACATTTATTTTGAGACATGCCTGTCTTATCTAGGTAGAAAAAAAAAATTTATTTCTAAGGTTTAGTGTCTTTTTAAATGTTTGTTCACAATAGTTTCTTTTGTCTATGACTGGATGTCCATTCCCGAGAAAGGCGCAACAAGAGGTGCGTTGGTCAGAAAGTGTCGCCTATCCCAAACTGTTGTGGACACGCATATAAATTTCCTTCGCGATATATTGTTGTATTTCACAGCCACCTGCATGTTCTAACAATGCTCCGACACTTTGCTCATTTTGATAGCAGACTCGGATGGCTGACACGAAACCCCTTGCCAGACTTCACAAGTGCCTTTAGCTTAGACGAAGAGAGGGTCGCCGAATGTTTCCGGAGTACCACACTTCAAAGCATTTGCTCGGACCGGGGAATTAGAGCCAGTGAGTTACAGCCAGCTCTCGTAAGATGAGAGGCTACGGCTTTTTATATAGAGTAGCCCGCAATCTAGTTTGCGGCAGAAGAATGCCAGTCCGTTTGCCCACCGGTGAGCAGGCTCCGCCCCTTGCCAGTTTGCCCTGCCGGCCCCGATTTGAATGCACAAAGCTACCATTTTGAAGCCATTAATCGCTATGCTGTGACGCCACAGTGCCAAGAACGCGTTTCCAACTGGTGTTTTCAGCATCTTGTTCCGCTTGTGCATCGAAAGTGTTCCCGAAGTGGCAACAAATGATGTCACAAAAGCCAAAGCGCTATATGCCTCTTTTTTTTTTTTTACCATTTTGTTAAAACACCCGAGACTGGGTGAGAAAATCCCGAAACAACCAAAGTAAAAAAAAAGGTAAGGTGCCCAAGTTTCATTTAGGTATAAAGCTGTCAAGATTGGATGCCTTATCAATGTTATCATTGGTTCAGACAGTTGCGAAAGTGGTTGGTCAGGATGATGAGGCAGCACTCGTGCATCAAGCGGTAGGTCAAGTGGAAAGAATAATGGGCAGGGAGTACCCAACAGAAAGAAAGAACTTGAGAGAAGTGAGAGCGGTAAAAAACCAAGTTTGGAAGGAAAATTATTAGCGTCAGTACAAACTGACAACGTAGAAAAGTTTGCAATCTTACCAATGTCCAGTTTACCAAAGGAAGTCGAAGGAAGCGTCGGATAACCTTTTTTTTGTGAATAGACCGGAAACGTCAGAAAATTCAGGAAAGAGGTTTGTGGGATTCTTGAGGAGGAAGGATTTGAGGGTGAGACAAAGAGCGTAATAAGTTCAAACCAGTCAACTCTGAGCTTGAAGTTTTTTCTAAAAGCTTCCTTCTTGCATGGTTGTTAATGAAAATGGAACAAGGCAGAAGGCAGTGTCCATGTTTCTGCAACAAGGGTTGGGGTATGTTCAGCTAGAAAACTCTCTGTTGCTAAGAAGCACAAACAAATTAATCAGTATATTGAAAACTCATTGTGGCAGGAAGTGTTCAGCTTTTTCTATGGATATAAAGGACTTGTACTATTTCTTGGAAAAGAATAGACTAATGAAGAGAGGGAACCTTGCCCCATTTCAAAGACAAAGGAAGTGGGGCCAGAAAGCCCATAGAGAGAAATCGGTGCCTTGTGAGGAAAGAATAGTGTATGAGATACCTTTAGTGTGTAGGTTTAAGAATGTGGGGCAAACTTACAGCTGGTTGACTAACTGAGCATAAAAGGAACACAAAAAAATCAAAGCGGCCAATCCTGAAACAGAAACTCATGCGCAGGAATGTGATAACTAAACGGCACAGCGGTCAGAGACAGAAGTAGTACACAAAGAGGTTAATGATGGCAAACGAGTTATAAGAGAAACCATTAGAATTAAGTCAATAGGCAACTGTATAAGTTAGGCATGCATATACCTTGCTGACAGTACCAAGGTATTCCTGCATTTGTAATTCTTCTAATTCTTGCCTTGTGTTGTTTCTTTTTTTTTTTTGTTTAGTGTACCAGCACAAGACTTTTGTGGAAATTAGGTTTCCGTGTAAAAGTGACAAATTGCATGGAGGGTAAGGCCTCCAGAACGGGCTGGTTGGAGGTTCTCACAAGTGTGAGCTCTGTTTGAACCCAGCAAGGACATGGTGTGTCATAAATGTATACAATAGTGACTGCAAAGTTAAAAAAAAAAAAAAAAATATAGAAAAAAAAATATTTACTTTTTGGTTGGTGACGATTGTGGTTTTAGGGTGCATATACCATAAAATACCGGGCAAGTGCCCAGTCAAAATTCATAAACAATTGCGAAAAAATAGGGGACGGGCACTTGTCCGGTCATCAATTTTACAGACCAATGTACTGTGCATATTTTCTTAGATCTTACAAATTTGGGTGTGGGCGCCTAGTGTGTAATGGGCAGATACGCGGTATTCTACGGTAAGAGGTTTACTAAATAAACGTATTAGCCGAGTTTGAGACATTGTCTGACTGACTTCTTTCCCTTTCTCTTCTGCTTTGGTTGTTTCGAGATTTTCTCACCCAGTCTCAGGTGTTCTAACAAAATGGTAAACTTGCAACAACTCGCCTGTCTGCAAACTGTCAAGCTGAAGAGGAACTTGTGGCAGAACGGCTGTTACATACGCCAGCGCCGCCGCGACGGCACCAGGATCGCGACAGGCGACAGCAAGACGCTTCTACGACTTCGTCAAGTAAAATTCGAGAGACCACTTTTTTGGATGCAGTAAATACATTAGCCGGAGACGCCTTCCAATATTCACCATGGCAACATGACTCCGAAACAAAACTTGGGAGTTTCGGTCTTCCGGGGAACACTCGGTGGCTCTTATTGAGCCCAACTAAATTTTAAAACATTAAAAAAAAAATTAAAAAAAAATTTAGTACACGAGGAACCAACCACCCAAGACTGCAACAATTCAGCGGAGTGGATAGGCGGATGGCATCAGCAGAGAGGGGTTCTAGCGAGGTGGCACGTACGAAGGGCACCCTCCCCGGAGCGGGGGAAGCGTCGTACAGCTGGGTGGCGTCCTCCTGGGGTTCCCGCTCCAGGGTTTGCAGCATCCGGAACATGTCCAGCGTCAGCTCGCTGAACTTCACCTGGGCAGTGCCACCACCCGTCTGGGGGTCAGCGGGGGTGGCGGCACCGGGGGAGGGAGGGAGGGAGAGGGGGGAAGGGGGTAGAGAAACCTCGCATTACCCCGGGGAAACTCCTCCTCTCTTGTCTCTCTCTCTCTTTCTCTATCCTGCTAACATTTTTCTCTCTCTCATACAGAAATAGAGAGAGGAATGGTAGCAGCAGATAGTACATGGCAACGTTGCAAAATTTGCCCCTTTCCCACGTAGCGCTGTCGCAAGGCGTGGAGGTAGGAAGCTTCTGGAGGCGACATGACGCCACAAGAGATGAAGCCTAAAAGAGACTTTTGATTTGGAGGGACACGCCCCCAACGATGACCTCAATCGAACAAAACCAAAAGACGCTATTGGACGGAATGGACAGTCCATTTGGTGCCAACAGCTTTTTCGGTCACTCCTGGGGGCGTTCACACCAACCGTTACCTCTACTTCTAGCTTCACTTGGGATCTTCTCGTTTGGCTGGCTTGAGCCGGTATGTTGCCCCCTCTTCTTCCTACCTCCATGTTGCAAGGGCAGAGGTAACACAGAATGTGTTGTGCGTTGCTTCACGGTGATGTTGCACGGAAAAATTTGGTGCCCATTGTGTGCCTTGACGGCGCGAGTCTGGTCGTGCGTGACGTCTCTGATTGAGAGCCCTGCCAAAGCTGGCACTCCGATGGAAGTGGAAAGCGAAGTATGTGTCTCTCGCAGTTGCGCACCCCAGCTTCGACCCTACTTCATGTTTCCACGTGTTTTCTATGTCGCCTACTGGGGGACAGCGTGGGACACACATGGGACGAGTGTGCTGTGTCTGCAGTGTTTGGCAGGAACTTGCGTTCCATCAGTATGAGCACAAGTGCCAGCCAAAAGCTCTTGCAGCACTCGCGTCCAATCAACTTTTGTGCGACGCTTCTCCTTTACAGGTAGTGTGTTACGGAAAACTGCTAGGAGCCAGCCATATAACCCATTCCAAGCTAAAAGGAATCACATAAAATATGGCACCTTACAAAGTGCCACAGAACGACAACCGGAAGACGTTAACGAAAGTAATTGAGTGGCACGTGTGTTCGGACAGCCAGAAGTTGTAACCGGCCCCGATGGGCGGCCGTCGTCTCTGCTTTGAACGATAAATTTAGCCTACGCGGTACGACTGCTAGCCTTTGGGTCTTTGACGTGCATCGCGTGGTAGTGATACACGACTGCACGCCAGTGTGATGCTCGTTCGGATCAAAGTGGGCAAAGTTAGGGATTGATCCCGGGATCCCTGGGCTCTGCGGCGCGAGTTTTCGCTCCACACACTCCAAGCTGTGGTGCGTTAACAGACCAGGCAACCGGTTCCCCTGAGATGTTAAGCCGTACGTGTGCAATTAAAACCCTAATACAAGTTTAAAAAAAAACAAGTAAAAGTGCCAATACACACACACAAAAAAAAAAACTCAATTTTTATTTGCACGAAATCTCTGTCAGAAAAGTTGACAAAGTGTGCTAACAACTACAATGCAGCGGCGACAAATTATTATTTGTGTCACTGGCCATCAGGACCCGAACAAGATATATGAAGGTGCTATCGGAGAAGGTTGTAATGCTACGAGCAGAAAGAGAAGACAGAACGAAACAGGACAGGGAGTTAAGCTTTAAACGCGAAAGGACAGAGACGAAAGACAGGAGAACAAATGATACGGCACTACGCCTTATTGGCTGTGTTCCATATTTTCCCCAAATGAATCCGAGTTACTCCGGCGGGTCGTGTCACGTGACAACACAGATTGGAAAACGCTGAATGCGGGTAGGTTTTGGAACGCCAAGATAGAAAACCCTTACCCTGGAGTAAGATCGAGTAAATTTTGGAACATGGCCATCGTTTTTTCTCAGTTTGGGGAATTCCATCTCTTCTTACCGTGAGCCAACCAGCCCAGCTTAAAACTAAGGTACAGCCCCTATCAATATGGAAGGCCCACTCGAAGTGTGTGGCCGAGATGGAGGCTGTGGGGGTACCGCTAGTGCTTTGGACAATTCCAAGTCGCCGAAGGAAAGGGTAAGGCACTTTGTCGGTGCGTGCCGATTTTGTTTGACTCCGACATCTCTCTGAGCGACACAAAGCTATCCACAGTGAAAGCCGCGCCCGCACCAGCCACCGTCTTATTCATGCACTTCGTGCAGGTCTTTAGCATTGCTGAAAGCCTTACCTTCTCTACTTGCTGCCTTTCAGGCTTCACATTTCTCCTCGCCTATCGACGCCATGCTTATCAAGCTATTGCTTGTGCTCGTTGTGCATGGTTGTGGGAGTGGCTAAAAGAAGGTTGCCTCTCTCCAAATAAACATTCATTGGAACAATAAAAAAAAATAATGCAATATTTAAGACACGAGACTCGGGTCGATGTGCTGAAGTAGAAGCACATTTCAGAATCAATTCCTACTCAAAATGTGCATCGCAACATAAATATTGCGGTAAATGTTTTTCGGGGATACTCCATTTTGTGACGCGTTCTATCCAGGCAGTTAACAGAAATGGTTCTTTGGGAGCTTGGTGCTCCTTTAAGGGTGTGCTCCCATTATGAGTGAATGTATTAGCTAAAATTTCTCCACAGATAAAATAAGCCAGTTTTATGCTCACTACTAGAGTTTGAAAGAAAAAGCTACGGGTTAATATGTCGCAAATTTGACAAACTGCTGGGAGTTTTTTTTCTTCGAAAGTGTTGCAGGATCGAAATTCTATAAAAGGGAGTAATCTAGAATGCAATATATTAGCATGATAGATTACTACTTGCAACTCTTGTGCATTTGAAAAATTTGCTAATGTCGGTAACTACAACACGAGCAGGTTGTTCATAGTGTGCCTGCAAAATGAATGTATAGATTTAAGAAAATATTTTCGTGCTTTCAGTGTAGTTTTAAGAAATATAGCGGCGATAGACGGATGAAGATGGTAATTTTCGGAATGAAACCATAGAGTCAAAGGGTCATTAATTGAAAATAACCTGAAATAAACAAAATTGCGTAGGTTCAACTAAAAAAATTAACGCCGAACTAAAAACAAAATACTATTCCTAACCCGATTTAGATACTTCATTCCATACATTGATGCACATTAAGCATGCTACTGTCATTTAAAGGATGAGAACAGCAGCTGGAGGTGGGGCAACTGAGGAACATTCCCGCCATTCTAGCCCTGCCAGTGACTATATACGCGAAGACACATTTGTGCTACTATAATACCAAATCTGTAGTTGTGCTTGAATACTCTTTCGTCAGAAATTAGTACTCCAGCCAATACATTGTGAAGGGTAATCATACACAGGATAATCACGGTTGAATAGAATGCTGAAAATCCCCAGGTCCACACAAAAATGTCATTCCTTTCCCGAAGCTTGTGTTCGCGGTCAACAAATAAGATATTTAGTACAAATGTATGGCAACAACTACACCACTAAATTAAAATACAGCAGAGTTCGAATTTCTTGATTTGCAATAATTAAAGGGCAATTATGAACTGTAGCATATCAATTGCATAAACAACGGTTTATCTGAATCTCGCATTGCACGGGGTACTTTTGGAAATGTGAGTGAAATCGCTCCTGAAAAACTATGCGTCACGCAGAAAAAAGGTTCATGCTGTAGTGGTTTGTGCCAAAAAGCCCACTAGGGAAAATTATTAGTGTTCCATATAAATAGGTAATTACTTTTTAGTGATTACATTTTTAATTACTACCTTTAAAGCTATGGTTTCAATTAGAAATTTGATTCGAATCATACGAAACTGCTCAATGGACATATGCATAGAGAAAGTCATCTGCGGTTAGCACAGGAGTTGCGGTGACGTCAGAACGAAGCCGAGCTCTGATTGGCTTTAGTTAAAAGGATAGTGGGTAGACCTCAACGCTGGACGCCTTGAGGTCTACCCACTATTTCCTTATATCAGCCAATAAGAGCTTGGCGTTCTGACATAATCGCAATCCCTGCAAAGAAGCAGAAGAACTTGCACTCCGCATTAGATTGTTATAAGGCATGCACAGCATTTTAGCACATTCCAAGGAATTGCTCAATTTGGAAGCGTTTCTAGGTTCTGGTTTATCGTCGGAGCACATCTCCACGCCAGCAATCCTGCCCCCCATGGCCAAAATGCGCGACGTGTGCGTGCCGCCACGCATCGAGCAAAAAGAGGTGTCCTCACACTGGCACTGACGCCACAAAGGCAAACCTTGGGTGGCAATCTGGGTGCGTCCTTATCTAGCCTCTTCTATGACTGATGCGTGGCGGCGCATGTACCTATAGTCGGTCACAACTCAAGAAGGTAGGGTAAAAGAAAGGAAAATGGGAGAGTAGGAAATGGACGCAATGCTGGCGAGGGGAGGATGAAAATCCCTCACCAGCGTTGCGTCCGCTTCCTCCTCTCCCACCTTCCTTTCCCTCGCTCTACCTTCTTAATTGGCAACATGTTATAGCGCGTTACAGCCACGGGGAGCGAAAGTGATGAAGAGGAGATGCGCTCTGACAAAAAACCAAAACCTAGAAACGCATCCAAATTCAAAAAATTTTCTTCGAAACGCCGTAAACATCTGCGCGTGCCTTATGTCATCGTAATGCAGGTGGATTTAGCAGTTTACAATGATTCACATCAAAATGTTAATTGAAACCATACCTTTAAAATTGATAATTAAAATGTAATTACTGAGAAGTAATTATTACCCAATTACACTGAATGCTAACAATTTTACTTAAAAGGAAGCTGAGAGGCTCTCGAAAAAAACGGGTTAGAAGTGAATTCTAGGGTATTTTTGTCCTGTGAATTTGAATATCACAAGCATTTGACCCGACTGTATCAATCGACGCGAGAAAAACCAAAAAACCAAATGCTGTGTGTGATGCCAGAGGCTTCAGCTGCCTTGCGTGTGCCGCCTGCAAGGGAACGTGTGCAGCACTTTCGACTGCTCGGGCAGAAAGCGCGAAAATATTGAGATCTCTGTATAATGCATCACGATTCCCTCCTCGCACCGAACATGGCGGG